TTTCTGTAATAAGTCTATTTACCAGGAGGCGAAAATTCTCACAGAGATTTCTAGGAGACTGATTCGTCGATAATTATCACCGCATGTCTTACCATCTTTCTTAGTAATTGGAAGCAGAATTGCTTTGCACCCGTCTTCTGACAACTTTTTTTTCCATACATTTGTTGAAGATGCATTATGAAGGATAAAGGATAATGGACAACATTTGGAGAGTTCAGCCCAAAGACCACCTCGCAGAATCTTATTGCCCTTAAGTCTATGAATAAGAGATTATTTATTTTTCTGTTGGCAGTTAGCAATTGCAAACATATGGCTCGATGAGTGAATCAGCTATACCCGGGACAACAAACGAAGTATCATGGTTAAGTTTTGCCTCAAAGTATTCTGTCCATCTTATGAAGCGATCCTTAATAGTCTAATGGAGATAGCTTTGCTATTCCATACCATTTTGTTGACCCAAGTTATAGTTATTGAAGAAGACTGAATAGTTTCCTATCATCGCCTAAACCAGCCTCCATCTCTGTTCTCAAGGCCACGTCTCTCCAACAGATTTCTGCCCTGCCGTAATACTGCTGTTGCAGTTCTTCGAAGTATCCAGTGATCAAGATCCCCAGACATTCCTACCTTGATACCGAGTTTTCAGGTAGTTGGACAAATGCTTCCAATACCAAACTAGTATATTTTCTGTATTCTGGTGTAGAAATGGCTGACCTTTCGGAGGCATCTTTAGTTGGGACCAATATTCATCTGCCGTTCCAGAAAAATCATTTATACCATTGAGATGCTTCAATTCACTTTGATATACGTTCCTAGTCCCCAGATATTTTATAGATATTTTCTATGATATCGGAAGTATGTATTAGTAAAAGTTTATGCTCTCCGGCACAGCGAAGAAGGCGTTTCCCGCTGGCGCACCGCTTTCATTTGCCAATTGCCGAGATCATTGCAGTGGTATTATGAACAATGCGCGCATTCCAATTATGACCACGATCATATTTCGGTAAAGACTTTAGCAGTTGAATATCTAAGAATGATGGAACTTACCTTTATCTGCCGACAAAGTTTAAGCATATATATTGACGATCAAGATATTGCAAAAATTAAAAATCGAATTCAAAGGTTTAAACTGATGAATTTGTTGATTAAAAGAAACAGCTTAACTGTATATAACTTTAAAAGTTCCGAAGTAACGTAAAAGAATAGCAGAAAGGAACAGAAACGACCGCTCAAGAAATGATTTTATGCAACAAAACATCTAATAAATATTATCGATACCTAATTTTGAAAAGGGAGCCATCCAATTTTTTCAAAATGGATAATCGCTTTGATTCAAATTAACTTTTACTGAACTAAAAATTCATCTGCTTACAGTTCTATTATTAGTTTATTAAGTTTAAAATTAGTTGCAACTTGTACGATGATTAATCTTTCAGTAATTGTGATATAAAAGTCTTAAAATTCTCGAATTTTACCTTTTCCCAAATTTCCAAAAAATTACCAATTTTGCATTTTTATTTCCTAATTTTATGGAAATTCTCATTTAAAAATACTCAATGGAATATATATACATATAAATAAAATTTATTTTTCGAATTGTTAAGATATGCGTTTGGTTTTTCTTCAAGGACTACTTCGGGCTTTTCCACTGTTTCGTTCTTTTCTATTTAAATTCAAATTAGCGGAGCTTTTTCTTTTCTCCTAAACATTCCAAAATTATTTGCCAAAAATTAAAGTTCAAAATTAATCGATAAATTTCGGAAATTTCTGAATGAACTTTTAGATAATTAATATAAAAAAGGGAAACGAATTGTACAAATTATTACCACTTTATCTTATGTCAAATCTTAAAAACAAAGATATGTGCGAATATTTCGAAAATTTTATCTTTTATCTTTATCTTATAATTTATAATTTTATCTTTCATTTAAATCATTAAAATCCCACTTATCCCATTACTTTTGAAACTTCCAAACCCATCTCTAATCACTTATCAACTTATTAACGAAACACTAAACGACACATCTCCGCTAAACCAGCATAACTCCCTCCCCTCAGATCAAAAATCTTATAAATGAATGAGGCACAAATGCAGCTGCATTATAGTCAATGCGGCTTCACTACCAATCAGCTGCAAATTCCCGTTAAAGATCAATCGATAATAGGGTCGAGACCGTTTTTCAATGGTGTGTCGATGTTCCTTTTCCTTTTAGTTCCTTCATTCAGGTCTTTAATGGCATTAAATTTCAGCTTAATGATAATAATGATGGTAGTGGTATTAGAGATAAATTTTTTTTCAATTTTCGCTCGCCATCACACAATTTTCGGTTGGGCTTGTTCCACTAACTTATTGGACCACGCAAATTTTCAAGGATTATTCGTATTTTTGAAGGTTTGCTTCTGTTTGGTCAGTTTTACTTGAGTGTGGAGCCGCCAGTATTGTCACTCCAAGCAACCACTCCAAGCAACTCAATAATACTAAATATTAATTCATAATGATAATAGAATTAATGGCACGAAGGGTGTTAATTACGAATTATTTAATTCTAAGTTGGAAATAAATGTTGATGAAGAAAAAAGAGAAGAGGGCTGAGGAAGAGACAAGGCGCCTATGTGAGGAACGTTGGCTCATTGCACCAAATCACCCGTGCATTTGCATTTGCATTTTAACACAGTATTTTGAGTGCAGTTCCTCGTAACGGCAATAAAACTTCTTGAAAGACGTTCGACTAATGATAGCTGCTGGGGACCCGAACGCTCTTCGAAACCCTTTGTAATTTGTTAAACTATCCGGAGCAAATAGTAGGTGCTGTTAAAATTAGATCTGTGTAGTTGCATCTTTGCTCAGATCGCACACAAACATCGTAACGCCATTTTATTCGTTGTTCATCATTGGGATGGACACATATCTCACTGTTTATTAATCCCTGGCATGTATAGATTTAAGAGAAAAACTGAGAATGACTGGTGAAGTCCTATCAAAGGAAAGTGTCAGGAGAGATTTTGACATAAGCAGGTCTAGCGATATGGAGGCCTAAAGGATAAAAGAAAGAGTGGCTTCAGGTACTTCGAACCCAGTGGCTTAAAAATTCCTCAGCGCAGCCAGCTTGATCATTAATGATTCGAGCTGTTAGAGAAAAAAAAGTTATGTAGGAACTGAGTTAAAAAAAACTGCATAAAAGCAAAAGCGTTTTTTAGTAAACTGGTTTTTCCTAGAAAAATTCAATCAAATACCATTTTCTTTTTTAACACAGTTAAATTTTAAAAAATGATGTTAAATTTTATTAAAATTCTTTTAGAATGACTGACTGTATGACGAATAAATTCAGACAGTAACGAATTGTACAAATTATTACCACTTTATCTTATGTCAAATCTTAAAAACAAAGATATGTGCGAATATTTCGAAAATTTTATCTTTTATCTTTATCTTATAATTTATAATTTTATCTTTCATTTAAATCGTTAAAATCCCACTTATCCCATTACTTTTGAAACTTCCAAACCCATCTCTAATCACTTATCAACTTATTAACGAAACACTAAACGACACATCTCCGCTAAACCAGCATAACTCCCTCCCCTCAGCTCAAAAATCTTATAAATGAATGAGGCACAAATGCAGCTGTAATAAAAATTCGGTAAATGATGAAATATAATGGAATAATAAATGTTGCAGATGGGAGAGAGTTACTTTAATTAGTCTATTGCCACATGGAGATGGGTGATTATGGATAATCACCCATGGATAATATGTCCATGCGAGCAGTTGTCTAGTGGGCAGTTCATCGGTACCATTCATTGGCATGAATTGATCGTTTTGAAAAAACTGCCTGGAATTTCATTTATTTGAATAGATTTCCTCATTTCAGAAAATTAATTGGATGGGACAATTATTATCGTCAAGAAATGTGAATTTTGCTAGGAATGATGATAGTTATGAAGCAAATGGTTATAGAATATGTCGTACAAATAAACAGACAGGTTTTTTATTTGATATCAGTTGTTCGTTCCTTAATTGGAATAAAAAATTTTTAAAACTTATTATTATCTGTAGCAGGTATTTTTGCTAGAAATTCCACCATGAGATATGAACTAGTTAGGCTGGTTCCTCTGATTGTATGGCTATCTTGTTGCCAAGCCTGAGATTACAAAGATTCTGAAGAATTTTTTTAAAGAAACCATTCATTTTTCCACTAAGCCTATATATCTGGACGTTCTATACGTTCTTTTCTCTTTTGTCTTTTGACATTATCAGTATAATATTAGTCCAGGCCTTGATTGATCTTCCTTGCTTTTGACACTGTCCATCAGAGGAGTTAGCAAATAGCGAGATATCACTTCTTGTAATATGCGGTAAAATTTTAGGAACATGGCCATTAACGTTTTGTGATGGTATTGTGAATGCAAGTAGTATTTATTACAATTGAATACTAAAATTTACCTTAGATGCAGTTGGTCAAAGATATATAGATCCTTAATATCTTCTACTGCTATAGCCCATATTTCGCAGCTTTTCACTGAAGTTTCGAAGGATAGCACACGCTATTCAGCCATGACGATTTCCTACAATTGCACCAGACGAAATAGTGCGTTTCTAGCTGTGATCTGCAAACTTTCTCTTTCAATTGACCATAAGAATGGATCCAAGATTTTTCAGATCTAATATACTTCCTCGTCTTTTGATGATTTCATAAAAATATTTTTATTAGCGTCTGGTGTTTTCATTGATCTTGAATCTTTTTTTCCGCAGTTTTCAATGGTCCATCAACTCTTGTTTTCTTCAGCAAAAAGAATATCGTCAAAATGTCCAAGATATATGATTTATTTCTCTGGATTAACGTGCATATCTCTCGGATATCATTAATTTGTATCCATAATCTAGTAAGTCGTCAGTAGTTGAATATTGTAGGGAAAGAACCACTATTGAACACCATTTCTAAATGATCTGCCTTTCCACTTATACATAGATTTGTACCAATGTGCACTAGTAAAATGATTTTATGAGTTACTTCAATGGAACATCCTTGCATTCCATTATCCTGCAGAGTCATCTGCCAGTCTCTACCAGCTGAATCGAAGGTAATTTCAATATTGATAAAGCAGATAACGGTAGGCCGATATTATAAACATATATTTCAACATTCTTAGCGTGAATATTTGGTTAGTAAATCCGTCCCTTGATTTGAATATAGTTTGCGTGAAACTTATGAACTATATGAGAGTGTCACTTAAGTGTCACAATTTAATTTATATTCTATTACGTCATATTTTATTACATTATGGTTATATTTCTGGATAAGTATATTTCTTTTTTTTTCTAATTCTTACCATTATTGGTCAGGCTGGCTTCGCTAGGTACAAGGGTAAGACAAGCTGCTCAGTCCGACGCCACTGTCATCGCTAAGGAATGCATTTGAATGAAATTGGAAAAAAATACTATAGACAAGAAATTGTGATGACTAAATTAGAAAAATTTGTAGTTTTTTATGAAAAGAAGAGAGATATATATCATTTCTTTACATAATAATGTAAAGAAATGATATATCTTCTTTTCGTTGTTTTTTTTTTTTTGCGTCAAAACATGACCTTTTGCCTTGCATTATTCATTCTTAAAATAAATAAATGAATAAAATAAATAGTCGACGATGCTTCCATCTTGTAAGGTAGAAAATGAAATTGTAGAACCATGAGATGGATGAATAGAGGAAAATGAAAGGAAGAATGTGCCGTATCAGATGAGACGCAAAAATTCTAAATATTTCATTTTGGATAAATTCTATTGATTTGTTTAATAAATTTTAATGAGCAATTTGGATATATAAATATTTATATGAAAAAAGTTATTGAATTCAGGCGCATATTTTGGAACGCATTTTTTATTGGGCGGAGAACGTTATGAAGTGGCGAAACCGGAAGCATTTTTGTTCGGTGAGAATAGTGATCTAAGCGTTTTGACCTCAAAACCAACCCAGGTTATTTTTTTTACTAAGCAAAAGATTATAAGATGTGAGGATTAGAAAATAGATTGATTTTGGCTTTAAATAGTTCACTAAATAATATATCTATAATATAAAATTTTTATTAAATATTATTAAAATATTTTCATATAAGCCAAATGCAACATATATCGATTTTCATCATTTAATTTGTACATTCTCTTCATTTCTTCATTGCTATTTTTTATTACTTTTGTCATTTTAGTTGTATTTTTTCCGATACAACGTTATTTTATAGTTCCCATATTCGAGACAACCGATTAGCGATCCAGTTCGAACATTAAATGCACTAGTGAATTTGAGGCGTGATTCCTTGAAGCTTGTCAGGTCATTTTTTTATTATTTATTTTTTATTTTATTATTTTTTTATTCTTTCTTCAATAAGCAAAAATCCCATATTTTTATATATAAAATATATATATTTTATATTATAATTTATGTTATTATTTTATATTATTTTATATAAATATATATTTTTATATAAAAAATATGAAATTTTCTCTTTGCGTGTCAATTTTCAATTTTTATTTAAATTATAAAATTATTTAAATTGTAAAAAATTGTAAATTATAAATTATAAAAAATACAAAAAATTATAAAATTATAAAAAATATAATTTATTAAAGGGAAATATTTTTAGCCATGTTTTTTAGACAAAAAAATGAGAATAGGATCGTTAATGGGATTTCATATTCACTTGAGTTTTTCTTCGACTGTGATAGTGCTTGCCGTATACAATTGCATTTTTTTGCAAAAGAAGTAGTATCGAATGGTCAAATAAGGTATTCTCACCACAGTTCATAATCTAATCTTTTATATAACATTTTGAAAATAGCTTATCGGTATATCAATCAAGTAAACCATTATTTGTGCGAAAAAAATCTTCAGATTTTTATATAAAAATCCATCAGTTGGCACTTCTGATCAATATTTTTTTGATGTGGGAGCAGAGCAACAGTTTACGAAGTTCACTTTCGATATGAGAGTTCATAATTTAGCTGATGTGAGTTGCAGTGTTGAAATTTCTATTATCCTTTTTATCGGCTAGTGATTTTTTATTTCTTGGCACTAATATTGCAAATCAGAAAAATTTTCGACATATTGGATCTTAGAATATTTTTTTTTAAGAACCCTCATCATTACTGATTGGACTTGCTTCACTGGCTTGTCGCAAACTAGACAAATATGCCAGGGAGTAGCGATGAACTATAAGTGAGTACCAGCATTACCCAGAATTTTGGATAGGTTTCGGAATGGTTCAGTGGCTTGTTGTTCGATTTGGAGGGTGATTTAGAGAGTGCTGAGGTTCTACTCCTCGCAGAGTATTTGGGTGATATTGACGATTCAGCTGTACTTGTGTCGTCAGAGGGCTTCCTGGCATATTTATTCGCTGTGACAAGTCAACGGAGCGAGTTTAACCAATAATGTGAGGGCTCTTAAAAAAAAATTATTTCATAAGAACATTTAAGTCAATCCAAAATTTTAAAATATTTCAAGATTTGAAGTTGTATTTATATTGAAGGTAAAAAATGAAGAAGCCTCTAAATATTGGATCGAATATTTGATAATGTAATATTTGGTTATGCAATTTCAGATTTTGATATTGATTTTGGTTTTAGATGAATTACGATGGTGGAGCCCATTTCCCATTAATTATTGAGTTACATACGGTTGATTGTGGTATCGAACAAGTTCAATTGACTGTAGCAAGCATTGATCGTTCCACTGATCAATCATCAACGTTTATAATAAAACCGCTTCGGCAAAAATTGGTAGTAAAATTTTTCATTTTTCTTTGGATTTTATCTGAAAATTCAGATTTATTTTATTATAATTTATTCTAATTTTTTAGATTGCTGATGGAGTCATTTATCTTTTGCAAGAGATTTATGGTATCGAAAATAAAGACCATGATTTGGGTGAAGAAAACGGTGCGGAATGTATCATTTGTATGTCTGACATAAGGGATACACTGATTCTACCTTGCAGACATCTTTGCATTTGTAATGGTTGTGCTGAAACACTTCGGTATAAGGTGAGTATCATTACATTCATTATTTTCTCTTTTTTTTTCTGTTTTTTGTGTCGTTTATGCATAATGATTAGTTATTTGTTACCCAGGATCTTTGTTATCAGATAGCCAATAAGACCCCATTTTTTTATCTTCCTTTCCTTCTTCATGTTTTCGCTTTTTTTGATTGTTGGTCTTGACGTTCTATTGTACACCATATTATTTCTTCTCAAATATTTTACTCGTTCAGTTCATTTCGTCTTTGCGCGAAAAATTTATCGTTATACCCGTGCGTAGACATAAATTATTACCAACAATTGATAATTGTTTCACTAATTCTTTAAAATTCTTGAATCCTTGAATCTTGAATTTTTTTTAGTTTTTACTCAGGAATTTCCGAATCGAGATAATTCATAAGCCAAACGTTTATCATTTTTTTACTAGCTTATTTAAGATTTAAAATTAGGAAATTTTAAGAAAAGAATTACTTCCCAGAATTGATTTTGTTGACAAAGTTCATGAATTTATCTTTCAGTTGAATAACTGTCCCATATGCCGCTCTCCCTTTCGAGCTTTGTTACAGTTAAAGACGATGCGAGTGGTCAGTACAGTTTCAATAACTGATCAGACTGCTGCATCTCAGCAAACTCGTTCTCAAACTCGGTAATTATTCACACCATTTATTAAATGAAATTAATCCGATATAAATTTTAAATATAAAACGTTTTTCATTCAAAGCCTGCTTTGCCGAGGAATGTAAACTATAAAGTTTTTACAGATACGAAACAATGACATTAGTGGAAGCATTAAATGGCCCTATCAGTCATATTCAGTCTTGCGTTATGCCAACATCGCAATTAGCTTGTCATCGTGAAAATAACACCGTTTCATTTGTGCTCAGTAGCAATCGGAGAATGTCCAAAAATTATGCAAACGTACAACAGGCAAGTAAAATAACATCCTTACAAATAAAAAATTCGTTAAACTTTTCCAAATATCACATATAGAATATATAACACGAATTGCTTATTTTCAAATGAATTTTTCTTTTCTTTTCAAAACTGAGCACAACTACGTATTTTTGGCTTGGCGCTATCATGACATATGTTCAAAATCTCTGGACATCCATGTTCAAAAGATGAAAATAGATAGAGGAATAAAATTATGAATTAAAAGAATATTTGTTAATGGGTGGTGCTGTACAATGTACAATTATATAATAATGGTCGCATTAGATCAATTTCAACTTATTCTGCTTCCTTTTATTTTATTGAAATTTCAAAACCGTTTTTATTCTCCAAAAACTTTAAACTTTTTAGGTTTTAATGGTAAGTCAACCAGTAAATGAAATTGATGAAAACACCGTATACATAGAAATGAAAGAATCTGTCAAATGTGTTGTGGATCGGTGTAGACCAACAACCAGCCAAGTAAGCTTTAATTTAAATATTTTGAGAATTTTTAGTTTTTTAATAATCGCTATGTTGTTTTTTTTAACGCTAATAAAATCAAATTTTGATGAATAGTTTAATTTTGATGAAAATCCAAAAGCCCATTTCTCAAAAACTTCGTGCTATTAAAATGTTTTTTTTTCAATATTATTATTAATCATTTTAAAGAATGAAGATCATTGGGTAGACGAATCGCAGAAGATTGTTGAGCAACCACTGCATATTGTTCACATAGCAAAAGGATCAAACCCAACAGATTCACAAGGAATTGAAGATGAAATTACTTATAAATTAAATAAAAAAGATGGTGAGAAAAAAAACGATTCAGAAGATCTTATTTCGCATCACGATGAGCTAAGAATTGGTGATAAAATAAGAAATAACACAGTGCGGAATAGGTTCAAAGTAGAAAATCGTTTTTCTGCTGCTAATAGTAGTGCATTAGTTTTATCAGATAAGTAAATAAGAATATTTTGTGCAAAACTTGGTATTTTCAAAAAACTCCAAAGATGTCTAGGAAAATTGGTTCTATTTTTCGAAACTGATTTCTTTTTCGATCAGTAACTTAATTAACCATTCATTTAAAAAAACAACCATAAAAGCCATTTGAGCTTGTTGCTTATTCGATGCTATATGTCATCCTCCTGACAGCGTTATTATTTTAATTCTCACGACAAAAAGACCAGAAAGGAAAAAATTGGAAGGAAATACGATGGGAGCGTTACGTCATATCACATTACATTATATTTTGACAGCAAGAATAATATAAATGTAAGGTATTGGATAATTAATTAGTAAAGGCAGTAGTTGTATGTAAGATTGGATCATCACCAGAGAGATAGGTTCAATTAGATATTTATTTTACATGTACGTGTGTTAAATTATTTTCACAGTTTGCAGCTAATCTTTAACTTAATGAATAAAAACATTCATTCATTCTTTCTACACGCTTACCATTGTCGTCAATGAAGCAAGCCAAAACAGCAATGGTGTCAGCTAGTGGGGAAGGATTCCATAATGAAGGGAGAAGCATCAATTTAATAAAATATTTGATAAAATAAAATATTTGTTATGTTGTAGATACAAATATTGGAGGGGCAATGGAAGAGGGAAGGATAAGGCATAAGGAGAGAAATGAAAGCACTTCCTGTGGTTTTCTACAGTTCACACCATTTTTAGTTAGCTTTCTGCCTGCTGGCTTATAGGAAATAAATTCACCAGAGGGTCGGTTGGAGATACATAGTGACACCGGGACAGAAATGTGAAGATAAATTTTGTGCTGCTCTTTTTGTCTCTACTTCAAATTAACAGCTTCGTGATTTAGAATCGATTATTGCGTGATAATTCAGGTCGTGCTTGGATTATTGCCATCCAGGAATTTTACGGAACAATGTCCTTACTGTAGGAATGGCGGCTACTCGATGGTTGGAGTGACAGCAGCTCCCTCTCAATTTACGACGAATAAAGAAAATCGGTCGCAGCCTTCGCTTTTGTGAAATATATAGAACGTGTGCGACGCAAAGCGTAAATGACGGAAGAGATATGGCTTCAAATTTGGAATAGAAAGGTTTCGAGTTTCGCCTATAAAATGCTTCGGTTTTGATGGGTTTTAATTTTTTCGTTTATATTCTTTTAATTTCTAAGTTGCAATATCGATTTTTTTGCACGAAAGTGACAAGAAATCAACAACGATTCCATTGTTTTTCATTCTAAGAATCAGATAAAAATGAATTTCACAAGTTAAGTCTTTAAAGGGATTTTCGGTTTTCGAGTGGTTCGAATTTCTTGAAATCTAAAAATATCATTTAATTTACATAATTTGATATTTGTTAAATTCATTTTGTAATCGTTCAGTTCCCTTTTCATTTAAATTAGATATTTGAAGCTTTTTCGGAAATTACTTTCCGCATAGAAATAAAGTTAAATGTTTGAAAATAAATTTTTTAAAACGATTCTCGATTGGTTAAAAAATTTCGTTTTCCTTATGGTTATTTTTTTTTAATATAGGCGATTTTTATGTTTGAGTGGCTGAAAAAGTATTTTAGTTCGCTTGAAAATGAATTAAAAATATTGTTTATAGAGAAATTAAACGGCTGTTCACCTTTTGTGCTTGGAACTCACCAGTACTTCTATCCCTCAAGTAATTCTTTCGCGAAGGTTCCATCCAAGTAGTCAGTGGTACCAGTCAGAACAATGGTGATGAGTATATTTGAAGAAAAAGGACCCGTCTCAACTAATTTGATTTTTTTTAAGCAAGTTGAATTGAATGGATTCGATTTCCATTTATTTTTCTATTTTCCAGAATTCTATTTTCAGTGTTTTATTTCCCAGAATTCTGAAAAAGAAATTTTATGTTGATTCAAGCGATTGAAATTGGTTTATAAAAGGCGACAAGTAAATTTTAAATAAATTGATAAGTATATACATATCTTCCATAGTCACTATCGATTCCTTTTCTTTTTTCCTTTTCTGTTCACTGCGGTTGCATAAAGGCCCGCCTGACTGAAAAATTGGAAAGCAGAAGAAGATAGAAAGCACGAGCAGTGTCCTATTAGCGGTGCGCGTGATAAGGACTATTTCGGATAATATGTTATCTAAGAGAGATCTATGAGAGATCTGTGATATCTAAGAGTGATATACTCTCGTCGTCCTTTTTTCAGTGGTCACTTTTGCTGATTTTTGTTTTGACTATGGCTTTAATTATGATTTTAATTCTCGTTTCTCGTTTAATCATGGCTAGCTCAATTTTCGATTCATTGTAATAAATTTTATGCAACTCAAAATCCTTTTCGCATACTATTTTCCAGGTAAATTATCGTTATTTTGTCATATTTCTCCGACTTATTTATAAATTGCTAAAAATGAAGCAGTAATATAACTCCATAGTACCACTTTTTATGTGTATTCAAATGTCGAGTTGAAAGATCCAGCGCAACAAAATGTCGAAAAATTCTTGTTGGTGTGGAAATTGTCTAAATGCTATTATTCAAACACAAATTCTAGCCAATTTCAAGCCATATACCTATTTCTTAATTAATAGGTGAAATTGTCGAAAGTGGTAATAATAAAGGAAGCATAGTTTTTTAAATGATCCCGCGTGCAATTAAATATTTAGTATATAGGTTTCGTGAATTTTGATTTTTTCACTTTCAATTTTTATGAAATAGAAGTTATCATTGGATAGAATTGGTTGGAATAACTTCGTTTTTTAATTTTAACTTTTTTTCCATTTATCGCAAATGAGTTTTAATGTCTATAGTTTTTTACTTTCAACTTATTTTTTTATTATTTTTTTTATTATTATATGTTTTTATTTTTTATTCCCTTTTTTCCATTTTCTATTTGATTTTATTTGTTAGAAAGAATGATATTTATTGATTCTTTCGAAGAAATTTCGAACTGATGATCGGTATGTAACAATTTGAGAAAATAAGAAAAATCAGAAGGATTTTTAGATATGATAAAATCTTTGACTGAAAAATCGCTGACAAAAACTGTTCGACGCTATGGAGATTTTCCAGACCCAAAGACGGATAAAGCAGCTAAATTATTCGATTCGGTATTTTCGCAAGCAAAGGCATCCACATCGCTTCTAACAGCAAGTTCACAGTGGTAAATCTTTCGATATTTTCGAATAATTTTCTAATTTCATTGAAAAATAATTTTGTTAAATCGTTTTGAAAAAATTACTGTAATCGATAAAGGTATTTCTTTATTATATTAAATTTCACCTAGTAAAATCATCAAATAAATTTTATTTAAATAATTAAATAAGTTTTCAAATTACAGTCATTCACTATCTCAACCAACTATCGATTTCACTCCATCGTCAAAGAGAGTAGAATTACCAACGGAAGTAAAATCGGCGAGTCCATCGAATACATCTTTTTCTTCTCCAACAGCTAGTATACCCGATATAGCTGTCGAAAAAGTTGGTTTTCTTGTCATTTTTTTATTTTTTAAATTATTTTTAGTTTACGCTCACAATAAATAATTATTCATCCTTTTTCAGTTTTTTTTAATCGTAGATTTAATATCATTTCGCTAACCAGTCACTTTTATTGTTAATATATTTTTGTTATTTTATTATATAAAAAATGAAAAAATATCTACAGAAGTTCTAGGAATTTCATGCTGAATACTTTTCGATTAGAACAAAATAATTTATTTAATTTTATTTTTAGTCTGATGAGAGCGATGAGGATCAGGAAGCGGTTGTAAATAATCATTCATCAACCTCCTCAATTAATGCTCGTTTGACTCGTACGACTATTAATGACATCATTGGTGAAATGCCTTTAACAACAGAAATTTCGGATATAGGCGATATTGAAGATGAAGAGACGAATGAAGATAATGAAACAGGATGTTTTGAAGGTGTTTTGCAAGGGGAAAGCATTCTTGCTCGGAACGAATATAAATTTGATGATGATGAACATCCACCTCAGCCTAAAAGGCACCGAGCTGATTCTACTGAAAATTTAGGTTTTTTATTATTATTATCCTAATTGTTTTATTTTATCACAATATAATTATGAAAGTATGGTCAATAACTTTATGGTTAATAAAAATTATTTGCCAGTTTAATTTTTAAATTTTAAAGTAATTTTGAAAAATTTATTACAAGAAAAAGCATTTATTTATTATAAGAAAAAGTATATATAGATTAAAAAAGTATAGATTAAAAAGTGTGTTCATAGATTAAAAAAATATAAAACAGGGAAAAAAGGATTGACATGCGTTTGTCATCGCTTAAATTAAAGATTTTTTATTTTGGTAATTCATTATTACATCTATTACAGTTACATATAACTCTATCTAGATTTACGGATTTCTCTCACTTTTCATTAAATTTTATACTCATTAAGATTATTATAACTTAGATAATGACCGAACACATAGCAGAAAAATTTTTCCTGCGCAGGAAAAAAAATTGGTTTATAAGCACAAATTTTTCGATGATGACGAAATTGAGAGGAAAACTGTGGAGGTTCGTATGAAATTTTGAAATTTTCTCGACAATTTTCAGGTTTAAACAAAGCGATAACGAAATATAAAAAGCGGTATATCTCGTTAAACTTTAGAAAAAATTTTTTAAAACGTGCTGAAGATTCTTAGTGAGGAAATTCATATGAAAGAAATGAAGCATATGCTGCTTTTTTAATATTCGTGTAAATTTTACAGGGAGAAGCGGGGTTTCCGAAACCACAGGATACTTTTATGTCCTTCTATCGTTCACCAAATATTATAGGACCCAATACTGGCAAAGCACTTATAGAAACTCGTGTTAAAAATGTTAAGGAGGCACATCAGTGTCTTGAATCTGGCGCTAAAGATGATTTCACTGATGATATTGAATATGCACTCAGCACACTGACTGATCCATTATCAACACCAAGTTTGAAGTGTCTCAGGTGCTTTTCAATGGTCTTAAATTTTTAATTTCCAAATAAATTTATTCCTGTTTACTCATAGTTTCCTAGTTTCCAGTTTATTTCCCTATTTATGCCTTTTTACATCCACTTTTATTTTTCCAGTTTCCTAGATTTATTTTATTCACTAGAATTCATTGTTGCTTGCACTTGGTATTTTCAGCATCATTTCTTTATCAAGAAAATGTATATCTTCCGAATTTCGCCAGTTTTTCCGTTCTCAGAACTTTTTTGGGAAGATTGTCAAAACATTAGGCGATTCAGCGAATTCACCAGTATGTAATCCTTAAAATTTATAAAGTTTCTAAGATTTTCACAGATCTTTCCAAAATTTTTTTCTTTTAAGTCTTTTAAAGGCAATGATTCTTCAAAAAATTTGTATATCAGAAAATGCAGATGTAAATAAAAAATGATCTTAAAATTAAGTGAATATTTTGATAATTTAAAATTAGCTAATGTTTTCTAATTCTTCATTACAAGATTTGATTCTTTGAAGGTTGTCTATTTTGCATTAATGTTTATTATGCGTTTTTACAGAATATGGCTATATGTATAAGCTCTATGATCTATTTAATATCTCGTGACACTGTATCTCTCGACGTTGATGCTGTATCTTTAAGATTATTTAATCAATTACTCAAATGGGATAAACCAAAAGGAAATGGAGAATATATGCGATTTTCAAAAATGGCACACTTTTCTTGCATTTTACTTTGAATATTTATTTTTTAATTTAATCAATCAGATAATTTTGATTTCTCTTATTTTGCTATTTTTGTCCAAAATGATAGAATATTTTTAATTTATTTTAGGGTTGATATCCAGTTATGCTTCATTAACAATTTAACAATTAAATCGATTACTTATATGATTGAATGTTTTTCAGGTGTTCGAAGTTCTTATTGAGTGGCGTGAAAAATCTTTTGGCGGATCTGAGAAAAACGTTCAATTTGACATCACTGAAGATAATTTATCGGTAATGATAATTATTAAGATATTTTATAGTTATTCTTATTTTTACTACTTTATTTATTCTAAATAGATAGGAAAATAGTATTTTTGAATAAGATCCTTTTGAAGATTTCGTGGTATCAAGATGAATAAAATTCTTGAATGAATTGATCTCGATAAAGATAATAGTACAGATGTTATGGATATTATGAATTAGCAGGATTAAATAACTTATATTATATCAGAATGTAAGGAAAACAAATTCTAATTAATAAATATTTTGGTGAAATATAAGTATTTCCTTAAAAGTTCCTAATTACTCTAGTTCCTCTGGTTGTTATTACTATTAGAAATTTTTGCCAGGAATATAGGCACCACCTGTATGATTATTGTTGTCGAACTCTTACCTTTCAGTGCTATATTCTTAATCATTATCTAATTATTTATTATGTCACCAACATTTTGGTAGCGTGAATGAGCAAAAATTTACATTATTACATTATAATAAATTTACATTTATATTAAAGAATAAATCAAAAAAGTTCGTCAAAAAAGAAATAAGAATTAGGAAATAAGAAATAAGAAAGAATTTCAACGGAAAAAATAAGGAAGAAGTATAATTAAAAAATTTTTCACCAGCGTCTAACATTGTTCACAAACATTTATAGAATTTTGCTATAGGATAAATAGAGTTTTTTTCAGCCGTCATTTCTTGTACTTGAATCGCTAGTATATATTTGTGCACGCAAAACCGACAACCAGATTCTGAAGAAAGAACTTCTTAATTTGGGGATATTGCAGTGGATTGTTTCTAAATGTAAATTTTTTTATACCGTTTGGTTGAGATTTTTTCAAATGTAATTAGCAAGCTTTTATTGCCTTTTTTACAGTTGATAAAACAATGTTGAAATTGTTGCATGAAAAAATCAACGATGCCAATAAATTGCAGTGTCTGAAAATTTTAGAAAGATGTTTACGGGTATTGGAATCGGTAATAACATTTAATTTTTTATAATACTCTTAGTACTCGCTTTACATTTTTTCCAGCACATTTAAAATTACATAGGTTTTCATGAAATAACTCAACTTCGATAATTCTTTTGTCGATTGAAAAATTGTTTTTCATTTAAAATCTGTAATTTCTGCATATTCATGTGTTTTCAGGCAATAGTTTGTAATAAGAAAAACCAAGCTTTTTTAATCAGCCATAGAGGCAGTCTACTTATTCAGTCTTCTGTGAAGTTTGTCCCATTTTTTTTATTATGTACACTATCATAAGTTTTCTTGATATCTAGCAATATTTTGAATTTTGGATTGGTTCATTTTAATCATTTTCTAAGAGCTTTTTGCTAGCCTTGCTGCACTGGCTTATCAGATTAGACAAATTTTGCCAGAGAGCCCCTTAGCGACAGAAATTTAGGTATCGCTAATCATCCGGGTTTTTAACACTCTTGCCGGATGTGGAACCTCAAAATTGCGCTCCAAATTACCCGTTCTTTTATTTTTTTGCCATTTGTTGATGCTTCTTAGACGTGTTGCACCGGCATGATTGGAACCCGAGCCATTCTCAGTAGTTATTGACCACTTGACCACTAAGCTGGCGATGTACTTTTTTATTAGCTATTATTCTTACGCAAAGATAATTTGAAAGATTTTGGATTTTTTTATTTCTTTATCTAATGAAAGAATTTTTCTTTTTGATAGGGTCGTTTTGCATTTTTTGGTTTCACATGTTCAGATTGATTGCATTTTGTCATAACATCGTCGATAAATGTGATGTAGAAATATCAATAACTTTAGTTGAGCAGAGTATCACTTGTCTCAGTCGAGTCGCTGGTTTACTTATGAATATGTCGCATGAAAATGGTTAATCAATTTATAAAATTTTTTTCATTACCACTATTTATTTTTTTCATTAAAAGTTTTCAATTTTTTCATTAAAAGATATGTAGTATTGTTATTTCTCTTAAGTTGTTAGTATTTCCAAATTTTATTTTCAATTTTATTAATTTTATTTTCTCAATTTTCTTCAAAATTCCCTTCGTTTTTTCGTTCTGATGAAGGCATTTTATAGTTGGATAAAGTATAGTTGGATAGTTGGATTTTTCATAATCAGGCATTAAATAAAATCACCAATTCATTGTTTATTTTGAATTTTTTTAAAATTAACCATTTAAAATTTTTTCTGCTTAATATCAAGAATTTTTGCAGAGCTTTGTTCTACAAAGCTTGGTCAGATGAGCGGATTTTTGCCTCTTTGCATGTCTTCATTTACATATTTGGTTCCAAAATTCGCTGCTAAAGAGAAACGTTTCGATCTTACAGTTTTAGTAAGTGTCATTATAATAAGTGATGAAACCATACACAGAAATCTTTTTGTGACAGTGGTATTAATCCAATGAATTAACCTAGAAATGATGGAATATATAAAATTTGCTTTCATTCTATTATTTTTATGCATTATTTTTAAATACTATTATTTCATATTGCATAACAGTCTTTTACTACATTAGTGACCTCCAGGCTCCTAAAAAATCATTTGCACCAATAAAAAAATTACAAATAAAATTACAAATAAAACAACGAAGGAAAAAGGTTTTGGGAGACTTGAAATCTGTTTATAGCTGTGCAGTTTGCTAGTCAATTTGGTCGAGCGCTGTAATTCAAATCGGCGGAAACTTATCGAAATCTCTGTACCTTTATATTGTTGCGAGACACAAACGACCAAACAGTTATCTGCTTTAAAAGCTCTAAGCACTGTGAGAATTAATTTGAATTCAATATAAAAATTACTTCAAAATTTTCCCAAGAAAAATTTTTAATTTAGAATAAATTATCAAAAATCTGAGGCAATTTCTAAACTTGATTTGGTTTTATACTGGAATTTATTTTTATTTTCGTTTTTTTTCGGATTTTCCAATTTTTTAATTAAATATATTTCATTTTTTATGATTGAATTTGAATCAGTTACGAATTGTAAAAATTTTTAGTTATTTGTATATCATGAATCTATTGCCCGCAGTATTGATGAAGAACTGGATAATGATTTGGTACTGGAAGATGTGCCTGATGATTCAAACTGCACAGATGATGACGGCGAAGGTCATTTTTTTGTCCCTCAGTCTAACTTAAATATCGATTAATGATTAACGATTAACGTTATAAGCATTATCTCAAATTTACAAAATTTTTTAATTTATATATATATATATATATACATATTTTATTTATATATATTTTATATATTATTATATATTATATATATATATTTATATATTTATATATTTTATATATTTTATATATTTATATTTTATATATTATACATATTTTTTTATTTATATATATATATATATATATTTTCTACGATTTTCTACGATAATCTTCAGACGACGGTCGTTTACATCGTTTGCCAGCAGAATTAACAGAAGATGAGATGATTGAAACTGTACAAAAAGCAATGAATAAGGCTAGCAAACATATGGAGGATTCAGTTCTTGCATCTTATTTTGCTCTTCTTATCGGATGTCTTCTACAGCAGAATGAGGTTAGCAATTAAATTTTCCGTTGTTATTAAAATATATATTTGGACTTGAGCATTTTTAAAAAATTCTTGTGCTAAAAGTTCTTATGCCGCATATCATTAGGAGGAGCGCTAAGCAATTGAGCTGTTATTAAAATATTATTGAAAATCCTTAATTTTTTGAGCAAAAATTAATTTCAGGAATCAGTAGCGATAGTAAAGTCGGAATTGTCAGGTGGCAAATTGACGTTAATGATCGAACAGTTACAGCGTTTTCTAGAATTTATGAAAATATCCGTAAGTTTTTCTTAAATTGGTTTGAATAACTTTAAAAATAAGATTATTAAATAAGGTTTGGTTTGTGGTTTTCTGTTTTTTCATTCTTTTAAATTTAAATTTTTATAACACATTATTGAAATCATTTCGGTCAATTTTTTATAACACATTATTGAAACCATTTCATTTAATTTCATTACTGAAACCATTTCACTTGTGAAACATTTCGCAAATCGAACATATTCGCTATTATTATTCCGGGGAAAAGTTCATGCCGGTTTTCATTTTTTTCTTTTTTCTTCTGACATTTCTGGTTTAGCCAATTCCACTTTTACCAGGAGAAGACTTCTTGGTCATCCCAGAGTTAATTGGAGATAAAATGCAGATTAGTCATTAGCACCACTCGTGTTTCACTTTCGTGACAAGATTTACTCCTTTCAAGAAAGATGGAACCTTATGCTTGAAAATATTAAGGAGATTTTTTTCAAACAATCGTGTCATCATTGGTTAGGTGAACTGATTTTAAGACTATAAAGGTGAGGCAATTCAAAGCGACTCGATTCTCTCAAAAGTATTGCCAGAGAAATTCGAAGCATAAAATTTGAAAAGATTTTGAAAGAGAAAGCACGTTATGAGCAAGAGAATTGTTTGAGGTCCATTGAATTTATTTTAATTTAACATCATATTCAAAAGCTGAAGGAAAATGATTTTTTTAAATTTCATACTTTTTTGTTTGGAGAAAGACAAGACATATTTAAGAATCAGTTTATATTCTACTTGCGGAATTAGTAAATCTAAAGAACTGTTCACCAGCGATTCGCATAGTTTGAAGATGGTGTATTCGGCTGGTCAATTCAGGCAGTTCGCCACTGATGATGGTTGAATCGGGACATAGTAAGTAACGCGCATTCTCCAACATTAGAATTACAGAACTATCTTCTATGAATTTTTAGAAGTTAATTGTTTTGCTTTATGATGTTCCATTCTGGATTCAGCTCCTGCTAAACAACATATCATTAAATTCACATGAGTACATTTCGCAATCCTAGAAAAAAGCGAAAATTTTGCCAATATGAAGAATGTCTAATTCGCAATGCCATGTCTTATATGGCTATGGTCATCTATTATTATTGGAACTTGATCGGAATGTACTATCGCTTTATATTCAAAACATCGTAATAGTTCATCATCGGCAAGACTTCATTTTTTGGACGGTTTAAAAAATGAAATTTAGCAGGCGAGAAATTTAAATTTTGAGATGGGACTTATATAAAATATAGCGAAAAAAATAAGCGGAAACAAAAGATGCGCTATATAATAATAAAATAAGGCTCGTAAATTTTCCGAAAAGTCTAATTATTTATATTGTGAGAAACAATTCATTTAAATCTGGTACTAATAAATGAAGCTTAAAAATCCGTACTTTGCAGAATGGAAGAACTTCGGATAGAAATTTTATCGAAAGAATAATTGATTTATTGGACACACTTGACGAATGAATTTTATTCTTTTCTGAATCAGCTGTTTAAATAGATTTTTAAGTCTCATATATTTAGAGAAATTAGTTCAGCAATATTTTTGTTATTTTTTAAAGTATTTTTTATATTATTACAATATGATTTATGACTTATATGACTTCTGGGTTAATGTCTTCATTCATATGAAATTTCTAATTAAAATGAATAGTTCAGAGTTAACTATAAAATAACCAATCTATAAACAATTGTAAATTATGCTATTTCATCGAATCAGTGTTACCATGTTCAAATGGACAATTGTCAAATATAAAAATTTTCATAGGAATGTTATTTTGGAATAATGGTCATGGCATGCGTATCAATTTCAGTTCATTTTATTTTTCGCATTCTCTTATAAAGATTTCCTTGATGTAGAATTTTGTCACTTAATTTTCATTGTTTTTTTTACAAAATTTTTAATGATTAAAGTTTTAAAGTTTTAATGAAGTTTTTTAATTTTTTCTAGAGTTTTTACAGCATTTATTTTGTATTCCTTTAATTTTCTAGGATTATAATGCTGTATAAAAATTTTTGGAATTTGAAATTTGAGAATTTGCTTTACAAATAAAATTTCGAAAAATCCTTTAAATCCAATGAAAATCCAATGAAAATGATGTTATGTTTATTATTTTACATTTTACAGTTTTTAGTATTTTTGTGAGTCAGTTTTTATCTAAATATTGCTAATTTCTAATTTTATTCGTTCTGAGCAGTTGAATCTCTTTCGAATTAATTATTGTTGAGTTGTAATTAATAATTTTAATTTAAATAATCTTAAATCGTCTAAGCCGATAAAAAGTATTATTTTATTATTTTATTATGTTTATTATTTTACTTAAATTATTTGAAAAACATTGGATAATTTTGTTCTTTTAACTAGAATCCTTTTTCGTTAAAATTTTTTGAGGTCACTATGGTTGACATTAATTCGGCGTTTTATTTCAATGTTTTAGACTGTCAATTAAGTTGGCATTCCAAGTTTTATCAATGGTTATATCATTAAAATATTAATTATTAGCGAATTTTGCGCAATCATTTTATGTGATGGAATGGTTCATTGTGTTCGTAAATAAATTCGTTCTTATCACTCTTTTCCGAAACCTTATCGTTTATTCGAAGACACTGAATTTTTTTTATCATTCGATACTCCATGATTAAGCTAACAAATAATTTTGAAGTGCTAGGGAAGGCGCCATACAGGCGTTTTGTGGATATGATTAGTGGTTTGCATAGAAGGGTCCATTGTTGAAGAGTCCAAAGGGTCCAAGGTTGGTCCATTGTTACTATGTGACTTCAAGTTCTCAAGTTTTCTTAAGCAGATATATAATTTTGCAAAAAGTTGAGCCGTTAAGAATTTTCTTTTTTTGTCTAACTTTTGCAATAAAAGGTGAAAAATTTGTGAAAATGGCAATAAACTTTCTATTGATTAGTTTTAAATTGTAAAAATATCTTTTTTTTCCTCAGGTATAGTCCTCGTACCTTATTTTTTAATAACTTTTTCCTTATTTCGCTCGTATATTTCCAAAAGTTACATTATCCAACAGCCCCATCCAGTTGTCGAAAATTTCTGGTTCAATTCTGCGGAAGAAAGCGAGCATCGGCTATTTATAATGTTGGCATTGGCATTTTGGTTATTGGCATTATCCGTTTCACGATCCTTGTGGCACCATTACTGGTTGCGCTGGGTGCGAGATTATCGAGATTACATTCTCAAGCAGCTTAGTCCAGTGTTTTCAATGACCATGGTCTGAGGGCAGCAGAAGCCACTCTTTTTTCCATCATCTATCGTTGAGTTGCCTATAAGCTCGAAATCTCTTCCCACCATATCATTCCAAGTCTATTTGATTGGTTCTTCTTCATTTTGATGTCATCCATCACAGATAGTCGATTCTTGCTATGAAGCACGGACATAACCAGCGTGGACGATATTCCCTGGCGACACTTGTGGTATTCGAGCATAAATTATTTTTGTTTATCTGAACAGAATAAACTTGTCATTAAAACCAAAATATCAAATCCGATTGCTGGTGGAGACCTGTTTCTCTATCTTCAAGTGAGCTTATGGCGAATGAGTTAGGCGGAAATGGAGTTCCTATTCCTACATGCATGATATCTTTAACCCTTTTGTATATTCGATAAATAACGAGTCGAGTTTGGATATTTCAATATTAAAAACAACTCTATTTATCAATATAAAGATGGTAATACAAAAACAACTCAATAACTGCATATGAATATAAGGATGGAGGGAAGCAAGCGATAACCACTCACATCCTATAGCATTACAGAAGATATAAGAAAATTTGCCAGACGTTCAATATTCAAAATCACATTTATTATATTCTGGTCATTTAATAATGGAGAAGTTCCTTATAACCGCAGTTATCGCTGGAATCGGAATCGGCAAACTCCACGAGTTGGGCCATACTATAGTTAGCGACAAAATCCAAATGAAATGCGGAAAAGATAATATTCTGCAGAATCTCTTAACTAGCCAAATTCAAACTCAACATGCAGCCTAGGATGAGATGTTGAAGCAGATAAGGGAGTTTGATTTCATCAACATCTCTGGAACCATCGAGGAGTACTGAGCTAAAATCTCGCCACCAGGAGTCATGCAAACTCATCCGCAGTTCAAAATGTGGGCTAAACCTCAGATGAAACAGTCCATCCACCGCGCTTATTAGAAAATGCTAATTATCGACAGTTCTGACAGTAGAATATGGTTCTGTGGGGAGAGCTGGAGCACGCGATCATTGGGAGAGAAATATTAGGCCATTTGATAAAGCAATCGGAGCAGGAGAAAAGTGGAATCATAAGGAGGAAATTTCGTTAAGGCCGTCATCTCTCCCGATGGAGAGAGTTTTTTAAATTATAAAATCAGCTATGGCAGGCCATCCGAAATTCCGAATTGGAACTCATTTAAAATCGTACGACTGCATTTACGAACCACTAGCCAACTTCGAAATAAAATCTGTAGTGTTTAAGGTTTTATGATCAATGAAACCCTTGGAGAAAAAAATGTTCAAGTGCTTAGTTGTTCTTCACAATGCACATGCAAAAATCATTTTCACTGTGGTGTGGGAAAAAAGAATAAATGCCATGTATCTGAAACAAAACTTCCAATTCCGGAAAAAGACGGTTCCTGCTTCCGATTCTAAAGGGAGTGGTTGTTCGAACCAAAACATCAAATTTTGATCAAATTTTCACGTTGAAGAAGATATTGGAACGTCAGGTGTTGACAGCCTACCATTACATGCTTCATGGATTTTATCGCCATTTTTGATTTTATCAGCAAAGTGGAGCGCAACTTATATGAAACGATGGTGTTCCAGAAAAGTTAATCATACTTATCAAACCATTTTAATGTACTTCAGTGAAAGTGAATGTTGTGTGGAATTGATACAATCTTTTGAAATATCGGTCAAAAGTTGTGTAGAATTGATACAATCTTTTGAAATATCGGTCAAAATTGTATTCTTTATCTCAAGATTTTCCGCTATATGATAGATTGGGTGATTATGGGTGCCACTTAATATCCAAGTCAAGAGCGTAGCATCACAAACCTTGAATACGCCGGTTACGTCTTTTACGCTGACATCTGCGAAAGGAGTTATAATAGGCGAGATAACAGCAAAATTGGCCTTCAAATCAGTGTAAAACTTTTTGTTATATGCGCTAAACGCTGATAAGATCACAGTTTATGCCGAATAATAACCGAAAGAGCATCAGGCCATAAATTATAGGCCTTATCACGGCGAAGTCAACATCTTTTTCTGGCTATATTACGCATAATCTTATGCCCACGAGGCGAATGAGAGGGAAAATCATCGGGAATATCTAGCCTTGACCGTTTTTGTCTAAAGTACTTCCGCAAAATAAAGAGTCTCACAACACGCTGACAACAACATTACTTTCCATGTTACAAATCTACGGTTTTTCACCTCCACGATATTCTTTTCCTCACATTCTGCTTTTCTCAGTTCCATCTTACGTCTTTCTACTGCGTTATATATAACCTTCGTTTCTCTACGGCTCTATCCTCCAAATATTATACGTTCAGCCCACAGCCTTACATTCCGGCCATGGTCATGCATTTATATGCCATATCTCATACTTATCGTCTTTTTACTTCAGCAGCCTTTAAAAAGCTCCTTTTTTACTTTAAATGAGGAATCCTCAACTCTTTTCTTGCATCGACTCCCTATTAAGAAGAAAATAGTTTTCTCGAGACGTTCTCGGCTTCCTTAGAATTCTCGAGCCATATCCGAAGATTTTGAAGATTTGAAGATTTTGCATATTATATCATGTGAAAATTAGAAGACTAAAAGGCTAAAATTTTCAAGATGGGTAACTAAATAAGTTTTCGAAATGTTTATTTTTTAAATGTTAGAATGGATTTTTTTCAACAAAAGCTCTAGGTAAGAAAAAACATGAGAAGATAAGGAAACATCAATGGCCGAAAGAGGAATTAGAGTAGATGGGGAAAGTGAAGGCCAAAGTAATTCCAGCGATAATTGGAATGCTTGGGTTCCCTAAATTAAAAAAGTATCTTCAACAGTGTCGAGAAGCAGCATCAGAGGTCCGTGTCCAGAAAAGCGCACTGATGGGGACAGTTAAGATACTGAGCAGAACTCCTCAACCTCCCAGGCCTCTGCTAGAGGAGCCGAAGCTAAGGAAGATCCACATGTGATTATATATAGGAATTATAAATCATGCTTATGAATTGTAAATCATATGCAATATACAGTAAATGCGATAAATATTTTAAATAAATAAATACGTAAGAGATCAGCTACTTTAATTTTCTTGATAACGATGTCAGCTGGTTTTCTTCCCAACAGTGGACATTTCTAAATAGTTGACGCACATTTATATTCTCCATCGATATTCTTCCTAATAAATTAATATCGAAGTGTTTTTTAAAAAAATCAATTGAATCAATCAAATTCCTGCATGATCATTCCTATAAATCTTAAATAATTTTAAAACGTAAGTGTATAACTTTCATGGATCCCAAATGAATCTCTCGAGTTCCGTCGGTCCATTTCAAAAATTCCGGATATGTTTCAAAAATGGTATTGATAGCGCCGCAAAATAATCTAAAGTTGAAGCTGTGAATTTCAGATGGGAATAATGATAACTTCGGCTCGTTGTTCTATCATGCAGTCTTTCTTTAACGCAACTCGATGCGTTCGCACTCCAATGATACCATATAATGCTTGTCGCTTTTTATCAACAAACAAGGATGACATTGTCGTAACGGAACGGTTGTCGGACGCAAAAGGCAAACGAGCTGCATGCTTGGCTAAGATCTATTTAATCTATTTAAAAATGCAAATAATGCGAGAATTATTAGTGATGAAGAATTTTTGACGAATGAATGAGAAGAACGTGCCACAAAAAATAGATAAAATAAGCGACAACAAATATCTCCGAACCAAAAAATTCTTTTATAGTGGGGAATAAAAGTTAGTTAAAGTTAATTGATCATAAATTAACGAGTTCATAAATTAAAGGAATCGCGGTGATTCGAATGCGTTATATGGCGAAAAAAAATGCGTTGAGTAGAAAATTCGTCGATGCGGTTTGTTTGCTTCACCAATTTATTTCGGTTTTAATGGTTTAATGATTTTCCATGGACCCCCAATCAAGTCCCCAAGTTCCATCGATCCCTTTGAAAATTCTATGGCCTCTTCCGAAATTCCGGATTATGTTTAGCTAAAATGTCATCGGTAACGACGCAAAAGTAATAACAATATGTAATATTTAAATTAAATTTTGTCAAAAACATCTGTGATTAACTAAAATTAATAAAATTGAAAAGGATTATTTTTGATAAATTTGGTTCCGCTCCGGAAGTATGATTTCAAATTCCATGAAACAAATGTTGCGGTTTGTTTCACCAAAGTGGCAAGTGGTCAAAAAAATAAAAGTCACTAGCCAAATTCTTTCTACCATACAAATTTACATAAATAATTTAAATAATTATTTACAATTATATAATTATCACCGTTTGGCATTTGATAACTGCAGTTCCAAAGAAATCTCGACAAGCTGAAGGATGATATGGATTTAAGGATTGTTATTGTCAAAAGTGACGTGCCTATGAATTTTTGCTCCGGTGATTATTTTCAGTAAATTTCAGTAAATGGTAGTATTATTGAGCTACTCTAAAGCACTGCAATAAAAAATAAGATAAGACTGCATCTTAACTTACCTTACTAATTTGAATTTCTGCTTTTATTTTTTTATTTTAAGATTAAAATTTAATTTAATTTAATATTTAAAATTTTAATTTTTCTTTTAAAATTTATTTTCCTAGAAAGGACTGCAGAAATGTACTTTATTCAAATTTAAATTTATTTAAATCTTGTATTATATATAATAAAAATTCGATTTAGTTGGTAGCTTAGTAAAAGAACAAAATTAGATATCTAATCAAGTCATTCAATTAAAACTGATTTAAAACTGAGTGCATTAATTTAAATATATAGATATATTAGAGGATTTACTAGACAACATGAAAATTGTCTTTTCGGTTTAGTGATTTTCTATATTATTTTTGCTATCAAATTATAGTCGTTATCTTAAATGATCGTTTTTCATGTCCATTTTTCAGGTGCTGATTTAAAGGAACGTGCCTTATTGAAAGATCCTGAAGTGCTTCCATTTGTCGACAATATCCGCGCCTTAACAACAGATCTTGCGAATCTTCCTGTACCGGTGATTGCAGCTATTAATGGATGGGCTCTTGGTGGTGGTTTAGAATTAGCGCTCGCCGCTGATATACGTGTTGCATGTATAATTTCGATCTTTCTAATTTTTATACATAACTATGTTATATGCGTTTTGATTTATCTAAATATTTAATCAAAGATCACCTAGAATAATTGCTTTCGCAAAAAATAAAAATAAGGGATGGAAAAAGTAAGAATAAAAGTGGTGCAAAATAATAGTTTAACAATTATTATTCCCAACTATATTATTTTCAGTGATACTTTATTTTTAAATAACTTTTAAATCATTTCCTTTTAGTTGAATGTTCGAGAATGGGTCTTATCGAAACGAAATGGGGTTTATTGCCCGGCGCAGGTACTTTTTACTATACAAGATTCAGAATCAGATTAGCCTCAATTTGCCGTCTTTTCATTCAAATAGTAAATTTCATGCGCAGGCGGAAGTCAAAGATTACCTCGACTTGTCGGTGTGTCTTTGGCGAAAGAACTAATTTATACGGCTCGAGTAATTGATGGTGTCGAAGCTCTTCAAATAGGACTTGTAAATCATGCAGTACCCGGCACTGAAGAGGCCGTTTATGAGAAAGCGGTTGATCTAGCTAAGCAGATTCTGCAAAATGTTCGTTTTTTAAATCCAATAAATAATTTTTTTGATAATTGAAGCCATTCTTTTTTCCACTGTCGTTGCCCGCTAATATACGTGTTGTATATATAATTTTTTGATCTTTTTAACTTTTATACATAACTATTTACGTTTTGATTTGTACAAAGATTTAATCAAACTAAAATAAAATTCATGAAGAAATTCCTTATAGGGACCACTAGCCGTCAGAGCAGCAAAAACCGCCATTTCTTGTGGAATTGAGGTAGATCTGGCTACTGGACTGCGCATAGAGCAGCAATGTTATGGACGAGTAATATTTCACATTTTTGTTTTCATTAATTCATTAATTTTGCTTTGATTTGGAAAAAAAATTGGAAAATTGGAAACAAAAATATACTTGCAAGAAGACTTCCCAGGCATTACCTCAGAAGTTCCAATAAATTAATTTATTTAAGCTTAACTCATTTCTTCTTCTAATAGCTCCCATTATTACTGGTTGGGCTGGCTTCGCTGGCTACAAAGCGTCTCAAAGCTATTTGGCTATTTGATGCTATCGCTAACAGTAATAGAAGCCATGCATTTTTTCATCTTCTTAGTTCATACATCGCTAGTCCACCTACACATTCAAAATATTTCCTGCGTCAGTCCAGGTTGGACCACCTCGCTTTTGACAGAATTCTTCATTCTTTTGACGCAACATTGGCAACTAACGAATTATATATAAACTCCAGTGGTGGGTGAAGAACATGCCCTATTGACGAATCATCTCTAGAACATTCCATCATCCAAACTCTATCAATTAAATCGAAAGCTGCTACAAAATCGATAAAACATGGGATTTGACGATAAGTTGCTGTTGTTTGAAGCGGTGTTTGAGCACTTGTTAGTGTAAATATCTGATTAGCATAATCGCGTCCCGGTCTGAATCCAGCTTGGTTAGGAAGTATTCTCTTGTCACGTATTGCCACAAGTTTATTCAGTAGGAGAGAAGCAAAAATTCTCCCAGCGATATCTAGGAGGCTGATTCCTTGATAAGTTACGGTACTTCCATCTTTTTTGGGAACTAGGAGCAGAATTGATCTGCTCCAGTCTTCTGGCATTTCTTTTTTGTACCAGAGAGTACATTTATTGAGAGTAAGTTGTGAATGATGATGGGCAATATTTGAAAAGTTCAGTCCGAAGACCATCTTCATCGGAGATTATATTGGCTTTAAATTTCTATACGACAAAGTTTATTTCTTCTTCTGTTGTCAGTTCGCAGTTGCAAACATATGACTCGATGAGTGAATCAGCTATACTCGACAATAAATGAAGCGTCATGGTTAAGTTTTGCCTCAAAGTATTCCATTCATCTTACGAGGCGATCCTTAATAGTTAAACGCGCATATCATTGTTATTCCGTACCATTTTATGGACCCAATCATAATTATTTTATGAAGAAGACTGAATAGTTTCCTATCGTCACCTAATCAAGCCTTTGTCTCTATTCCCATTTTCCTTCAATAATGATTTCTTCCTGGCCGTGTGCTGCTGTCTTTACAAATCTTTGAAGCACCTGGTAGTCAACATTTCTTAACATTCATGCTTTGACAACGTTTTAATGCAGTTGGACAGTTATTTCCAATACTCAGTTAAGACATTTTCTATTCACATATCCTAGTGTGGAAATGGTTGACTTTCGGAGGCATTTCTTTAGTTGGGACCAATATTCATCTGCCGTTCCAGTATTACTGACTGATGTTATTTCACTAAGATTCTTCAACAATTTATTTTGAAATGTACTTATTGTCCCAGTATCCTTCAATTTGAGATAATTAAAAGATCTTGAGATATATTGTTTCTTATTACTTGTCAATTTTATACGAACCTTAGCTCGAACCACAGTTTGGTCTGATCCATGATGGTCACCAGTTTTAGCGGCTATCATATATAACTCTTCCAGCGGCGATTGATTAATATATAGTCAATCTGACTGGAATATTGGTTATCCAGAGAATTACACGTGATTAGATGTCTAGTCACGATATTGGAAAAGCTCATGTTGTTCGGCAAAGTGAAGGCATTCTCCATTAGCACATCTGATGTCATTTGGTAAAGATGTTATTAGAAGTTCCACACGATTTTTTCTTATTGCGATCATTAAAGTTAGAGCATATACCGAAACAATGCAGAACCTTCCTTTGAAATAAGCTTCCTTTGAAATATGCTGTGCTGTTGTTTACTGGCTTCATTCAATTAGAACGGACCGAGTTCTTTCTGACATGACATCTTTCCCATTTCGCCTCGAGTTATTCGTCACCATCACAATGATACAGCCATTATCTCTGTTTGGTGCCAGGTTTGGTACTGACCCGAAATGGGGAAGACCTCCAACAGGCGACAGCAGCACGATATTTAGAAAGTGTATAAGTGATCGCTTGGCTTGCGACGTCCATAAGTATCCTGAAGTTCCAAGCTACAGCTAATACCTCGCCGAGTGTGCAGAGAGTTGTTTCCCTCGACAGGTTTCGAGCGGTTATCGCGTCTCGAAAGCAGTTCATATTCTTAAGCTTTGAGATTCTTTGAAGAATGTTTCTCAGTGAGTTATTTCTCAATTCGGAACTCCGATACTGAGGTTCCATTCCTCGGGAATAAATCTGTCCCGAAAATCCAGATGATGTTGGCGATTCACCTGAATTTCTCTCGCCAGAACTCTAACTTATTTGTCCAGGGCGACAAGCCAGAGGAGCGAGTTTAACCAGTAATGGCGAGGACTCAAAAAATATATGTATTAAATATATGTATTATATATTTTATATTTTTTAATATTTTATATAATATTTTTATATTTATATTTATAATGTATAATGTATTTTTATATTTATATTTAATATGTAATATTCTTTAACATACATATATTTTTCCATATATTTTTTATAATTTAATTTTTATATAATTTAATTTTTATAATCTTCATATAATTTTTGTATAATTAATTGTATAAACAAATCAATTAATTGGTTTAATTGGTTTGGTTTATAATTTCAATCTTTTGTTTGAAAAAATTTAAAAAATGATTCACAAATAAAATAAATCGAGAATATTTTCTCGAAATCACCGTTTGCCAACAAAAATTTTTTAAAATTTTCAGGATTAATTATTGGATTCCGATGTATTCAATATCTATTTGTTATTATAATTTCTGTTGTTTATCATTTTAAAATTCGTTCGCTAAATTATAAAATTTTGCAGATCGTCCCCACCGAGGATCGGCAAGAAGGAATGCGAGCTTTTGCCGAGAAAAGACCAGCAATTTATAAGGGTAAATAACAACATTTCAATCTATAAATAAAAACAGCTCAGATTGTACCTCATATTTTCTTATTATTTTTATTATTTATTTTTAATTATTTTGCTTTATATTTGTTTATATTTATCATACAGTTTCTAGTGCCTGAAAGCATCCGTTCCGCTAAAAAAAAACTAGTTTAGTCTAGTCTAGTTTTATTTTACTAATTTTATAAATATTTTGCTTTGTATTTGTTTATTGTAAATTAATATTTTGCCATCTTCATCTAAAAATTTTATGGAAAGCAGAAGAAAAATAATACTTTGATATTAAGTAAGTTCTGAAATAAAAGAACTATTAACAATTAAATCAAATAATAAGTGAAAAACTGACAAAAATCAATAATTTTTACAAATGTAGAAATGTATATTTATAAATGGTGGTTATTTCTCGATGCTTTGGTATGGTTAAACTCGAATTACAAATTTCTTAAATTATGTTTGAATTATGTTATTACTTTAAGTAATCAGTAATCAGTAATCGGTAAATAAAACTAAGAATTCTTAAGCACTTATTTTCATAAATCATTTGGTCGAAAGCTTACTTTAGTTGACTGTTTTTATTAGAATTTTGGTCGAAATATTTAATATTAAATGCAATGAAATAAAGTGCCTAAAGTGGGAAAATTAATTAATGGTAAACCATTTGCTGATACAGCAAAAAAACATTTTTTCAAACCTGAAATACATTAGGTAGAATAAGAAAAAGATTTAAATTTAAAATTCGATTGAAAAAATAAAAAAATTTGCCATTAAAAATTAAAAATGCGATAGCTGTCTACTTAACCAGTTTGGAACCATCAAATCATTTCGAATGAGGAAACGGTGCAGTGCTATATTATCCTCTCGGAAGATACCATTGAGCTGCGTTCGCAATCTTGTACCCATCGCATCATATTTTCTTCCTTTGCTTGATCCTAAACACTTTCTAGTGCCTGAAAAGTATATGTTCCGCTTTTTATTTATATAAAAGGAAAAAAAAAACTAGTTTGATCTTCCATTTCATAAATAAGGAAAATCAATGATAAGAATTCAATAATAAACATACCATTAATACTTAAACAAAAGAAGCCTTTCTTTTCGTCAAAATACAAAAACTCCTCAAAAGAAAATTCAGGCTGATGTAAAGAGGCAACTAAATCTTTGAGCGCACTGGCTGGATTTTTGCGAAGACCATCGCCATCCACTAAGTAAATCTGTGACGGAGGAAAATATTCAAGCCAGTGTTCTAAGTGGTGCACATATCTGAATTTCTTCATGTTTTGAAAAATTTTAGGAAAATATTTCAATTTAAATTTAAAAAACCTTATTTCAAGAAATTCAGTATAACAAACCTGCCAGGCGAAATGCAACGACTGCGGAATTTTCTCATCGCTACCGGTGAAGATGTATTTGCAAACAAAATATCATTTAAAGAATACGTTAAAGCTAATGAATCATTATGTGCACGCATATGTTGGTACCAAGAATAAGCGCGATCTGCTGGGTCCATCAAAATTATCTGCAATGAAAAACAGACTAACTCTTTCGTAAAAGTGGAAAAAAAAGGAATCAAAGAAAAAATAATGAATAATGAATAATAATCTTTTAGTATATATTCGAAAATCAAAAACTTCAAAAAATGATCGAAAGACTAATTTGATATATTTAAACATTTTTACAAGATTTGTAGGAATTTCACGTACAATTTTAAGATAGATAAACAAAAAAAACAGCTTGGAAAGTAAAATACTTGTAAATGTTATAATACAAGTATTATAAGTAAAATACTTTTTTTACATATTATTGTTAAAATTTTAAAAGAATTCTAACGACAATGGCGGCTTTAGGTATAAGTGAAGCAATAGTACGAGGTGCATCAACATTATCGAAATACGTTGCACTTTTTTCGAAAACCATTAAATGACTTTTCGATATTTTTGAACGAAAATTGTCCATATACCCAAAAGTTTAAGAGAAATGAAACATAAGTATTTATATTTTTCCATCACTAATACCTTCTGAATATCCAATATTTTTGAAAGTCGATTAAAAACTAATGCTTATCCAGAGATTATTTCGAAGATTACAATTCAAATAATTTCATAGTGTTTTGCAAAAACAATAACTATTAAAACTACACATGCTTAAATATTTCCAAGAGAAAATTAAAAATAAGCAATAATAAATTGCAGTAAAGACCATGAAATTCCTCGGCCATAATTTGCACCGCCAAAAAACTGTAGTTCTTCATATGAATATGATATAGGATCATTGGTAGTAAAATTTGGATGAATAGCAAGATATGTAGCTAAAGCCGTTGAACCAGTTTTTTGAGGTCCAACCAAGAAAAGATTTGGCAAAGGCATTTCAGCACAGTTATATGACGATGGGAGAATTCGAGATTGACGAGGATCGTTGCAAGGATTCTGAAAAAAAAGTCGAAAATATCAAAAATAAGCGTAATCAGGGCATAAAAAAAGATTTACACTCCAAACTGGCATTTTTTCGGAAGGGAATTTTTGAAAATAAGCCTGAGCCATTTGCAAAGGCTCCATCCAGAGTAATCGAAGATTTGTCCAACAATAAATGAAATCTACAACGCGCTCAAACGTAAAGATTGCCAATCGATCATTTGCATAATTCTGCTGATGAGTCATAAATATTGAAAACTGAAAATAATGAAAACTGGGAAAAAATTAAAAATATGAAAAAAGGATCAACAACGCTCAATTCGATAATCAAGAAATAAAATGGCAAAACATTTACCTCATTTAATAAGATAGTGAAAAAAAGGTCACCACCTTCAATATTACTAATTAGTTTTGAGAAACCACCAGGATAAGAATGAAAAAACTGTGTATGGGTGTAAAGACCGCACGTTTGTCTAGGTAGAACCTTAAAAAAGAATTATCTTAAAAGAATAGATAATTTATAAAAATTTTTTAAAGTGAGCTATTTTACAATTTTACAATTACAATTTCATCATTGCTCTCATCAAGACATCAAACTGAATTGAATTTCCGTTAATTTTCAAATCAAAATATTTTGTGATAGGAATTTTTTTTGTTATTGAAATTTCACGCCGAATGCAATCATCAAGATCCATCAACACATGAAAAAATTTCAAATTCACTTTTTTTATGCAGTTAAAATTATGGAATTAATTGATTAAAATAAATTAGTTCATTAAGAACAAATTTGATAAATTACATAACATATATACATCTAGTAAATTACAAAATCCATCGTAATTCCTCGTTTTAATTAGCTAAATTTGTTAAAAATTCAAAATTCTACAAATCCACAACACACCGATATATTCATGTGAATAAAACCACGCCTATTAGAAGCAGGTCGAAAATGAGGATATTCTTCAGTCGACGTAACTGATATATTCCATATAGCACGCCAAGCATTATAAAGAGCTTCATGTACAGGATATACACCAGCATGTTGCGGTGATACTGCATAATGAGATGCAGTCGATAGACCCATACCCTATAAAATTATATATCAGTATTTTCAGAACTTAAATTATCGAAATACTGTTGAAATCCGCAAAGATCATGGAGATTTAAAAATTTTCTCCCTAAATAAATCATTTCCCTATTCAAATGATAATTACCTGAGCAAAGAATTTATTCTGTGCCATAACAGCCTTGAGATAAGTTTCGTTGTATTCATTTGCATGATTATGTCGCCACATATGAGGAAACCAAATAAAATTTTTGCCAAGTTCTTAAAAGTAAAATTTATCAAAATTATAAAAAATTATAAATTATAAGACTAAAATTATTAATTCGTGAAAACTTGAAAAAAAAGAAAAAATTAGATGTTGTAATGTTGTAATACAATAGATATATCTTCTAACACCTCTCATCATTCCTGGGTAGGCGAGCTCCAATGGCTATGAGTAAGACGCTTCCAAGCGACTCCGTCTGATGACGTCGACAGTAATAGAAGCCACTCTTTTTCCATCCTCTAAGTCCATATATTGCTGGTCCACCTATACGTTCAAAATCTCTTCTGACCGTATTAGTCCAGATCTTGATTGGCCCACTTCGCTTTTAACGCCACCCATCACATGGTTTAGCAAGTAAAGAAATATGCGTCAACTTCTGTGGTGGACGACAGAGAAGGTGCCTTAACCAGCGAAGGCGACGCTCTAGCCTTATTAATGCAAGAGGGAAGGTGGAAGCGATCATGTGATATTTTATCCGCTCGATGGACCCGTAAAATGTACCTAGGCAGATGGCTTCTTAATATCTTCCACTTTCATGTCTCAGAGCCATACAGCAAGATCGAACGAATTACGGCTAGATGCGGACCTTCGTTTTTTATTATATACTTATACGATAATATATATAGGAAAATTTACCAATCAATCTCTCATCTCCTTCATCTTCTAATGGATCTCCATTACGAAAATAAAATCCAGAGAAGCCCAAACAATAAGTAAAGTTTTCAATTTTTCGTCTAAAGGCATTTTGTGAGGCTAACAGAGCATCAGCATCGACTCGAGTAATTCGTGTTCCACTTGAACCCACAAAAATATCATCAATATCGATTTGAATATAACGATTCAGTGAAATATCAATCAATCCTTTAGAAAGATATCTGAAATATAAATCTCTGAAAAAATTTATTTTGAGGAAATTTTATGAATTTTATTATAAAATCAAAAGATCTATAAATGCGAAACTTTCTTTTAAATTTCAATTTAAATTCAAGAATTGAAATCAAATAAAATAATAAAAACCAAGAAAACAAAATAAACCTAAGTGAATCAACAAATGCAATTTTATTAATCCAGTAAGTAAAATTATGACCAAATAAAATTCGCTTTATTTTATCCATTTTTCCATCGTCAAATATAACAGCAGCTCGCTCGATTCCATTTACATCGTCGGCTGATAAGAAACTACTGAACCCTTTAAAATTTCATTAGTCAACATAAAATATCAATAAATATTTCATACATTTTATTATATATATTACATTTGAAGCGAAGATAATATTGAAATTTAACCAATTTTCAATAGCTCATATATTTATAAAAAGAAAAAGTAAATATTAGTTAGATAAAAAATTTTAATTATCTTATCAAAATTAACATCAAAAAAGATAGATAGTTATGTTGAAGATTTCAAGAAAAAAATTTTTAAAAAATTGAAGAATTTCGAAAAGCAAATTAATAACCTCAAAAATCAAAAAATCTATTCCAAAATTTCTGAAAAATTAAAATTTAAATAAAAAGTGGAGGTAACAAAAACATGTTATATGTAATGATTGATATGGAGCACTTTTCAGCACCTTTACTGTAGTAAAGTCATTCTCTTTATGGTATGCTGAGATTTGATCACGCTTATTTATAGTATTGAATCTTTCCGTATACATTATTTAATTTGGCTGTGGTTGATTAATTATAAGTCGCTACCATATATAACTGCGAATTGTTATTATTTAACTATTTTCTGCTAAGATGTCTACAAAAGATATTAATTTCCAACGTTATAACGATCAAAATTATTTCGAAAAAACAATAAAGACTAAAATGAAACCTTTGATGTCGAAAAGTACCCAATCATCATTATCAGGAACAGGATATTCCAAAACAGCTCCAACTTTCGCAAGATATAAAATTTTTGAATCACTCGTAAACCGAAGATTTTTCGCTCGTTGTTTCTGAGTAAAGGTAAGCTTTGAATTCTTCACTTGAACGCGTTTGTAATCATTTGATCGACTAGCAACAAACGATATTATTCCGACATTATACTCATAACAATATTTATCCAATAATTGACGATTCCATAATGGTAAATTTAAATATTTGTAATAGTTTTCAAAAATAATTAATGAATAACGTCCACGCTTCGCTGTCGTTAGCAGTGGCAAATTTCTTGAAACCGTTTCCACTTTCCGATGAATTTTTAAGGCATCGATTATTTGAATAATTTGTTTGCCAAGTTTCGAGTACAGTGTTTCAACAAATATTAAAACTTTTGCGTCGGTCAACTGTGATGCATTTACAGAATAAGCAGAATACTGACGAACTTTAAAAGTTTTATTTGCTGCTCGTGGACAAATATAAGGCGCCACGGACTGCGGAGGATATCTGGAAATTCGAAATTAACAAACTTTATTGTGAAGAAATCCAATGATTCTTTCAAATGAAATATTGTTACGATGACGCCGATTATATAATTGTTGGTGATCTTAATATGCCAAACATAGATTGGGAAAATAGTTGCATGAAAAATAACAGCAAATTTGAAAAGGATTTCCTAAACTTTTGCATTCGTATAGATTTAAAGCAACATATTAAGATCGCACCATATCAGATGTTGTGTTGGCTACTTCTCCTACTTCTCTCTTTGATTGCATTAATATCCTAGAACCTTTTTGCAACAGTTATCGTAATATCGTTATGCTTCATTGAAATTAAATCGTTAGATTAGATTGTACCTCCCTCGAGAATTTCTAGAAATTACGTTATGATTATGAAATCATTAATTCTATCCTTGTACAAATGAACTGGTTTTATTTAATTCACTTTATTGATAAAAGAGTTAATTTTCTAAATAGCGCCATTTTATATCTTATAGAGCAATGTATCCCTTTAAGAGAAAAAGATATAAGACCCAATTACTCCGAAATCTCTTTTAAAAAATGTAAAGAACTTTTATAAGCATAAATTAACCAAATTGCCAGATAACACATCTCTGCACATAAAAAATATCTTAAAAGTTCCCGTAGTGCTATAAATACTTTTCAAATAAAGAAGAGCAATTTTTAAATTAGAGATTCTTTCTGGATTTAATAAATATTCTGTACTCTGCAACATAATGATAATGTCGATAATGTGATCACCTCTGACATCAATATTGCAAATATATTTAATCAATATTTTTCTACTGTATTTATTGACGATAATAGTACTTTTTTCAATGTAAATCGAAGTTGTTGCACCTCTCTCTGTTGAAATAACCTTATTAGATACTATAGATACTCTTTAAACAATTTTTAAATGTCATTAGAGATTCTTTCTGGATTTAATAAATATTCTGTACTTTGCAACATAATGATTTACGCCATCCATTTCAGCTGGTCCCGATAATATTCCACAAATAATTTTTAAAGAATGTGCAGTCTCTCTGAGTCTTCCTTTATTTCTAATTTATAAGGATTTTATGAAGTTGTTTGCTGACTATCTCAATCTGTTCAATCCTTTTCCTTCTTGTTCATCTGACCTAAAACCCAAAATTCGGAAATTATCTCATGTAATTCCCATTCATAAGAGGAAGCACTTATGATCCTTCTAATTGTAAGCCTATAAGCCTAATATGTTAGTAGTAAGATGCTAGAAAGGTAACTGGTTTGCAGCGAGTTACTTTTTTGTCTTGATCCCAATATTTTAATATCCAGCTACCAGCATGATTTTGTCTTGATCCCAATATTTTAATATCCAGCCACCAGCCAGCATGTACGAAAAAATCTACTTCACAAATCTTTTCGATTGGCATCAATTGATAATGGAAAAACAATTGTGTAAGATTTGTCCAAAGTTCTTGATGCTATTTCCCACAGTATGTCGATCATTCTTAATAATTACGGTTTACAAAGGCCTTGTATAACTAGGTGTCATATTACATAAAAGATCATCATCAGGCTATATGTGTCAACAGTATTCTTTCTAATATGACACATGTTAAATCAGACTTTCCTCAAGATAGTTGTATTAAGCCATATTTCTTTTTTAATTCTACTTTTATCAGCAAACTCTACCATCATTAAATTAAATGAGAATTATATATTGCTAAATTCTACCATTTATCTTTACGCTGATGATTGTAAAATTTATTATTTTCATGGTAGATCGGATAACGTGTCTGCACTACTCTCCACTACAGGATGACCTCAATAGAATTGCCAAATGGTTGTATGACAGGCAAATTACCCTATCTTTTCAAAAGTATAACGTTCTATATATAAATTCAAAAGGATTCAATCTTCCCAATCGTTTTATTAATGTTTACATAATCAAACGAGTCTCGCATATTTCCAACCTTTTCATAATCATGGATGAAAATTTTGACTTCGACCTTCACAGTAGAACCATAGTAAAGAAATCCTCAAAAATACTAATTTTATTTCTCGTTCGTTTAAGAGCAGAACTCTTTATTAATACCAAAGTACAAAGCGTTGGCTTCTTGTTGGTCCTACAACACTACCTGTTACTCCCCGAGATACCGCAAATCAAGTAAAAAGATTGAAGGACTCCAGCCAGAAACATTTTATACGTCGCCTCTCTCCTAATAGCAATTTTAATTATAAAAGAAAATTTCTACAACACAACCTGGATTCCCTCTCAGTTCGACGAATTATACAAGATTTAATTTATACTTGTAAAATTCTGTATGGTTATGTTAAACTAGACTGTTCAAAATACTATAATTTTAGGCTAAATTTGAATCCAACAAGAACTAATGGGCTAAAATTACTAAAACCTATATGTATACACGTAAAACTAAACTAAGGATTCATTTCTTTATTCGTACTATTAATTACTGGAATAAATTATCGAACAATGTAGGTATATACATCGTTATATACTTAGCTATTTTTGAAAAAAGATTAGATAATATCATTTATGATATTATTTAAAAAGTTCACATTATGCAGGAAGTCTTCTTTGAAATCCTTATTATCCTTAAATCCTTTAATCCTTGATTTTTAACATTCGATTATATAAGTAATATATTCCCTTCTTCCCTATTAATTTCGTAACTATTCTTCCCTTTATTTTCTCCTTATTAATTTTTATCATATTTTCTTTTTTATCTTTAATTTTTATTATTTATTTTAACTGTTGTTATCAATATAAGCACATGGTTCTTGTCGCCTTGCTTTGTTGATTTTTAATAAATAAATAAGATAAAAGCGCTAGGGAACTAATATACTGCGAAGAATCCTAAAGCTTCCAAGTTCTCGTGGACGATCTGAGGCCATGAATGATCCATGCCCATAGGGAATGAGATAGACATTTGACGTATATTGGAAAAATTTATCCGTAAAAACCTATTTTGAGTAATATGTCCTAAATATAAAAGTTTATTAAATCTATTTTTTATACATAAAATGGGTGCTTACTTGGTATGTAATACGCTAAATATATAAACACTTAAAGCAGTTTAAGAGAGAAAAAAAAAACGAAAGAAACCTTCGATGGATATTTTCAGTTGGCTCAACGAGGATGTTTGAATAAATAACAACGAAAATAATCGTAAATAATAGAAGAAATTTTAGAACAAAAATGAGTCGCCTCCTTGGAAGCGTTAGCATTACAGAAAAAAGATTTATCTAATAATCATAATCATTCGAACTGCACAAATATCACCAATAAAAAATGAAGAAAATCAACTGAAATGTGTTTCAAAAATTGAATTTAAAAAAAAGAATATCATTTCGCTTAATAAAAAATTGTCCACAAAATTCAAAGAATTACCTCTAAATTTTCTGGGACTATTAAACGCAAAAGCTCAAAGGTGAACCATGACTGTAAATTTGCGTTGAATACTTCACAGTGAAGGAACTGATTTCATGCTGGCAGAAAGTTGGCGCGAGTTTCCAGCAGACGATTTACAAAATACATCAGATTTGTTAGTCCTCATTTTCCGCATAAAAATACAGGAAATACACCAAGAATTCGTTCTGTTTCCTTTAAAAGGTATCACTTTACAAACTTTAACTGCAAAAACTGCAAAATTAAGATGCAATTTGGGTTAAAAAACAAAAAACATCTAAAACGCTAAATTTGCGAATTGATGGCGTTCGCCTTTAAAATATGGAACAAATATATTCTTGGATAAGTGCAGTGCATTTCATTATAATTGCCCCACTGAATTCTAAATCTAATTCTATGGAGTCAAATCGAGCTGTCGACAAAAAATAAAAATCCTCTTCATAGCCAGAAATTCGCAATTCGAAAGTGATTTACATGACTTAGAAGTGATTGCGACTTTTGGATTGATTATCAAGCTTTTCACGTACAACGAGACGAGCGTTCTGACATGCTTCAAGCGAATATCGACTGCGAATAAACGTGCTTTTGCACGCACAGAACATCACCTCTGCACGCACTCAACCAAGCAGACATCCCTCAAAGATTTTCCGCCCTCTCTGCGGTATTTTCCACTTGTGAATATTTTCCACTTATGGTGCTTGATTTGGCATAAAAAATACCGAAAGCTTAATACACAACAGTCAACAAGACGATGTAAAGAGTACAGCGAATAAAAAAAAGTAGGAAATTATCTAAATAGAAGGATAAAATATGAAATGCTTTTTAATATTTCAATATTGTATGAGTTTGTCAGTTTATCAGTTCATCAATGTAAACTTAAAAACATCGTTAGTGGAAACGTTTTCAAAACTAACTAAATTCCCTATGACTTTAGCTGCATTCAGCACACCAATAATTCTTAGAGCAACTCAGCGGACGACATCACACTTGCAGAAACTACTTATTCTATAATCTCAAAAATAACGATTCCAGAGAAGGCATCGGACAATCTCTGATCACTGATCATTGATCAAGTTTAAGAGCGAATCGCCGAAATGAAATAACTGAATTCAGTAAAATTCAGCAAAGCAAACTTTTTTCATTGTTTCGGAATATGGAAATCCATATTTCGAATTTTTGGTAATTTCGTCGGAAAAAAATTATACAATTTTTTCGTTCGAAAGATTCCTCTAAAAATAAAAATTCGTGGAACCAAATTTCTCATTGCATTTGAATACAAAATTACTCCAAAACAAACATTTCCAAAAATATAACAAATCTGGAAAAATTGGTTTGAGTTTGATTTTCGAAGGCTATCAAAACGATGAAAAAATAGATTCCGCTCAACCGATCAATAGAATATGTAAATGACAGCCGCGGTTTTGCTTTTGATTTGACTGAATTGCTGGTTATGTATTCGAAAGCTGTGGGTGGGTGGTGGGAGGTGGGAAGGATAGAGGGGTGGTGGTGTGGTGGAGGAGGAGAGGTCTGTTGGCGTTTTGCAACTAAAGGAGGTTTTGCAGTTAAGTTATTGCGTTTCATTTATTCACTTATATTTACTATTTACTTTATATTCTCAATTATTTAGTTATTTTTAGAAATATTTTAGAATTTTAATTTTGCTATAAGTTTTAAGTCAATAGATAAAAAAATGATAACGATGATTAATACGTCAACCCACCGTGCTTCTCAGCAGATCCTCGTTTTACTGACATCCCCTTAACGTGTAAATGTCCACAAGTTTTCCTTCAGTATATCTACTGCACTAGACGAGTTGCGTGGTTTTCTTTCTTTTATTATTTTCTGTTGTGATGGGTTTTAAACTTGGAACTCGGATTCCCGTTGTCTCTATATTTGTTGTTTTCTTTTTCTATCCGCTGAATTTGCAATTTTCTTCTGTTTTACAGATTTCTGGAAAATTCCGATGATTAATGATATCAATAACGGTGAATTTTTGAAATATGGAAATAAGTCTTCGATCATTTTTTCGTGATTTCAATGCTTCGTTTGTTTTTTTTCTTATTTTAATCATTTTGCATGTTTTTTTACGTTTTTTTTATGAAAATGAAACTAATGAAAATAAGATGAAAATCATTTGAATCGATTAAGTAGTTGAAACTCTAAATGCTTCACTAACTATGGCGAGCAAATGATATTACTGCAGCTGCCACTTAGTTCGAGTGGCTACGTCCTGGTATTGCCTCTTGACGGTGGTAAATCTATTATTAAAACTCAAAATATTCGCATTACTGAGTCATATATTTTTATCCATAGTTTACTTTCCAGTGACGATATTTCATTTATTCTAATCAGTGGTGCTTTACCAAACCAGCAGTACTGTAGATGATAATATGATTATTTAAAATTTAAAAATTCAAATTCAAATTTAAAAATTCAATTCAACTTAAGAATCCAGTTTAAACTTTAAAAACTTATGGTGTAATTAGTTCTTTTCAGGAAATTTGTCTTATACAATTGTTTGTTGTGTTTTTTCATACTACTGCCATTAAAATTTGATAATGTGATTAATCTGAATTTTGCGGTTGTGTTTTTGCCTTTATGGATTTGCGAAACAATCGTATTTTTTGGAGCGATCATTGCTATTATATCTTTTATTAAATCACCACCGTCTTAGTTAGTTTTATTTAATTTATTAATTAGTTTTATTAGTTTTATTTAATTTCTTTTATTTATTTTAAATGCTGTCATTTTATTGTTTTTTATTGTTTAATTTTTTTTTGACTTGTATAAAAATAATTAAGTGGTTATCGCCTACCATTTTTAATTAGGTTTGTTTAGCTGGCATTTCATGCTGTTAGAAATTTTTGCATCATTTGGCGGTAGAAACAAATCACCGTCCCTCTGAATTTTTTTTACAATGGGGGTAGGATCAAATTGCCTCACATTACGATAATCTGGACTACTTTATCATCTTCCCTTTTTTTAGACCTAATTAATGATTATTATTTTAATCATATCATATTCAAAATATTGGCTAAATATTTATTCTGACCTTGTAATACCAAATTTTCCATTTTTTATTTTATTTTTGCTGAAGAACAAGGATTAGGACAAGAGGGATTATAGAATAGAATAGAATATATATTAATTCGTAAATTTAGTAATACTAAAAGGATAAGTTTCAAAGATGAGGGATGCCTCTCATTTCATGAATGTTTCAGAGAAATTACGATATTTTTTAATTTTTTTGTCCGAAATAAACGAAAATTTTTCATTGGAGTTTTGGAATTTTTAAAAAATTGGCGAATGAGATTTTTAAATAAAAATTTTTCAGCTCTGAAGTGGCATTACGTTCTGATTTTTATGCAATGATCTTATGTGCTGGAGAACATGCACTCCTATTACTTTTTGAGATTTTGGCTTGTTATAAACTGCAAACAAATGCCTCGATTGGTGAATTACCTTGGCTTCTCGTTTTCGCTCCACTTTTCGCACTTAGTATTTTATCAGTGATTGTTCTGATATGGGCAATCAGAAGTGATAAGTCGTTTGAAGTTAGTCAATTCCTTATGTCTTTCTAAGCGCCGAAATTTTTTAAATGGAAGTCTTTCTTTCAAAAATATCAATAAAGAATGATTTTGGCTTTTACTTTGTTAAAATCCAAATTTAGGAGGATTCCAATATTAATTTTTCCCATGTCAGTTTTAAAAATCTATTATTATTTATATTTATATTTTTTATTTTATAGAATATATGCTATATAGAAATAAGATCTATTCAAATTTGAATCAAGGATTGATTAAATTTAGTTATTCTGCTGTGTTGAAATTTACGTTGTTTTCAGGTTATGTAACTATTTAGGGAAAAAATTGTTTAAATTGTTTCAGATGGAACTTTTTTTTTCTGTGAATGTTGTGCAATTTTTCTTCATTGCGTTTAAACTTGATAATATATTAGACTGGCATTGGACGATTGTTTTTATTCCGCTTTGGATTATTCTTTCACTTAGCATTGTGGGTGTATGTTTTCAATATTTTTTTGAAGCATTATTGAATTTGCTACGATTTTTTCTCTTAAAGCGGTTCATTTTATTGTGCCCTTAGGTAAATAAAGGAATGAAGTATAAATATTCAAATTTTCAATATTAGTATTTTGAATTTCAAGTTGCATCTAGAAATTTTCACTTTTTTGAAGCAAATCAAATATAAGAATACTATAAGAAATGGCATTTTTCAGGTTCTTTATGCCTTCGTTTTGGCGATTGTATTGGTTCGTTCAGTCCATATCTTAGCGTCTCAGAGGAAACAACATCTTTATTCTGCATTTTGTCACACATTACTTGTTATTCCAATTCTTATATTTCTTATACTTCTTACAAGTAAGCCTCAATAGGAAGTTTATCTTATACTTGTTAATGTTGTTAGACATTTTTTATTAAATATTTTCAGGTAAACTGGATTCGAATAATTGGTCTGGAGAGGAAAAAGCTATTCATATCCCATTCATCATTGTTTCATCTCCGCTAATATTGGCAATTTTTTGTTTAGTTTTTATGTCTATTGGTGCACGCGGGGGTAATCCTTGGTGGTTTGCTATGCGTTCTCCGTTTTGTAATTTTCTTCTTGATACTTGTCCATGTTTAAAACAATACGCTAATCTCAGTTATAAGTTCGGTTCATCTAATATTGATGAATTTTTGGATTCAGAACGTCAAAGTTTTGAATCCGATCTATCATCTCGTTTTCCAGTTAGGCCTATTGTACCAATCCGTTTAATTGAAATGCCAGATTAATTATGAATTTATTTTTTCGATCGATCGATCTGCATTTATCAAATATCATTCATTTATTACTGGTTATTGTGGAATTAATATTTAGTTTTTTTTTGCACTTTGTCGCTTTTTTTAAATATTTTTGAACAAATAAAATTTCTGACAGATAAAAGATTAATTATAAGCTCTAAAGGTGGTAATCTTTTTGATTTATTTTCTTTTCATTGTTTAAATCATTATTTATCATAAAATTTTTTTGGAAAGAAGTAGCAATAGATTTTAAGTTTTTGCTTTTTCTTAAGTTTTATTTTGAGGTCATTCTATAGTTTTACTTTTTTTCAGTGAAATAGATTGTGAGGATATGAAAACTTATTATGAAATTCTTGATGTATCGAAAAATATTTCGACCGATGAATTGAGATTAGCTTATTTTCGTGCTTTACGAAAATATCACCCAGATAAAGACAATGATGTTGATACTACTCAAATATCTTCAATAATAAGCGCTTGGAAAATTTTAAAGTTGGTGAAAACAGAAATGAAGATTACCTAGGTCCGACGCTTAGGTCTTACCTGTAATACTACCAGGTTTATTTAAGATGGAATTTGAAAGTGGAAGAGATTATAAGATAGTGATGGATCATAGCTAAAATAGTTATAATATGTAGGAGGATCGAAAGGCGCAAAATTTGATGCAGCACGTAAGGTCGAAATTAAGATGGAGAGTTGTACAAACTGTGTTTCTAAACAATTGAAAATTGAGGGTTTATTGAATATTGAATAATCGAAGTCAAAGTAGGTTTAATGCTTGAAGGTCAGTCTATTATTTGATTATTTGATTTATTTATTGCATGGTAGTGAATTTACTTGAGGTCAGTGCTGGCAAAATGTGGGCTATATTAGTAGAAAAGTTCGGAAATATTAAAATTATTTGAATTTTTCATGTTCAGTTTCTTTTCAGAGATAATAAGTCAAGAAAGGCATATGATTTGTGGTTAAAGGAACAGAAACTTCGTGAAAAAAAGGGAATAATTGGTGATAAAATTATTATTGATATACATACCAGTGAAGTAATTGAATATTGCAGGTTGAAAAACATTTCCATGTTTTCAGTGTTTATGCTTTTTAATGTTATTTAAGATTTTTTAAAAATGAAATTGTAAAATTAAATGCTTATACGAAAATTTTATAAAGTTTTTAGATTAATTGAATAGTTTGTGTGATTTAAAAAATTTTTTAAAAGTTCAACTGTTTGGTCAGATGCAATGTTTTAGCTGCGGTGGCGAATATTACTTAGATAAAGCGGAAATTGATCGCATTATTGAATTCGCGTTTCTCGAGTGTTCTAATTGTTCACGATGTCTAGTGGTCAACAGACAATGATGTCGCATAAGATTGTCGTGCTTGGTAGTTCTGGTGTTGGAAAAACTTCTTTTATAAATTTAATTTGTTCTAGGTAATGATAAATTGTTATGAATAATAGACCATTGTGTACAAAAAACTGTATATTTAAATATAGATAAATGAGAATAAATTTTTCTAATTGAATAATTGGATGTGAATTCCTTTCAGTTGTGTTTGCGAAATATAAATTTCATAAATATTTGGCTTTATTTCTTCAAAGAAATCCATCTTTAATTTTGTGGTTTGGTGAAAATACGTGAAGAAACTTCATAAAATCTATAAAGATTGCTGTAATCAGATGCATGGCTGGACAAATATTCTGCAGGTCAGCTTCGATTCCATGTAGTACAGTTGGTTGCGCTGTTTCCGTTATAGCTCATCAGTACCGTGCAGGCAGTGCTGAAGAACAAACAGAATTGATAGAATTATGGGACATAGGTGGATCTTTAATGCATCAAAAAGCATCTTCGGTTTTTCTTGAAGGTTTTTTTGCTTTAATTTGCTTTTTTGCTTTAATTGTATTATAATTTTATTTTCCACCCTTTTTTATTTTATGGATTAAGGCATTTTTTTGTTTATTCCATTTATGGAAAATTTAACATTCTTGTTTAAAACTGCAAAATAAATTTGCAAATGTTGCAATGAGCTAAAAATCGATCGTATTTCTTTTACATTTCTAAAAACTCTCTGAACTCATTCTTATGTTTTGCTAAATATTTTTTCCTTCCGATAGCCAAGAATAATATTTTTTATTTCATTATATTAAGTGATTTATTTATTTTTATGTTAGGTGCGACAGGTGCCATTCTTGTGCACGACTTGAGTAACAGCAAAAGCGAACTGAGTTTGGTTCAATGGCTTACGCTTATTCGTGGTGATAATTCATTAGCATCAAATCTTGTTTGTTCACCTAGCATTATTCGACCTCTTCTGTCAGATATCGAAAATACTCCGATTCCTACTCTCATCGTTGGATGTAAACTTGATTTAGCACCAGGCAGGGCTAAACAGGTGCATTTTTGATTTCGAAATGGTAAAAATCATCCATGCTTTTTTGAAAAGCTTTGTTATAGAGTGGTTATGATCGAATTAACGTTGATTGTCATCGAGAAATGCCCGCGGGTTCGACGAATCGCATTGTTATCTCCAGATTTTTCGATTCTGTAGTCGAGCGTAAGAAAAAACCAATATCAGTTGGTCGCCGTCGACTTTTTTTATAGTTGAACGTATACCATAATTTCTCTTGTTGAACTGAATATCGAATTTTTTTCGAATTTCTAAACCATTTTATTTTAAAAGAATCGTTTCTATATTGATCATTAACTATTATCAATCGAAATTCTTGAATTTTTTTTTAGAATTGCTATAATTTTATTTTATTTTTATAAGGTCGAATTATCACATCTAAAAAAAATAGTACATTTTTTGCAAATGCAAAATTTTTTGCAAATGCAAAATGCAAAATTTTTTGCAAATTCTCTTTGCAAATGAGTTCTAATGGAAATTTCATTAATTATTGAAAACTTACTGAAATATGCTTCGAATTTAAGAGAATTTCGATAATCTCAAGTCAGTGTTAATTTATTGTTATAATTTAAATGAATATCTGAATGTATGTTTTAATTTAATACAATCTGTTTTAATTGAAATAAATAATGAAAATTTATATTAAACTTGAAATTTTTAAGACAATTTAACAAGAATTTCATTAAATATTTCAAAATATAGCTTTTCGAAGCACTTAAGAGCGTATTTATTGTAATGAGCGCTACCATCATAAAATGCGAACAAGTTCGATGGGTCAAAGACTCGACAAATCTTGAATTAAATTAATTATTTCGAAATAAATTTTGAATTTTTATTTTTGAATGATGAATATTTCTAACTTATTTCTTTCACTAACAGTGATTCAGTGGAAAGTTCTAAAGTTTTGAGGTGTTCTAATACAATCCTTATAATAATCGAAAGTTTAATGATTTTTTTTTCGACGAGGATGCCCCATAACAATCATTGTTTTTTCCGAGAATTCAGAATTTTTCTTAATTATCAACATTATTATACATTATTTGTACAAAACAAAGCAGGACGATATTAAATATTAACCTGGAAATCGCAAAATATTTGATGGGGGTAGATTCTTTCACATTTGTCACAACGAAGAGCATCGAGGCGATAATATGTACATCGTTGCTGATCCCAGTAAGTCGAATATTTTGCATATAACCCATTAAATTTTAACCCTAATCGAAGCCTTCGTAATAATCGTTTCGTGTATTCTTCTCTTAAATTTCTTTTTTTAATATATTGATAAGATAATTAAAATAGTATGTAATTTCCATTAACGAACGTCCACGATCGTCAAAGAGTGAAATAGACAATTTTTTGATTCTTCGTTTCTAAAAAAGGAACTCAAATCGACCTGAAAATGCTATAATGAATTGCTATATTTATAATGAATAAAATTTTTAGCTTACGCCAATCCAGGTAATGGATATTGTAAAATTATTTTTTTGGTGAATTTCGAAATATGATCAATTGTTTCCTGCATACCTTGATAAATATGATCGTAATCAGCAATTGCACAGAATGCGTCAGATTCCAATGCTCTGAATCCATTTATATTAATATCCATTTTGGAACTTTTTTTTATTAGGTGAACAGATTTAAAATAAAAATTTAGAGTTTGAAAGGGATTTAAGAAAGCAAAATGAAAAAAATTACGAAATTTACGCGAAGATAATAAAGACGATGTCAGGTTGCAATTCCTCGATTAATGCGATTGACGCATTCACAAATTTTCTGCAAATGTTATCAAATTTTACATTCGCGGCACCAAAAAATGGTTGACAATTGGAAGTAGCAACAAGTCGTATTCCGTGATATTCCTCTAGCAAAGCATCAACGATTGCAGGAAATGATGTGCGTGCAAAACTGTTACCAAAAACAACAACTTCTAGCTGACCTGAATTCTGAATATAATCGTTAATGATGTGTGAGATCACTAAAAATTCGCTTTAAAATTTAAAAGTTTTGAAATTAGTTCATCTTTAGCTCAAAAATCTAAACCTTAAAACAAGGTTTTCGTTAAAAGAGTCCCAAACCTATAGTAAACTTACTGGCTGATATTCGTATTCATCAAAAAATATAATACATGATTAAATCAAAATTCTAAAAAAATTCCACGGTTATTAACACCTAGTGAAAACAACGGGAATTTTGAGGCAAAAATGGGTAAATAATGAATTAAAAATGTGATAACTCTGTGAAAAATCATCGAAACAGATCGGAAAATCATTTTTTTTTTTTTTGTGATAGGCAATAACTTGACGCCCAACCTTGTTAAGAATGAATTGGAGTGCCTCATAAAGAAATTAGGTACTGCATAGTCAAAATCGACCAAATCAGTTTATAAAATTGAGCTTTTTTGCAGAGCTCAGAACTGATTATAATAGGTCACAAAGAAATATTACCTTAAAATATCCAGGAAATAAAATTGGTATCTTATTCCTATGGAAGTGTTTGTCGATAAGCGTATCGCTGAAACTTCCAGGAGGAATGAGTGGAGGAAATTTTTCTAGCAACGTATTTATGTTGATTGCCCGTTGTCTCGTCTTTGCAGTTATTTTTTGTGGAAGATAGTTGTTTCGATGAAAATCGTGGCAGTTATAAACTATAAACTAAAAATATATGGAATTTTTCAAAATTTTCTTTCATTTTCTTCTTTTTAATTAGGAAACCAACTACAGTGAAAGAGATTTTTTCTTAGCGAGTCTTTTAAGAGTCTTTCAATCAGATTTCATGTCGCATAGCCATACTTTTATAAAACTTTTGGCTTAGATTTATGAAAACAAACCAAAAGGAGAAATTCGAACGTTGGACTGATTCGATATGGTTATAGAAAACATGGGAAAATGCATATAATAAATAATTTTAAAATATTTAAATATAATTACAGAGGCAAAATACACGAAAAATATTCGAAAAATATTTTTATGGCGCATCGAAGTCGTTGTACTACAAAATAAATGAAATTGGAGATTAAGTTGACTGATATAGAATCATTAAAAAATAACGATATAAAAAATCACAATTGTTGTGATTAATGGGAGCGAAATGAAATGAATGGAAGTCGATGAAATTCGCGAAATTCATTAATAAATTTTCAATAAAATTTAGATTTCAGAAATAAATAAGTTCATTAATGCTCACTATTTCCGGTTGGTATCGCTTCATTGGATGTTATGGCAATAAGAAATTTTCGCCATGGAGTCAACTGGGATATCTCTAAGTAGACCCCCAGCATCATCATTCGAAAAGTTCAGGAATATTTTGCTGTTTTAAATTTGAATGTTTCATAATTTCAGACGACCACCAAAATTTTCAAAATTTTACATTAGCGGATTGCGTTAATTTTGAATTTCTTCGTAGATTCGACTTTGAAAATTTCGTAAATTCTCTTCAGTTTCAGAAATTTTATGAAATAAACCATCATAAGCGAGAAGTTAATAAAAGGCGACCCCAACGTTTCACGGTTCCCATACCTAAGCACCAGACAAAAGCCTAAGCATTTACTGCACTGAAATTCGTGTGCGATTTCTTTGAATAATTTGTAAAATCACTAGAATAATTCAACCAGAGAGAAATTTTAATGGATGTTTCTATGAAAAATACCGTTGTAAATAGTATATTCTCAATAAAAGAGTATCGAAACAAAAACATAGCCGAACTTTTCTCATAAATTTTCAGAATTTAAGAGAAAAAATATAAATGAAATAATTTTATATAAATAATTTTCATTGTATTTATAAAGAAATGAACGAGAAATTCGTTAAGATTCGCACAGTCGATAATGAATAGAAAATTTTCGAAGGTTATTTTGAAAAATATTCCATTAAATATAAATTTTTTTAGTTCGCAGAAAATATGATGGAAGATCAAGATTATAAAACGATTAATGTGGAACATTCTAAATCTAGGGTAAGGATGGTCCAATCGCATATTACGTTAACTAATGCCAAACCAATAAAGTGATTCCAGTTTCTTGACGAAAATAAACCTATCACTAAAAATGAAAATGAAATTTGAGTAGTGATGGGAGCCATTTATATTTTCGACAAACTCTCCAGCAAAAGATCGTGTTAATACCGTGATTTACCTCAATATAATGCCAGAAGAATATTTTCTAAATTAAAAATTAAAATTGGAAAAACTGGAAAGAAAAACAAAATGAAGGAAAAATAGAAAAAGTTCTAAGACGTTTCAGAAATATTCTTTATATTCAATTGTTTCGGTAGATGGATAATCTATTGACCACTTCACCAGCAAATTTGCTTCAGCCTTTCCAGCAATACTAAGTGTCCATTCCAAATTATTATCTGCATTGATTCGACGACCAACAGAAAGTATTTTTCCCACCATATTTTTATCTTCTACGACATCCAGCTCAGGTGAAATCAGCTTTATCTGAAAGTTATCAAAACTATTACGAAATTTTTTCGATATTCCAACGAAAGAAAAATAATAATAAAAGGATAAATTTCTATCAAATGAACCTTGATTCTTTCGTCAGTTGATTTAGGCACATACTCCGTTAACATCAACAGTATTTTGTCTTTTTTCGTGTTCTTAATAATGATTTTCTGTTCGTGAAAGGTTAATGAGGATTTAGAAATTAGACCAGCCTAGAAATAAAGAATTACTTAAGGAACTATAATTGGATTTTCCTACTATGAAAATTTTGTTAGAAAAAATACTTGTTCCGAATATTTATAAGCTGGCTTATATTCAACTTTAACTGCTGGGTCAACACCCAATGAGCACTGAAAGCGTTCACCAGGTGATACAGATTTAATTCTAGTCTGAAAATTATTAATGAAAAGATATAGAAAAACATGAAAAACAAATAAGTCGACAATAAAAACATGTGACTACTGAAAACAAGCACCATGGGTTTGAATCCTGTTCACGAATGAAAGTCAGTCAACCTTTCAAAACAAAAGTGATACAAAAGACCGATCTGCACTTTTACCACAAGTAATTCGCTGGCAGAGGGGTTCAACTCTAGCAATTAGTAAAATCAAAAATCAGCCAAATCAGAAATGGTGAAAAATTAAAAAAATAAAATTAAATGAAATTAAAAATAAAATAAAATTAAAATTAAATAAGAAATAATAGTTAGAAATAAGTAATAGAAATAGCAAGAAGTTAAACAAGAAATATTAAGCAAGAAAGATTTTGGAAAATTAAAAATTTTAGCGAATGAAATTAAGGAACAACCTGAGCAATAAAACTGTTATCAAAGTAAACAGATGCGCTTCCAGATAAAAGTGGGTATGGGGAATCATTAATAGCTGAAGCGACTAGATAGACATTGGTATTTTTATTTGGAATCGTCTGATGTACCATCACTGAGTCAAAATCTAGCAAAGCAAACGTGATTTTATGTTCACCGGAGCCAGAAAAAATTGTTTTACGAGTTGGAACATCAAAGATTGTCGACATCACTGATTCGGAGACACCAGTATTCTAAAAATTCACTATGGAAAATTTCAGTTGCCATGTAAAAAAATTTTTATTCTTCTTTTTAATAGAATATAAAAAATTTAAAAAATATTTAAAATATAAAAATAAATATGTCCAGAAAAGATTCAGAAAAGAATTAAATAAAAAAGTGATTGATAATTTTTTAAATCAAATTTTAATTGATATATTTATATTTAATATTATATTTATACATTATAGTTAATATTTAATATTCACGCGATTTCTCAATACTCAATATTAACTCAATATTAAGGAAAAGTGATGATGTATCGAAGAGGCTTTACCTTTTTCAGTTTTATGAAATTTTATAAATAAAATAAATTCGCTATGAAACATGCTTTTTTAGTTTGTTTTCTAAGAAAATGAATCGACATACTTCGTAGCGAATTTTCGCATCAGATTCCACTGCCTGTATTAGCCTAAAAATGAAATCGTAGAAGATACTTTTGATATATTAATCAAATTTGTTGCAAATTTTCAAAGAACTGAACTGATATCATCTGCGAATGTAGCAGCAGGATAGTGGTTTCGATTATAGTTAAAAGGCAAAGATTCGATTGCTGCCCCTAAGAAGAATAAACCACCATTAAAGAAACTGGATGCTAATTATTCCACTGTAATTCTATGACTCTATCACTGAGTGATTCCCTGGGAATGAGGATATCTGAATAAATTTTTTCGCACTGAAGAAATTTTTCTATCTTAAGCTTACATTAAATTTTTTCTAAATAAATTCATTTGCATTGAATTTCTCTAGTGAAATCATCACCTTTGCTAATTGGCTTGCAGTTATTATTATCTTTAATCACAAACATTTTATAATTTGTCCATTTAATAGGCTAAGATGCCATGAAAACATCGAATTAAGGTCCATGAGGCTTTTTCTTTTTTTACATCATACTATTTCTTACTAAGCTCGCTATAATGGCTAATTAAGATATTATACGTTGGTATTCTTCGAGTGGTTTGGTTAGTTTAACATTCACCTTTTCTTTAGCAAATATGCATATGAAGATGATAAAAAAAATCTTCAATCATCTTGCTCAATCGTTACGAAAAAAGCTTTATAATTCAAGCATTGTATTATTAAAAGTATCATATTAACGAGTAAATAATAAGAATTGCTAACGGCGTAGTACTGCCGAAATGAGTGCATTTCATTGCAAAAGGATGAGTTGGCTGAACTGAAGGTGGTGGAGTTGGTTTATGAAAAATTGCTTGAAGGCTGCCCAACTCTGGCATAATACCGCTTAGACAAGGTTGTGCAGTGCTTAATTTTAATGAAGCGTTAACCCAGTCTTCATCACAATTTTGATAAACGCAACCGCGATAAGTCAGCTAAAATATTTTTACTAATATTTCATCGATGGACCATAAAATCTCCAGAGTGGAAACCTTTAAATTTCGTTTTTCTCTTGCATCACTACGTACACGGATATCATATATGGGATACCAACCGCAACATGTCACCTGATAACTAACACAGAGTTTCACTTCACCAGTTTCACTGCTTTCCAGTAATATAATTATATTCCTGAAAATCCTAGAAATTTCATTTGAAAAATTTTATTTCTTAATAATGAAATATTAACAGAAATCTTTGATTTATTTTACATTATACGATTTATTTTACAATATATTACCGAGTGAAAAACTGCTCAGTAACTTAATATAAACATTTAATACCATTTATCATTTCTAGTACCATTAAGACCAAATGAGATTCCAGTGCTCCCCTGATTTTATTCTTAAATAGAAGATTAGTACCGACAAGCGATAAAAATTGAATCCATTATGAAGCATATCACCACATTTTACCCCCCAGTAACTCAATGCCGTAAGATTTTTATCGATTATTCGAAAATTGAAACAGGAAAAAAAATTTATGGGAAAATTTACATTGAGTAGACATTCTCCGCAACTTGAGCAGTACTGATTTCAGCATTTATCTTCCGTATTTTATCACTGATATCAGATAAATCGTCTTCTAATTTGTGCATTCTTTTTCTTGCTTCCAAAGAATTCTGGTCATAATAGCTAAACAAATTATTTAAACTATCGAAGGATTCTTTATCAATAACAACTGCTTGCTCAGTTTTTGGTGGTGAAATTACTGAACGACCAGCCTGCAAAAATGAAAAAAATGAAAATAACCCTAATTAAAATTAAAATTAAAAGAAAATGGTCGATTAATTTCTCGCCAGACTCGATAAAACAAATGTAACAAATGACAACCCGATTTATTAAAATTCATTAAAAGCACCACCGATAATTAAAGAGGTAAAAATAGAAAGAAAGAACAGTCAGACATGTTTAAATGGCATATTACAAAATGCTTTTGTTTCTGAAACAGCGACGGGATTAAAACCATTTGAGAATTGAATCTGAATATTCACTGGAACAAACTTTATAATTATATTGCAAATCGCTATTACCTCCTCAACTATTTTATCTAGAACTTCAATTTTATGTTTTATTGCTGCAAGAGAATCTTCAAATGCTTGCTTTTGAGCTTCAAGTGAGCGTCGTTCACGTTTTAATTGCGTCATCTAGAAACGAAAATGGATTAGAGAAAGAAACGAGCCGGATTATCTAGTAAAAGGGAATTACATGAAGTTTATTCCACTGAGAAGAAAAGCTATAAATAATGAATAAACCCACAGTCAATGATTGGTGAATGATCGGTTTATTGGTAATTTTAGTGAATTAATATGCATTGTACACAGTCATCGGACAATGCGTGAAATGCTGGAGTTATCGGAACCTCTAAGATTTATTCGTCCAAAGATTTGTGAGAAATCATATATACTTGAGAAAAATTGGAGGATGCTGAAGCCACAGCTGAAATTATACCCGAAAATATATATAAAATGTATAAAAATACCTTAGGGGTATCAGCCTCATCCAGAAGTATTGGCTGATTTTGAAGACCAACATCTTGTATAATCACTTTGCCAAATCCATCAATCCGAATCGAATCATTAATAGCGTATTTTGAAATGCTCTAAAGCTTAATAATTAATAATTATTAATTATTAGTTATGCACTGTATTATGTATATACTGAAATAATGTAGAGAGAGCATTCATGAGATTCAGCTTGACTTTTTGATTCATCTTTCTGCGACCTTAATTCGTCTTCTTTTTTTCTTCCAACTCGCCCATTCTTGGATTGGTCGACTTTACTGACTATTAGGATGAAGTAACAGCTACTTCATCTGAAAGACATCTAGAGATAAAGTACAGATGAATCTTAAACACTGCTCGAATTCCATTTCTAATAGCAGATTTATTCGTGCCATGCAGCAGAAATCTAGCCTTTAATCTTTCCAATATCCTTTTTTTCGGTACTATCAAATACAGAAGTTAGTTACCATTCTATTACTGCATTCAGTACAATAAGATTAAAAAAATATTATTATACCGTACCTCATGAATCATTGATTTTCTGAGTAAACTGCTATTAAAATTCATAATTCATCTAAGCATAATTTTGATGCACATAATCTGTGAACAGGCAAGAAATTTGCTTCCAATAAATTTCCTGTCAAAAAGAACCAACAACTTCTTGTTAAGTTAGATTCAGCAACCAGGACAAGACCGTTTCATCAGATCCACGTATAGAAACACCTTCAGTATGCCCTCAAGGACTGCCGGATTATTACCGATTAAAAATGAAAATATGCAATTTGTGCTAATTCATAAAAGATGACAAAGTAAGGAATATAAGTGAGAAAACCTTGATAACAATTTCATGTAATCCACTTTCCAATCGTACTTTTAGTTGCTTTGTGATATCAGCGCGGTCATTATAAACAGTCACTGATTCAATGGGCAAATCATGCGAATTAAAGCTATGAACTGTCTTTTTGACTTCGTCCATCTAAAAATTTTCGGTGAAATTTACAAAAGAAATAAAATCTCGAAAAAACTCGAATTAAAACATTAAAAAATCAGTAAATAATTTGCAAATCAAAATAAAAAAGTCGAAAGGTTAAAGTGATTCCATCCAACAGACGACAAATCGTTTACAAGAAATGGAAATATTTGACTGAAGTGGAAGCACTCTCTAACAATAACTTTTTATTGAAAAAATTCGTTTTCATTAGAAAATTTTGGACGACTGAATGCGTTTATTTGGCAGATTCTATGATCGCTGATATGATCGTTATTTTCAGCTGATTCATTTAATAAACAATTTCAGCTTAAAGCACTAATTAGAATTGCTAAATTCGAGTAAAATAATAAAATAAAACAGAACAATAAAAATGATTTGATTAAACTATTTATAATTTACTATATGAAAAACTTCACTGCAAATAATCATCGATTTTCCCATTGATTTGCTTATTTTGCATTATTGTTGTTTACGATTTTTCAAAATTTTCCATCAAAACAAGTATTTTGATCGCTTATTTGAAGAATCAAAATGTGTAATAAATTTATTAAAATAGTCATAAAATTAAAATATCAAATATAATAAAGAAAAACGAGTTTCTCACAATTCTGCAAACATTTCGGTATCGTCGTCCACATAATTTGCAACCTTTATTTTTCCAACAATCGATCACAAATTTCTTTTCCATAAAAAATAAATAAAATAATTCCTAAATGCGGAAAAAAACGTAGTGTGGCAAAAGTTAATAAATGAAGAAATTTCTTTTCTATCTTTGAAGAGAACGAAGCTTGTGCATCGGTGAATCAATGGTTAGATAATTTCCACTAAGGGTGGATGCTTGAACTCGTCGAGCGGCAAAAGAGAGTAGAATGGCTAGACAGCAGAAGTCAGAATTACTCAGTTACTCGGAATGCCGATGTTGAGGTTCCAGCTAGAAGTAAACCTGTCCAAAAAAATTCTGATGATGCTGACATCTCATCTGTGTTTCTATCGACAAGAGATTCCATGAGATGTTTATTTAAACCTACAAGCCAGCGGAGCAATTCTAACCAGCAATGGTGAGTGCTCTTTAAAAAAAAATAAAAATAAAAATATGAAAGAAGGAAATTTTGAAAATGATAGTTTAACAAGCGAAGTTGTATTTTGATAAGAAAAAACAAACAAAAGCAACAGAAATTCATCGAATTGCTTGCATGTAATTTATTTTTAAAAAAATTCTTTGTTTGTTGAATAATAAACAATTCTTAAAAGAATTACTTTTAAAAAATTTGCAAAACCAAAAAATGCAAAATAGGAGTATTTTAGCCAAGAAAAATTGTATAGATTTTTTTACACCGAATTTATTATACATATAAATCTAATATATAAGTGTACGGTGGTGAGCGAGTGATGCGTCGGAAGGCCCAATCATGCACGAATTCATGAATTCAATGCAGTGCCCTACCATAAAAGACCAAATTCCAGCGATGCCAAAGATACATTCGCATTTCTATCTCTAGATTAGTTTTCTGAATAAATCTCATTTTTAATAAGTAACATTCAATAAAACCACCTTAATCAAAAATAGCGAGTGCTTTTAGCTGATGATGGCATCGAACTGTTGTACTGAATAAATCTTTCTCCTGTAAACCTCATTTTTATGGGATTGGACGCATTCTTACGATCCATTAAAAAAAAGAAAGGGTTTGCGAAAATCAAAATTTTTCCTTCCAAGTTCCAAATTTTTTTGTCAACTGAATTTTGCTTCTCCCTTCTTGCTTCTGGTTTTTAGGAGTTGACAGATTGAAGGACCATGCTTATAACTGATCTTATGAAGTCGCATGATATTTATGGATTAGGAGTAATTCTTCACAATATAAAAAGCGTTACATTTTATTTTAAATCTTCATTGTTCCCTAAGAATAAAGGATTTTACAGCATAGCTATTTATTGATAACTTTTGGAGAAAAAATTTTTTCAAAAAAACTTTCGTTTTTAACATTTTAATAGATTAACAGTTTTTCCATTGATGCTAGGTCAAAAACACAAATATATCAAAAATATAATACATGTTTTGCTATTTTCAAGAAATTTAATAGATAATTGGAAAATTGATAATAGATTGAATTTCTTAATAAATTATAGTTTATGAATACAGTTTACTTTTTCTTGTGAATGATTTTTGGAACACTTCTCTTGTGATGAATTGAATTTATCTTAGGCTGCAGATGGCGGATATACAACCATAACTACAAAAAAGCTTCGTATAAATTTTTTATATCCTTTCATCCTTTTCATGCAATATGCAATACTATCAAAACCAGAAGGCTTTTTGAACGAACATCTGATGAAAAAATTTTAAAAAAATTTTTTTTTAAAAAATTTTAAAATAAAACTTGTTGAAGAATTAGACAATATTATAGAGAGAATTAGAGAAATAAAGAATTATTCTGGATAAGAATATTCCTCTGATTTTGAAATTTCGACGTTTGAACAAAAATAATCCCTATCAAAAGAATCTTAAGCATTAAAAAATCTCTTCTATAAAGAAATTATGAAATTATAGACTATGAAATTATAATCCATAGTTCTGGATCTTTGCTGCATTCATCCTGCTCTAACAAATGATAATTTCAAATTTTATAATTTGGAATTCCAAACTAGGGATAGCAGCGACAAGAGAACTTGGGGAAATCTGACTTCTGAAGAGAATCAGAAACTAAGATTTGATTCCAGCTTTGAATGCATCTTTAGGTAATGAATTTATATTCTATGGTGTTTTTGAAAAAAATTTTTTCGTTAATTCTTGTACGTTTTTATTGAAGGATATTTTAGATGCATTTATGTTGCGGTACTTTACTATAATTTTTTAATTTTTGAACAGGAATTTTTTAAAAAAGAGTGGTTTTGCTCTCATTATAAAACAAACAAATCGTTATCAATGCGTAACACATCATACAAACTTCGCAATATTTAATGGTTTCAAGGTTAATGAGTTGAATATGAGACAAAATTAATGGATATCGTGACCCAAATTTATTAGAATATTTGATAATCGTGCCTCTTTAGAATATATTAAAATAAATAATCAGTTAACGGCACCATTGATAAAATAAATTTATTTAATAAATACACTGTTGGCAATGCTATGGAAAACATTCCTGATTTTTATAATTCGTTTTTTACTATTGAACGATGCGAAATCCCTATGTAAGTTGATGGTTTTATGATACGAATTTTTCAAAATAGAAAAAAAAGAAGGGAAATAAGTTCAGAAGTTTGCAGTGTGCAATTAGCAAGCAGTGTGCCTAATGTAGGAAATAAGAGTTTTTTCTCCTTACTCATCGGCAGCACTAAACTTTATCATTAAAAATAAAATCTTTGCTGGAAACCCACATGTATTTTATGCCTAAATCTGTATTTCTAAATGACTGACTTTAGGTAGAAATACTAAAATTAGTGAAACCAAGAGTGATAAGAAATTAAATAAATATACAAAAAATCTATGGGAAAAAAATGGGAAAAATCTGGAAAAATTTTTAATATTAATTTGTGAATTCTCTTGAGGACATGAGATAGAAATACTTTTTTCCTCAGCAGAAAAAAATTATTTAATTTAACTTTAGGTTAGTGGATGGAAAGTAGCAATAATTGTTGTGCTTTAATAATCGTTTTGAATTCAGATATTCGATGCTTCAAAAAAATTTCTCAACATTCCATTGATAATGCTTCGCCAACAATGGAACTATTTTATGTGACTCCTTACAACTGCATGGATCACTGCGTTCTTGCTTATTTAAAAAATGTAATATTATTCATCCCACGAATTTCAATGTTTAATGGTGCTTAAAGATTTGACTATGGCTTATAAAGCTATGGGAAAGAAAGATAAATGCCAGAGGTTCTCAAGGGTAGAGGGAGAGAATTTTAAGAATTCTTTTCAATCGATAGAGAGGAAGAGGATTTTATTGGCGTTTGGTGGAAAGTGTGTAAAGAAAAAAAAAGTTCATTAAGCTATACCATCGCTCCTAGGTTTTTTGAACAGATAAGTCGATTAGTGAAGAAATTTGATTATGCTTCAAAGAAATAGCTTTGCTTTGAAGAAATTTTATGAAAATAAGCGCTTTTTGCGGCAATATCATTCATTCATTTTCTTCCTCTTAAATAAAATTTAAATCTTTCAAGAATTTTTCCTCCTATTTATCAGAATTTGCAAGAAAATTATCCGGGACTTAACAAGACGAGTAGGTAAATGGACAGCATTCACTATTTCTGATTAGGTCTGCTCCGCTAGTTTTACGGTTAGGAATTTTGGCCAAGACTTACTTGGCGGCAGATATACAAGTTAAACGCCAACTCCACTCGATATTTTTTTTTAGTAAGATTTTTATTTCTGTCGGAAATGTAGCGAAATTTGTGCCTCTCAACACGATAATTTAAATCATCATTCGCCTGGTTATGCTGCCTTTTCGAAAAAAATTTTAAATTCTTCAACAAAAAAATCATAAACAAATTCTTTTGCCATTTTATTATGACTTTTATTAGAATAATTATAATTATATAATTAATTATTGGGGATAGAATAGCTCAGTGGGTTGTTGCTCATTCGGGAGTGTCGATGCTGAGGTTCGGTTCCCTGCAGAAGTAAACCTGTACAAAAAACCGGGTGATGCTGGCGACAAAAAATCATTAATGAAAGAAACCATCAAGGAACAAATGGTGTAAATAATAAATAATGAATGTTAAATCTTTCTAAAATTTCTCTACGATTAAAAATAGAAATTTTTTCAAAAATTTTTAAAAAATTTAGATACAGTGCAGCATATTCATATATAATAATAGCCATCATAGCTGCCGATTTTTTGACGGCGTTGGTGGACAACCAAAAATAATAATTCATCCTGCAAAACTGTATGATATATATCTGAGGAGATCAATACAAGATTACTGTGCAGGTAAATTGAATTCAAATTATAATTATAATTAAATTATTATGATTACTTATTGGGAAAAAAGCATAACTTCTCACAAAAATGAATAGCATTAAAATATGCATCTTAACTAGAAATGTGTTCATCCGGACGAAACTTTTATGGAGCAAAATCACCATAAAAATGAAAGTCCGCGTCCTTCTAGCTGCAATTCGATAGATCTTGCTATTCTAGATATATTTTATTATTATTTTATCCTCTTCAAAAAATTAAATATTGTGATGCAAAAAAATCTAAAATGAATGTTACTGCTAATGATTTACTAGTTTACGTCGAATCTATAGCTTGATTTTTCATTTACAACTTAGTTAAGTTTTATTTGGATACGGTTAGAATCGGTTTAGTTCCATTAGTTACATTGCGGAAAGATGGAGAAACTGATTTAGGAGAAGTGCATATCTATTTCAGCCTCGATTTTTTGCTGCCGATTTAATTTTTTGGCGTCTGTATTTGCACTCTATTTCAAATAAATATATTGTCCGTCCTTTTTTGCACTTTTTCAAGTGAATGCTGTCTTTACAGTTAAAAAAGTTAATAAAGCTTTGATTCAGATTCGTAAGGAATGTTATATCCATGAAATAAGTTGTTCTTCATTGTGGAGAGACAATTGATTTTAGTTTCAACATGAAGTGAAATGATTCCAAATGAAAAGCCAAGTATTTATCTGATAAATGGGTACTATGATGTGACATGATTGGTAAAAAGATTTGTTACCTGCATGACCAATTTCTAGTAATTGTAGAAGATCATTTCCTAGCTCCATTTGTGCTATGAATTATCTTCCTTCGGAAGTAAAAGTTGCGATTGCCATAAAAATGAAATTTTTCGGGACAGATTTTTTTAAAGGACCATTTGTTCTCCACTCTTCCATTTTAAACGTATTTCCATTTGATTTTAGTTTTTACAAATCAGTCATGCATATTCCTTATTTTTAATGAAGAATCACTTAAATTTTATAGAGCTTTGAGCCACATCATTACCTATTCTTAATGTTTTCATATTTTATTATTGATACTTCATATGTTAACATATCGCAAATCAAAATTTTTTGATATTATGGAATACAGTCAATATGATACTCTCGTTGAAATTTTTTTTTCTTCCCATAGTAACTCGGTTTTTTTCTATCTTTTGAGATAATCGCTTCTTATGCTAACAAAATGGCATCCATTGAGAGAAATGTGGAGAAGACGTTTTGTTATAATTTTGATCTTACAGAACTTCCATAATCCTTAAATTGAGGCCCACAGATAGGAATATGGAATTTAAACTTTTCAAGTACCACTTTTGGCTCTTTTTTAGTGATATCTTTTGGTGATGATAGTGTTTAAGAGAGTCCTGACATCAAAAAATAAGATTAAAATCCTGTTTATTAAACGAAACTTCAAGTTGGTCCTCTTATAACTGTCATTCAAATTTATTGAATCGATAGATTGATTAAACCAGTTAACTTGTAATGTGCATGTAATGTGGTCGTATTGAAATATCAAAAGCATATCCAGGATATCTGTGAAGTCTTACCCATGCCTCAACTCGAGTTGTTTTTGATTATGTTACAATTTTACAATTTCATAGGACCACATTTATCGAAAAGAGATGGTGCCAAAAATTTCATAAGCAATGTGAAAGGTCATAAATTGAAATTAATATCGAGCGGGTTTTCTTCGAAACCAAATTCCAGGTCCTTGAATTTCTTAACAATGGACAAGACTGGGTTCATATCACTGGTAAGTAATATTTTTATTTCATTATAAAATTTTAGGTGGATAGAGCACAAATGTTCACAATCAGAATTAGTAGATTTGTGCTTCTTTCATTGATAATTGATATATTAATGTTTAGCTATCCATTAATTAACCATTTAAAAAATTTAATTATTATGACAGTATGTAAAACGACCAGAAATCCTTTTTAACTATACGTCGCCTTTTGATACTTGGAATCGACCTTATCTCGCCTTATCTCGTCATCTCATTCTTTCTGGAGGACACAATTAAAATCTATGGTTAGATAAAATGGTTTTTAATATCTTAGGGCAAACGTCAGTGAAGGTTCCCTTCTTGTTCAAGCATAATCTAACGTAATATAACTTTTGATACGAAGTCTTTTGTAAGTTAACGATTATATCGAAAAAAATTTATTAAAATAATTAAAGTTGAAAAAATAATTAAAGTTGAAAAAAGCTATTTACTTAAGGCATTGGAAAAAGGCAGCAAATCAATTGAAAAATTGCTTCATCAAGATGATAATTTTAATAATAATAATCAAGCATTCGTAGATCGCGATGATGAAAAGATACCAATTCTAGATGGGTAATTCCTTATTTATTGATTGCATAACCAGCAAAATGCACGTAAAATTTTGGAATTATTGGAATATATGCAGTAGCAAAGAATTTTAATGTTTTAATGATTTAGTGAACGAAGGAACCTTGTTTCTCGAAAGAAGACAGTTCAAAAGTTACAGCCTGCAATGAATAACGCTTTAATGCCTAAATTCTCTATACAGCAATTATCAATGCCCCTACAAAATCAAATGACCACGATTCTAGCTTCTTCAAAACCTTGGTTTCGAGAAGCTGAATTTACGAAATCTACAAGCATTTCTTCCCTCACAACATCAGCATATTTACATAGTCAATTTTTAAAATAATTTCCTTTACGACGTCATTTTACCAGAAATCAATGCTAGAAAGACGATCTTCTCACACGTAATTTGTAATAAGGAGCCGGTGATAAGGCGAAGTTTCAAGAAATTTTTAAGCCAAAAAAATTGACAATTTAGGACATTTAAAAGATAGTTTATCAAAATTCTGGATCCATTTGCCAGTAAATGGGGGAATGGGATGTGGATAGGAGAACACAATGGAGCGAGTCTAACCAGAATGGTGGGCTTTCTTCACTTTTTTTCATTTGTGAATAGTAGTATTCTAATGTGTGTTGTAGGGAATGTGAGTAAATGTCATACATCGCTAGCTTATTTTGCCATCAAGCGCAATGAAATGGTTTTTGTAAAACCATTCATCAGGATAAATAAAAAGATCTTCACTGACGTCGCAGAATGGGAATGTTTCAAGCGCTGCACATCATTAAAGGCTACAATTTTCTGCTATTCTAAGAATTATAAATTTTTTCTCTTCTTTTCTATATGAATATCGCAGTGTTTATTAAAATTATCAAAATGATTTCTAGCTTTTGTAAATCAAGATGAAGTTTGAGTTACTCTTTATTTAAGGTAAGAATTAAAGCAAAAATTGTTTGTAAATATTTAATGCAATTTTATTTTAGAAACATGAAACTAATATTATGGATTGTTCAGCAATAAATTATTTTGCAACGACTAAAAGATGCGAGTTGTATGATGTATCTGCACAGCCCCATGGACCTGGCAATTTGATGGAAAACAATGACGCGCTTTATGCGGAACAATTTTGTGTTTCAGGTATCACTGAAGATAGATAAAACAATTTGATTTAGTTCAAACGACAAGAATGATTACATGGTACTGATTTGGTCGATAGCTGTGCATTAATACTCGACTTCCACGCAATAATTGGTTCCACAATATTTTCGCTAAATTAGCCATTAGGATTCTTTAAAATTTGCCAATGCAAACTCCTCCTTCCAAACCTTTATTAAGCTTAATCTTGGCTAATTCAACCATTTAATAGAGAAAAATTATAGAATTATGATTTATAAAATTATAAAACATAAAAAAATGGTAATAAAAGAACCCACAAAAAAAAGGGATAAGTAGGGGCTTCTCAGTAACAAAAAATTATAAAAAAAATATATTTAAAATATTTTATATTTGTTATCCGACCACTCAGATCCAAGACGATTTGCAATAACTTTCTATGAAAATCCAGACGAAAAAGCAAAGATTATTTTCTTGTCCATACATTATACATATACAATGGTAGCAAGAAATTTGAAATAAGCTGTAATATATGCTAAAGCGTTCGTACAGGGACAAGATCAAGCAGTACGAGTTTTATTCCAGTTTTATTCCTTGAAAAGAACAAACCTGTTATAAAAGCTGGGTATCCCTACTCTCTTATGAAAGATTCTCACTAGAGCCAGCTAAGAAATGGTGCGTGCTGTTAGAGGAAGAAGGAAAGAAATTTACAGGTTGTCAAAAACATTCTTTTCTTAATGAGCGACAGTAGAATTAAAGCTTTGACAATTATTAGTTTTGGCAAATCTCATCCATAGTAACCACTTTATTCTATGAATTTTATTTTTTTCTTTGTTCTCCAGAAGTGCCATTCAAACTTCATAGATTAACATTATTGATTCTTGCCAAATTATAATGCTTTTATATTTTAGATAAAAAAATCAAATGTTCAGAGGATGGTATTTTCCTTTTGCATCCGATGAAGCAAATTAATGGAGAAAATATGGTTGTTCGATTTGCCAGTAATATAACCAATTGTCTAAGGCATTGCTTGGATCGCAAAGCATGCATGGTTTCTTTTGAGTTCCGTTTTCAGGACTAGTTGAAACCAACATTATCTTAGTTTAGCTTAGACGATTTTTCTCACATTCTCTAATTCCTATCATATTCGACAGTCAGCTGTGTTCGATTCCAATAAAAAACGATGTGCATTACATCGAATCAGTATCATCAATTCGCCAGATTCTTTAATTGATGCTCCGGTTGGTTGGGTTGTTATTGAAAATACATGCGATAGGACACAAATGACGAAGCACTCCGAATCTCAGGTATATATATTTTAACAAATGGAAAATATTCAAGACAATTTTCGTAATGTAACTAGTTCATATTTCGAAATATCTTCTATAATTATGAATCATTATATTTTAATGATGAAAGTAAATAGATGTCTACTGTTCCTCCGAAAAGCTCACAGTGGACTGAATGGTCGAGTTGTCGATTCAAGGTGCGAGGTTTAATAGTTCGAGTTCGAACCAGAGAGTGCCAAAATGGTTGTACAGATGGAGGAATGCAAATAGAACATTGTCATTTGTAGTTATACATATATATTACATATTTATAAATAGTTATCAGAGTTTTTATTATATTATATTATATTATATTTATTTCGATAATTCGAATTCGAGAAACAATAAAAATTTAGCTGATTTGATTAATAAATTTTTTTCGCTTTTTCTTCTGTCAAGGTAGAAAAATAATTTATATTCTTTCGATTTCTGACTTGTTAAATGAATTAATTATGCAATAAAATTTTGATAAATCGCTAGAAATTCCATTGTGTTGCAGTTAAAATTAAAACTGAACTGATACAAAATCAAAAGTATATATATATATATATATAATTTTATATACATATATATAATATATAATTTTATTATTATTAAATTTTATTATTAAATTTTATTATTATTATTTTTATTATTAATACAGAGTCAAAATCATGAACCAATTTTTTTAAGTGCTCACCATTTCAAGTTAAACCCACTCTGCTTCAGTTTGGATCAAACAAATTCTGCCATAGAATCACTTGGTGATAGAAATATAGAATCACTTGGTGATATAGATGAGTCAGCTGGATTTCTGGAATAAAAATTAATTCCTAGTAGGAATAGAACTTCAGCATCTGCGCAAATGAGCATATACGAACTCACTGAGCCATTTTATCCTTAGAAGCATATTTATTGGTAATTAATATGAATAATTAATACTTATTGATAAAGATGCCTTTCGATCATTATTATTAATCTATGCTTTTAATGATTATGAAAATGATATGAAGAACTATTTACCTATTTACTATCTTTCGATTCTTTGGAATTTGTCTTTCCTTGTGGAAAATTTGTGCTCAATTATATGGAGCAATAAGTAATCTGCGACATATATCTTGTTATAGATGAAGAACTGATAAGATGAGAATAATAATCTTTCGATAATAATCAGGACGTGAGCTAATACAGTCAGGAAAGATTTTGGCCATAATAGGTTTGAAGGTGAAAAAGAAATGGTTTCAATTTAAATACTTTCAGGACAAAGAATCACTACGAAATCAGTCTCAAAAATCAAGGAGAACCAGTCAAGATGAAATTAAATTGAATTACCTAAATTCATTCATATTATTTATATTATTAATTGTTTTTTATGGCCAATTGCAGTCAAAGCAATAGTGGTGTGAGCTATTAGAGGAAGATAAGCAGATGGCTCGCAAAAATCTAAAATCTAATATTATCTAGAACCCAAAATATTTTGTTCGATACTACTTTATGAGAATTTTAGCAATGAATATCATCAATTATTACTTTTTTTTAGAAAATTTTTCGGTTCGTAATGAACAGAAAATCCGCTTTTAAGATTAGAAAGAAAAGAGCGAAAGAGGATCAATTAAAAAAATAAATTTATTATCAAATTCGATTTGTTTTTTTAAAAAAATTTTTTGGGTGAAAATAAAAACTTCGAAACGATTCTATATTTCAAAAGCATAAAAAGCATTTTCTTATTAAATCACGGTCGCTTTATTTATTTCAATTTTTTTTACTTCATAAAGAAAAGAAATTTGAGAAAAGGCCTATTTAACTATTACTACCTGTAGTCGCTGAAATTGCACATTATTATATTATGCATACTTTCAAAAAATAATTAAAAGTTTTTACTATTTTAGTATTGAAAAATGTACAAGGTAAGACTTGGATTAAACTGCTAATGCCTCCTCTGTACTCTGCTAACTAGCTTCAACTCAAACTGATATATTAGTTGATATAATATGATATATAATATTATGTATTATATTATATTTATGTATAATATAATATATAATATATAAAAAATATATATTATATTATATATATATATATATATATATATATTTCATAATGAGGAGGGACAGGATGGCTTACTCAATTCCGAGCGCCGATACTAAGGTTCTCTTCCCGAAGTAAACTTGTCCGAGAATTCGGGTGATACTGGCGGCTCACCTGTATTTCTATCGCCAAGGGACTCTCTGGCACATTTCTCCAATGCAAGCCAGCGGAGCGAGTTTAATGGTGAAAGCTCTTTGAAAAAAATGAGAATATTGTTTGAAATACCTGTTTTTTGAATAATTATTTAGTCAAATGTTTTTGAAAATGAAAAAGATGAAGACAGACACTTATGATTGGTACAAATCGAATAATTTATTTATCACTATGCGAATCTACTGCAAATAGTAGTTAAGTTATTGCACAAGCAACTACTGATCAACTGTTTGAACTATGAACATATAAAAATTGCCAAAGCTGTGTAAATTTATGGATAGGCACTCAATGAATTCATTTGAACGAAACTTATTACTTGTTATTGTCGAGAATCTTTTTATATAAACGGATAATAATAATTATAAATAATAATTATAAATGATTTTTCTTTAACTGATAGGGATTTTTTTCATTTTCTGTGGGTTATGATCATAGTTTTTCAAAAATTATCAGGAAAAGATAGCGTGTCTCCACTATTTCAAAGTATTATGCCTTGTTTACTGAGATATTTATCAATAAGATTCAGGCAATCGAGAAAATTTAGGAAACTTATAATTTAGAACTTACAATAATCCTAATTTCAACATTAGTTTTTTTTTAGTTTGGCCTGCTTATTAAATGGCTGAATTATGAGTTTAACGGTCATGTAAAAAAATTCAGTGTAGTATATTAAAATTTGGAGGCCTAAATTATTACGTTACAGGTTTAAGTCTTATTGATAACTCATTTCCTTTCTATTTTTGCACTTCATGGATAAATTTTTATCATTGAAGCGATGCATTCGTTCAACTTCATTTTCTGCGAAATATGCCTCTTTAAAGTTCATTTACCGATTCCTTGCAATGTTTTGCATCGCATCTGCTCTGCTTCTTGTGCAAACTTTTTTACTGAATTTGATACAGGTATTCCAACTTATTTTGCAAAATTTTATCGAAATTCTATCTAAGAATTTCAATAAATTAATGTCTGCCGGTCTTATATGCTCGAGTAGTTTCAAGGCACAGCATTTGCCTTTGACATAGTGACCTTGTCATTAAAATTGTTCAGATTTTATCACATCACGTGTGAATTAAAGCATTCCGTTTCGTGATAATAGGAATTAAATGAATTTCAGCAACAACATATCAGAATTATACCTGACAACTGCACCTGTATTTATAATAAGAAGAAATATGATTTTTGCTATCATTTGCCAGAGAACTATTCCATCTATGGGAAACGTATGAACTGCAAGCACGCTAGATATCTTGATGCATTAGGCCTTCTGGGTATAATATAATTTATAAAATTAAAATTTAATCTAGTAGTATGTTCTGTTAGTTCATAAGAATAAATAAGTAGTAAGCATAGAGCGTCGATTACTTTTTAACGATCTAATTACCATTTTATATCACCATTTTTTATATTACTCATAAAAACGCAGAAAAGGCATAGAAAGGCTTATTTTCTGTCAAAGATTCGTTGTTTTCGTAAATAGTATAGCATTAGCTCATGCCTTGAATTGTGCAATATTTAACAACATATAAAATATTTCCAGCACATAGTATATAGCATGACACATCTGCATTAATTCTGCTTAATTCAGTGTTCTGCAAAAGTGGTGTTTTATCAATTCAAGTATTATAAGAAGAAATATATTAAAATAAGAAAAAAACAAAATTATAATGTAATCGTCAAAAGCGCTTTAGTTTTTCAGATGACGACATTGATGATGAGTTCAGGTTCTTTAATTTGGAGAAAGATAGAATCTCGAAACCTGTAATTGTAACAGCTTTCTCACAAACACATTGGAGTCGCGGAAGACGACTAGTAAGTTTTCAATGAAATCTTGGCAAAAACAAAAAAATTCCAAATTTCTTGAAAACAACATTTAAATATATAAATAAATAAATATGAAAGTGCATAAAATATAAAATAATTTTTCAGGTTGGTAAGTACCAACATATTTCCAACATATTTCTTTTTTTTTTGAAATATAAAGTTCGCAATTTAGATCGCATCTATTCGTCGCCATTTGCCAGATCATTTGATAATTGTTTATGATCTTGGTCTTGATTTTATCAATGCCAGATTTTTGAGCTTTCTATGTAACGTCAAGTATAGAAAATTTTATTTTAAACATTATCCTGAAAGAGTTGCAAAAGTGCGTGAATTTCGATGGAAACCGATAATCATTGCTGTTAGTTGATTCATCATCTAGGGTCATCTAAAGCTCCAAGTTTAGAAATCTACCTTGATCTGATATTATAGTGGTCCTTGGGCCATCAAAATTATAAAATGATGAATAATTTGAAATATATAGTTGAATTAATGACCATTAGATGAAATTTATTCAATCATGTTCAATCTGAAATGATGTTCATTTACTGCAATCGAAAAAAAACATCCTTCAGGAAATCTTACAAGAATATGATACACTTTGGTATTTCGATAGCACCGTCATGCTAAAAAAAACTAATCTTAGCAACATCTACAATCTTTTAGAATGTCATAAAAAGTTGGTGTTTGCTTAAACTTTTATTTATTTACGCTTTTCTTCTTTAGATAGCTGTACCGGCTCCTGGAATGAAATACCACAGAACCATTTAGGAATAAGAGTATAGGTAAGGTAATTGCCTCAATTATCGCCGTATTTCACTTTTGTTCCCTTCAAGACACGAGAATCGGATCCTCAACGACATAATGGTCGACTAGCTTATCTCTTCGAACTAATTTTTCGACCTATAATAAGTAAGCGATTGGCACCATTTCTCTGCCCCTGTCGACTATTAGTAGAATAGGAAAATCTTGCTGTTACTTAGAAATAGAAAAATAGATAAGTTTCTTGAATACCACCCGGACTTTTTTTTACGACACCCATGCGAAACCGAAAAGAAATAATAATCTAAGCAACAACCACTTAGCTTGCGAAATTATTTGAATTTATGAACTTATATGATCGAATTTCTCATTAAAATTAGGATAAAATATCAAGTTCACAAATTTTATTCAATTTAAACTCAACAACCAATTTTATTCTCGATAATGAAAAAAGAAGGTGCAACTAAAATATCTTCTAGCGCTGCTTCTGATCCAAAGGTTCTTACTCCACGTGAAATTCAGAAAAACTGCCGAAATTCAAGTTATCTTTTCCACATTTATGCGGGCCATGGAATCTTTTCGGCGACCCATCCAGGTCATTATAGTTCCATTCCTAAAAATTGAAATTGTCCAATAGATTGTTAAAAAAGATTAGTAAAAGTTCAGATTTATATCAATATTTTCCAACAAATCTTTTTAAAATAAAGACGCCGAAAGCGAGAATGTATGATGCAGGATTAGTATTTGTTGTTAGGACAGCTCGAACAGTTCAACAGTTTTTGAGATGGTAACTTTTTTTTTTGAACAACTTCCTATTTTCCTTCAAGAATAATAGGAGAATGATCTTTTTTAAAACATTATTATTAACATTAAATATTAGATCGAAAAAGATTGTTAAATCTCAATAAGTTCTGGTGAAATATTTTTTAATCTATTTTTGCCTTATTAGGAAAAAAATTAAAATAATTAGTCGGTAGAATCTTCCTTATTGTAGAGATGATATTAAGAATGGTAACTTTTTAATAACTGAATTTCAATTTAAAAAACAGTAATAATAAAAAATAACAAAAATAATAATAATAGCAAAAATAATTAAACTTTGGTAATTATAGGTATGTTGCGTGCGCATTAGAGTCTAAGTGTATGGCACCACGACGTTCTGTTTTACGCTGCAAATTCGATAAAAATGATTTTTTTGGGTGAGATCCAAATTTAATTTTTCATAATTTTCTTCCCTTTTGCAAAAATGCAGTCTATAAGAAAATATCGCAAATATACTTCTGTCTGAGATAGGATCCGAGACCCTGGATATTCAATAATCCACTATACAAGAATTTAAGCAAGAACTCACCATCAATAGGCTATTCATTAATAACTGTGGAATAATGCTACAAAATATTGTAGAATATATGCCAGATGCCACCGATATGATCAGTCTGTAATTAATTTGCTCGTGGCAAATGCTTTCCAATATGACTATCGTTTTTATACAAGCGGTTTTAATGATGAATTCTTCGAAGTAAATAGACTCGATTCAGCACCAGTTCCCGATTCAGAACTTGTGTCGTGTGATAAACAAACTGGTAAATGATCTATTCATTTAAGGTATTCAATTATTCGATATCGAGTTTCGCATTAATTTCACTAAATTTGCATAAAAAATGCCAAAATTATCGAAAATAAGAAAAATTTGCAACAAAAAAATTAAGAATAAAAGGGCCGGTTGATGTGGACTGTTTGGAATACCATGAAGACAAGAAATAAAAAGGAAAATCACAGAATAAACCAAACCGAATTGAATTTAATATTGACACATATTGAAAGATAAGATTTGAGATTTTTTCGATAAAGCTTTTAAAAAATATCGTGGGCATCGACAATATTATTTGACCTTTTTGAAAATAACTGAGGATGGTGCTGGCTCGGTCCGTTAAGTTTTGCATATGGCTTTTAATAATCTCAACCCATTAGATTTTGCTGAGTTGAAATTTAACCTAAAATTACATTAATTTTTGGAATAATCTAAGTTTTCATACAGAATTTTATATCTGTAAAGTAAATCAATAATTCGACTAATACTGCGAACAAGTTTTAGGTAATATAATTAAAATTTTGTTTTATGATTAACACTATTAGGGAAAAGGCGATGCACAAATTTTTTTTGGAGCTCTTCAATTAATTTACTTTATTCGCGGTATCTAGGGGAATAACAGAATATTACATTCAAAAAGTCAAAAACACACTTCTCCACACTTCACACTTCACACTTCACGCTCTCCACACTTTGATAGGATTTTTTTTTGAACGACCAAAATTAAAATTAAGAGGATTTCTATTCTCTATTTCTCATGGTTTTGCAATGGCTACCGAAATCAAGATTTTCATCAACTATGTCAAGATCTGGGATATTCGACACATTTCAGATTTTGCTACCATCAATAGAGATATTTGGAAGATCGGATTCCTTCGAATTTATATATAATAAGCCATACTTTAAATGGAAAGGGTGCCTGTCATAAAACCAGTTGGAAATCCTACTGAAATCATCTTGTAGCGGATACTCTACACCATAAAAATAATAAATTTTATAGTTGTCAACACAAAGATAAACGGTAATATTTAATGAAAAAGTATTGATCTGACAATTTGATTAAAATTCAGTTACCTTGAAGTTTGGCTCTTCAAATAATCTGATATCCAGTTCTACAGATCCGTTGTGATATATATAATGCCATATATATTAATGGCGACCAACTATTGTGTGAAATAGATTGAAATGCTTTGGCCAAATTGAGGTGAACTACTTATATTATTTTTCCACTATCAATCGATTCTGGCTGGTCAAAAAGACAATATTTGTGAAGCAATGGATTTTTTTGTGCCATGTTGATAAAACGAGTTATTAGCATAATGATAGCTAAGCAAATTGCTGCAAATCTGTGACTCCAGTACTCTAATACCAAGGTAATTAAACTAAAAAGCTGGATATTAGGCTATAAATATTTCTTTTTTATGAATGGAAATTAAAATATTTGTGCAATATTTTTCGAACCAGCTGACTGGTTTAAGCTATATGGCTTAAATTTATTCAAGGCATCATAAACATCCAATAGTGCTACTCCAGTCTCCTTGAAGGGCTTCGATTTTCATTAAAAAAAGTGCTTTCCATTAATATTATTACCGTTCAATAAAAATATTTATATATATCTAGAAAAATATTTGCTGAATACTTTACAACATCGACATGGTGGTGCTCATTATATTGCAAAATTACTTATATTCACCGGCGAGCAAATTTTTTTAAAATGTTATTCCAAAAAGAATCCAAAAGTAAATATTTATATATAGCATATTAGAAGCTTTTAAAGCTTTCTTTATTTGCAAAAAGGTTACATGGCAATTTGCGTATATTATAAAGATTTTTTATGTCTTTCGTGTATATTATAAAGATTCGTGTATATTATAAAGATTCTTTAGAGAAATTAAGATAAGATGAAGAGACCTAACGTCTTCTTTTGTTAAACAATATATATTGCAGTATGAGATAGAATTATTAAAAAAAACTAACTTTTTGGCCAATTTGATCAACAATTTGGTTAAGAATAATTAAATATTAAAATATTGAACAACAATTAGATAAAGCAAGAAATTCTGGAAAAAATGAAATAATCAATAATTTAGAAATTGCAGTAGTTTCTAATAAATCTAGAGGGAGATTTGGTTTAGATTCACTGATACATGGTTATATTACGACAATAAAAATGTTCTAACACATTAAAACTATCGACGAAAAAAGTAGAAGAAACAGCCAGTACAGCATCTAATATGATATGGTACTGGTGGAGATCTTGATATGGTACTCTAGACCTATATAGGTATAAAAGTTTAGAACCTTCTTTAAATTTGTTGCTGTTTTTCAAATATCTTTCGCAGTCTTTGACATAATAAGATCAAAAATTACATGATCGTAACCTAATAATTTTAATCTAATTAGCAGATTACAATAGATCTAAGGTAAATTTACTTCCATAGCCTTGTGCACGATATAGATTTAAGAGAAAAAAATTATATCGTCAAGATAAATTTTATTTATCAGAGATTCAAAAGAGAAACAACCATAATCATCAATGATTGCACATTTACAATCACTGGAAATAAAGTTATTGGTCACCTCTATGTGCTTTGTTCTTACCTTTTATTTCCAAAGTATCTAAGTTAAGTTCGCGATTATCAGTAGAATCATTCAATTACGTTTCAATGATACAAAAAACTTTATTTGAACCATTAATTAATAAGAGCTGTGGCTCATATACAATTTACATTAATCTTGCATTAAATATATATAGATGCAAGTAATTTCTTAAGTTATTAACTCTACCTGGTTGAATACCTTAGGCAGGTAGTATAACCAGAAAAAAGGAGTGATTTTCTATCAACTGGAATTTTAAGATGCTTTTTTGGTGATTTTGAATTATTCAAAGGTTTCTAGCTTTTTTTTAGTACTAGCACAATTTCCAGTTTCTAGTTGTATAAGATTATTGGACAACTTCGCTCGTTTACTAGAAAACAGCTTGACAAATGAGATAATTCATTTTGCTAGATGATTAAGATTTGATTAAGAATTGCTAATATCTTTTGTGCTTCTATTTACTATTTTGAAATAAGATTTCGACTGTGGCTGTTGTTTTCTACCAAGTTTTTATACGGAATTTAAAATCAAATCATTAAATTTCATCATTAAATTTTTTCAGCCTTCAATATAATATTCAATATTTTCTAAATTGTTTTCTTAATGGGTCCAATTCCCGAAGTGGTTTTAGGAATTTATGCGATTTTCGACTTCCAATTGTTGAAGTAAAAAATTCAGATAATTCATAATTCAAGAAGAATTTACCATCACACATTCGTAATTTTGAAATCTTTCGCATTCATGATTCTTTTTTCCTCTTAAGTTAATATTCTGCTTCTCTGGCTCAAAGGTGGTATGTTTCCAAGCCACTCGATTCATACCTAGCAGTATAAATCGCTGTATTTTTTTAAAAGAACATTCACCATTGCTGGTTGGATTCGCTTCGCTCGTAGGATTAGACAAATATGGCCAGACTCAAGCCTTGATCCTCGGTGGCAGTTATCTTGTCACTGAACCATTGTTTTACTTAATTGCTGTATCGTTGCATACTAGCTATGCGTCCAAAAATTTTCCTGGAACTTTATCAATCCAGATTTTATTTGGCTTTCCTTGCCTGTGACGTTATCCATCAGATAGCTCTTAGCAAGTAGCGAGTCCTGCGAAGAACATGGCTTAACCAGCGATGCTCCTTGACGATATTTCGAATTCATATAATATTTGAGCAGATGCAATCATTTTGTTCGCATGGTGGCACATAAATATTCCTTAGAGATGTGCAGTCAAAAGTAGATAGCTTTTTAATATTTTCCACTCTCATATGCTTCACAGTTATGTAACAGAATGGCACTACAGCCACGTAAAACTTTCTTTTTCGCCGTGGAGGTTTCGGTAGACCAAAGAACACATTTCTAATTTGAGATCCTCCGAGTTGCAATTTTGTCTTCCTTCTGGTCAAGAGTGGGTCCAAGATATTTAAAGTCTGGCGCTTCGTCAACCTAAAATAAATTGATATTAAAGTAGGTATTTTATGGCTGTCTGGTAAATAAGATGAAAAGCGATTTTCATTTTGTTTAAAATGATCCATAGCCCGATTTTTGCTGCAACTGTTCAGTATGTCTTACATTTCTTAACAAATATCAAGAAAAAAAACGCCATTAGCTTAGACTTACTTGCATATTTTCAGTGAATTTGTGCAGTGTTCATAACTCAATCTATCACATATTTGAATATTATCGAGAAAAAGAAGTCCTGAAAAAAGAAGCACATCATTTTTAAATTCAAAACGATCATTTCCTCCTGCACATAAATCTGTCAATGTGCTCTAGTGAAACATACTGGATGATTAAACTGTGAATAATGACAATTTGTGTCGAATGATCGTTACCACCTCCGCATTCTATCACCACCTTAGAGTGCCACAGTATCCTTCATAACTGTAGGGTCCCGATAAAATCAGTGAAACAATTAATGATGGTGGACTGCCGATATTTGATGCGGTGTTCCAACTTTAGCGTGAACATTTGTGGAGCACCAGCGAGAAACGATTTGGTTAAGGCGTATTCTGCTGCCTCCTATCGCCTTAAGCCTATTCAACAAAAAAATTTTTAAAGACTCCGAGTTTTATATACTAATTAATATATAAGTCTTCGATAGCTCGGCGCGCCCTATTATGTTTGTTCTTTCTTGGGGATTGCGAGCAGGATTACAATTATTTTACTCCGGCTATTTGATATTACTTATTTCACTAAATAGTAGGCAAATTATGAAAAATACTGGTCAACACTTGAAACCTGAATGAATTTTTTCGTCCTTTTTTTTGCTGATAGCAAACATATGGCTCGATAAGCGCTTCAGCTATGTCCAGAATAACAGAATAGCATCTCGTTGTCTTATCAGGAAAAAACAAGATTTAACCAATCTATTTGGAACATTGGTTATCCGAAGAGATTTATTTTCTCCGATATCGGAAGCTTACTGTGGTAAAATTTCGTATTTTCTGTAATGACCCACATTTCGAACAATTATACAACATTTAGCAATTGAATTTGTAAAAAGAGTTTGAAAATCACAAAATATTTACCAAAGGAGGTCTTGAGATATGGATGCCACAAAAGTGAGAATTTGCAGAAAAAACCCTATCAAATATTATCTATTTCCTCCCATCACTTACTATACTTGTCTTTAAATTTTATTCACCGCAAACAATAAGTACAATAATTTTGAAAAATAGCATAAATTCTCAAGCATCCTTTAAGAAATTGGTGAAAAAATTTTTATTTAAAGCAAAAAGAAAACGATATGCAAATTAAATTTTGCTGATAAAATACCTATTTTTATCAATCCAATGCTGGTTAAGGAAGTGCTTGATTTTAAATACCTTGGATCCACTCTAATTTCAAATGGCCAGAACCACAGCTAATTTTCCGGTTGATGAAGCCTCTATGGAATCGTCGTGAAATCACCATAAAAACAAAAGTCCGCATCTATATTGCCGTGATCCGTTTGATCTTACTATATGGTTCTGAGACATGGTCAATGAGAGACCAATCAAAACCTGGACTGATACGGTGAAAAAAAATTTTGAACGTTTAGGTGGACCAGCAATATATGGACTTAGACGATGGAAAAAGGAATGGCTTCCATCACTGTCGACGATGGCATCAGACCGCACCGCTTGGAAGCGTCTTACCCTTGTAGCCGTTGGAGCCAGCCTAACCCATAATGGTGAGAGCTGTTAGAAAAACAAGAAATGTTTTATCGAACCTCCCTCTACTATTGTATGCTTCGTCAGTAAAATCACCTGAAACTTCTACCTTAATCCCTTTGATGTTATTATGCTCTTAACAAGTTTCTTGGAGAGCTGTCTGATCCTGCATGTACCCAATTTCTTTAATCCCCTTAAATAAACTATTGAACCGCAGCATTCTTTTTTTGAAACCAGATAGAGCCTTTTTTAAACTTTATACTATGTTAATTTCACCATGGTAACTGGCATGAAAATTTATAAAAAATTGGTAAAAACAATGCTAATGAAATATAATAAATTTTGAAAAAAAATATATAAAACGTATAAAACGCTGCGAACTTTTTTCAACGTTCGAAAAAAATTCTGGACAGATTTTATACTAAAATAATAAATGAGATAAAATTATGAAAAATACACATGTGAAGCAATAATTGAATCCAAGTAGCAAAACATTCTATAGAAATCTGACTATAAAAAATTAAATAATACTATTGTCGGCAGTACGCAATGACGTAATACGTTCTGATAAATTTAATAAAAATGTGATAACTTCACTGAAAATATCCGCTCCATCAGCACTTATTCGATGCATAATTAGCATTAGGCACGAAGTCAGCTTACCGCTAATCTGAAATATACAACTAATCATCTCATCCAAGACCTGTTATCTGTTCAGTATCTTCAATTTTAAAATTATACCCCATAAAGAAATCCACTCGATATTGATGTATTGGTGATTATCAGACTTAATATAGTGAGTAAAACTTCAACATCCTTTTGTAGCATAGCAGCAAATCTTCCTCGAATTCGTTCGATTTCAGCATCATAATTCTTTAAAAACTGTGCGCCAAAATCAGTTCTATTGAAAGATTCTCGTACCAACTTTAAGATGTCTTTATAGATAGAATAAAATATCACAAAAATTGCAATAAATTGCAATAAAACTTTATGATTTTAAAAATAGTTGTATATAATACTTTAATACTATTAATCGTAAGCTTCAAAAGCAATTCATAAACATGCATTCGAAAAAGAGCATGCACGACCATGAACTCACCAGTGCTAAAAGAAATGAAGATTCGATGCATGCATTTATAATCGAATTTTGTGCAGGCTCAAATAAAGAACTATCAGATAAGAATAATTTAAAAAGTGATTTAGCATGACCGACACTGCTTATTGAAACATCGCTCGGAAAGGCATTATCATACGATTTTACCAAATTTTCGATTAAGTTTTCAATATCCGAAACTGCCAAAAAATTTTTCTCTCTAAAAAATCTTTCAAATCTTTCTTAAATCTTTCAAAAACCAAAGTTTTTTGCTGATGAATCAAGCAAACTTCTAAAAATAAAAATCTCATGCAACAAAAGTTATTATTACTGTTACTATTATTGTCAACAATGTCGTTATAAATTCCTCTATTATAAATATATTATTTATTGTTACTATTAATCGTTACCATCGTTGTTCATTAGGATAACTCAACACTATTTTATGGAAATATTCACCTTATTTGCTCCTTTTCCCTCTTTTTCTGATTTCTTTCAGCTCTTATGGCTTCAATTTTCATTCCTACACGAAAGCATTTTTGCAAACGGCAATATTGACAACAATTTCTAGTTTTGGAAGTTATAATGCATTCTTTATCTTTAACGCAAACATAATTAGCCTTGCTTTGAATGCTGCGTCGAAAAAATCCCTTAAATACATGTATTAATACAATTTTCTTCTAAAAGCTCTCACCATTTCTGGTTGAGGCTGGCTTATTGGCTCCATGTGCCAAGCTGGATTTTTCCAGGGAGTATTTGGCTTTAGAAACAGGTAACTTGCACCAGCTCGACGTGCGAAAAAGTTCACTCCAACCCAATATAGAATGGCAAGAACCTATTAAATATATCCCTTATTGATACAAATTATCTTGAAATGGTCACAAAATGTGCGACAGATATTTTTCCTAAAACTGGTTGTGTTATTGGTTAATCAAACGAAAAATATAAAAAACAAAATACATAACTTAGTCGAATATCGTGCCAGAAAAACTTGAAAATTTGGATATAAAAATTATAAATGTAAATTGTAATGAAATTATTATTATAAATTATATAAAATAAGTTAAAAATTATAAAAAATTATAAACTTTGCATCCTTCGCAGCTTATTGCACCATAATGTAAACCTGTCGACTTGTCACCACAGACAGTACACATGTCAGCACACAGTCGCTGCTGAACATTCTCTACCAAAGGACTACTCATGTTTTGGACAAAATTATTCATAACCGAATTCTTACATAGTGAAGAGAATGCACTACCACCACAGTAGTGAAAGGGGAATCGTGTTGATACACCATTTGCTAAATGAGAAGAAAATCAATGTTTTAGCGAAGTAATGAAGTTAATCAAAAAACTTTGAAATTGAATCTTTAACAGTAGAAGGAATGAAAAAGTAATTGAAGGAGAATAAATGCTGAAAACCGAAAATCAAATTTTTTTGGAAATCTTAAATTCTTTTTTTTCCAAATATCCAAATTCATGATAACATTAAAGATTTTTTTAACGATTAAATTACCTACTCATAATAAGGATCAAGAATAACATGGCTTAGAAGGACTTTGCTCTCTCTGAAGCACGTGTGATTTAAGGTTATGCCCGAAGAAGATAGTAATTAAGGAAGGATGATTAATATGGAATGGAATTAACAGTTCAAATCCTCCCTACTTTCCTGGTGAGGATCTTTGGACGAGACCCTCTGAAAAGTTATTTGCTTTAAATCTCCTATGTCTCTGGTGAACGATCAGAGGCTAGCAACCAATATCACCACAAGGATGAGAATTGGATTTATATATATATAAATCCAGAAGAAGAGAATTGGATTTATATATATATATATTGTCTATGAGTTTTAAAGCGATATTTACCTTTATTATATCTTTAATATAATATATTTATCTTGATACAATTCGAGCAATTTCTTAATAAAATCAATCGTTGAAAGAAAAAGATTAGAATAAAGATGAAATAAATGTAAAAGAGTACTTAAGTTCACGTTGTGATAGTTATAATATGATAAATAATGATTGCCAAGTGAATCGATGATAGGTTGTGACCCCGCTCTGCAACAGCTATAATATTATGGAATTGTATTAGCATATTTAAAAGCTTAGGAAAATTAGTTTTATTTTCAAACCGAAAAGCATTTGTTTTGAAATTAGTAATTAAACCTTAGCAATGATGAGACAGTAAGTGGGTTAATTCTTGCCCCATTTCCACTGATGCTCGATCCAGCAACAAAATTATTAATCGCATTCGAATTGTTTGAACAATAGATTGGAGAATCGGATAACAATGGAGCTTGAGAAATTGCGGCAGTAGAAACAGCATTAGATGGAGTCGTTGGCTGTTTTATAATATGTGAAGAATCGATTGTATTGCGTGAATCCAAAGTACTAAGGTCACGATTTTGGCTGGTATTATCAGCAGCAGGAAGAACAGGACGAAAATTATTGGGCTGAATAAGATTTTGATAAGGAAGAGGTAAGTATTGTTCGATACTAGGTCGATTTAGATTCGCACCGGATCCAAGATAAAAATCATATGGACAAGCCAAATGATTCGGTAAGATTGTAAAAGTTGATTGTTGAAGGGCATCAGTAGCATTATTAACGATAAGAAAACGATTTGTAGTCGAGCCATCAGGTTTAGGACTAGTCGGTGGCAAGTGTGTATTACTATTAGAAATAACGCCTTCAGAAATGGTGTTTAAATCTCCCATATTTTTTAAAGATAACTGATTTTGGCAGGGCACCAGTGAATGGTGAGGTCAAAAATGTATGCTAAACCATGCAAACTTTTCCCTATGTACGCCTTCTATATATATATAAATATATATATTAGGTCATTTGACCAAATAAGGCTTTTCTAAAGGTCATTAAAACTATAAGGAAGTTGAATGCATCATCGCAGAACAGAATATAGAAAAAGAACAAGAAAATACGATACGATATGTGAAAATATATAAAAAATATATAGAAAATACAACAAATGAGAAAAGTTAATATTCTCTTATAAATAAATAAATAAAAACAAATATAGAAAAAATGAATATAAATATGGGAAAGGAAATACGAGGCGAGGTATCATGAACGAGGCATGAATATAATGAAGGTATCATGAGTCTTATGGCCGGGGAAAAATTATAAATTATGTTTTCAAAGATAATCCAAAAAGCCTTCGATCAATATTCCAGAAAATTAGCGATCAAAAACATAGAAAAAATAGATTATCTGCCAAAATTATATTATTTACAGGTTACTTTATGGGTGTTTGTTAAAGCTCAAATGTACAACATGTAATTTGATAAAAGATTTGATTTTATGATGCCTCCTAAAGTAAAAACAGATTTGTGAAGACACTTATGACCTTTTTGAGAATTTATTTAAACAATCGATATTGTTTTTGCAAAGGGTCAATTATCATTTCATCTTATAAGAAATTTCAAGGGTGAACTTTCAGCTTTGTTCTCTACACTTAACACTTTCGAATCAAAATTATATTTAACCGCAACGCCTTCAAAGAAATAAAAAATAAAAGATTTTCAGATGCGCATGAAAATTTTATTAAATTTTATTTTATTAAATTTTAGATTTGATTCAAATTATAATTATAATTAGTAAATATTTATAAAATCTTCTTATCATAAGTATGATATATTAATATAGTTAATACCGACATTAATAATATAGTTGAGCCTTGAATTTCGTGGAAATTAAGGGCCATCTCGCTAGGTGCAAAGAATCACGAATAATAAATAGTTCGTTCATCTAGTTGATAACCAAAAAGATCGATCCGGGAAACATTTCGTGAGTGGTATGAGTGGCATAACCAAGCGATGGAGTTCTCATAATGCTGTTTTTAACAAAATTAAAATTGAATAAAAATGTCGAAAGTATTTTTATTAAAAATATGAATTTATTATTCAATAATATAAAGTTTACTTTCAATACAGCGCCAAAATGAATTTTTATCAGAAGACTCCTAAAATGAAAAATGGCGAATAATAAATATATTCTGGTTCGAGTAGATTTCAGGACTTCATTATAAACTAGGACTATAAGTTTTACGATTTTAAGTATCATAAATATTTCGAACTACTTATATAACTTTAACTTTCGACTACGCAACACCTGGGAATTCCGAAATTTCCAAGTAATAAAAATCTCGAAAAGATTAGATTCAAATAAGCGAAACTTGAGGTTCAACTGCATTACTATTGTGAGGCACGATAACTCAATGAATATTGAATTTCGTGTGAAAGGCAGGGTTTAGATATGAGTAAATCTATTATTAAAAAAGCCACGTGGTTCTGATGGTTTACCGGTGTATTTTTACCTGGGAACTTGAAGGTTTTGTATCTTTTATCTTGGCTTTCTCTCCTGGGCAGTGATCTCTATTATACCTAAAATCTACCAGGATATATTTATTATTCGTGTTATTTATTTTGGGAGTTTTTGTAATAAAATTTTATTTTTACGCTGTATTAAAAGTAAATTTTTAGATTCAAAGAAATGGTAGATTCAAAGAAAAGTAAAATGATAAATGATTTTGTGATCGCTAATGTATTTAATGAACTTCTCTAACGTTTCGTGTATGAATGTATCCGTTCTTATGGGAATTTTGGTAATTGTATTTTAAACATTGTTGAATTCATTATCTCAAATATTTATAGTGCTCTAATGCAATTTAAAATGTCTGTAAGTAGCGGATCAGATATTCAATAATATAAAAAATTGTGCAGCCTTTTCTCCAATATTTCTTTTTTTTTAATTTATAAAGACTCGTATCAGTTCAAAAATTTGGTGACTATTGTATATAACTCCCATGGTTGAGAAGGGATTAATTCCTTCAGTTATTGGCCTAGAAGTTTAATTATCATTATTAAAGCGTCAAAAAGAAAATTTTTAATAATTTAAATAACTATCCTGAGAAAAATAATCTATTACCGTCTTATCAGTGTAATTTCTGTAAGCCTACCATTTCAACAAATGCTAGCTAATCTTTATAACTGGTTAGGGTCCAATCACCATTGAGAAATATTTATTATTATCTAGAACTAGCGGATATTGGTACTGTTTCATATATTAAGTTGTTAATTGCCATCAATAACTGAGGAGCCGTGAGAAACTAGTGGATATTAGACTAATTCAACGACAGGCTCCAACCTGCACGTTTCAATAATTTTTAAGATAACCAATTAAGACAGAGGTATCTCAAGGCAGTTGCAATAATCCTTAGTTTTTTATAGCAAATGGTATTAGTAAAGTTAAACTCCACAATTTATTTCTATGTTGATTTACAGTCTATTCTATTACAATCGGATAGATCGGATTTTGTTAAAAAATAACAAAATGGTACGACGAAAAATAAATCACTCCATCGGCCAAAAATGCGATGTTTAAAAGCAAAAGGGAAACTTCCCTTCTTGAAATGTATAAAGCATTTATTTAATCTCTTTTGGAGTAAAAGGCCTATTCATTGAATTACTACAAAAATACTTTGTACATCGACTGAACCATATGTTAACGGCTAGGGTGCTATGGAACTTCTTCATCTAGAGAAGCAATATAGCCAAGCAGATATATTGGCCAATCAAAAAAAATTTCATGCTAGTACACAAGAACTAAAATCAGCACTAGTGATCGTCATAGTAATGCGAAGTGGCAGGAAAATTAGGAAGAAGGAATTTAAGAAGCTAAAGGCATATCAAAGGCTAAAACTTGATATGGAAATTGAAGACCAAAGTGGTCCCAGTGGTGGTAGGAGTTATCACCAAAAAAATTAGAAAAACGGCTCCAACAGATTCCAAAACATCAAAGATCTCTATCCAGAAGAATGCACTAGCTAAGCAAATTACATAGATCTTCAAGCTTCTGCGAAACGTCTTATTTTTGTAATTAGCAAAGCCAGACTAACCAATAATAATGAGTTGTTAGAAGATTAATACGTTCCCAATCGGCATCGTGAACTGAGTTAAGTGGTAGTGCGACAGAATATATTCCATATACTGATAGATCCCTTCGAAATAAGAAAGGGTTTTCCGTCAGGGCTGCATTTTTTCTTCTATAATATTCAATTATTGATAGACTGAATCATAACCAACACTTACCGACATAATACTTGAGACGTAAATCCAGAACATATTATCAACGCATACTTTTTTCTCCTGACACACGTGAAGAATATGATAATTGATAGTTTCGTTATTTATGGCGTAATTTGTTGTAATGATTGCTATTGACACCTTAATTTACCAAATTTAAAATTGTAACTTTAACCACTAAGAGAAATTCTTGCATTGTTCAGTTTCTGAACAAGTTCAATTTACAAAAAAAAGACCACTTTGCGAGTAAACAAACAAATGAAACAAATTTTTTTCCTTTTAAGAGTCCATTACTGGTCAAACTCACTCGGCTGGCTTATCGCCCTGCACAAGCACATATGAAGTTCAGAGAGTTCCTCGGCGATAGAAGTACAGGTGAGTTACCAGCATCACCTAGATTTTTGGACAGATTAACCCTTGCGAGGAAGAAAACCTCAGCGTCAGCTCTCCAAATTGAGCAACAGCTCATTGAACCATTCCATCCCAAATGAAAGGAATATCAGATTAATTAATAATTAATTCTTTATTTCTGATATTCAGTCAACTTACGTGTTGCTATGTTGCTATTATTTATTTATTGAAAACCAGCCAAGCAGAGCACAAACGCCATGTGTTTGTATTAATGACAACAGTTAAAATAATAAGAATTAATGACAAAAACAAAAAAATAATAAAATAAAATAAACATTTTAAAGATGAAAGAGGAAATCGCAAATAATATAATGTAGTACGAAATAACTATAATCGTATGGCAAAAACCGAGATTTCATATTTCCTGCATGAATTTCCTGCATTTTTAAACAATATCATGAATGATATTATCTAACCTTTTTCTTTTATAAAAATAGCCAAGGATGACGCACAAACTATATTATTCAATAAATTCAGTAATTAATAGTGCGACTAAAGAAGTCATGAGTCCTTAGTTTGATTTTGATTTTGTAATGTAGGTTTTAGTAATTTTAGCCCATTAGTTCTTGTTGGATTTAAATTTAACCCAAAATTATAATTTTTGAACAATCTAATTTAACCATACAGAATGTTATAAGTATAAATTAAATCTTGTTTAATACGACGAACCGACAGAGAATCCAGGTTACATTGTAGAAATTTCCTTTTATATTGCAATTAGGAGGGAGGGAGGCGCTAAAATATTTTTGTAATCGGAAATCGGAAATGTGAGTCTCTTCTGATTATATTACCATTAATAAAAAAATTAGGAAGATCGAATCCTTTAGAATTGATATGAAGAACGCTATACTTTTGAAAAGAAAGGGTAATTTGTCATATAGCCAGTTGTTAAGATCCTCCTGCAGTGGAGATAGACTATTTATTCTATCATGGGCGTAATAAATTTTACAATCATCAGCATAAAGATAAATGGTAAAACTTAGCAAACTTTGGTGATATTATTTATATATAATTTAATTTATAGAAAAAGCAATGGCACAATATAATCTTGGAGAACGCTAGATTTAAGAGGTGTCAGAAAGAATGTTGTTGACATTCTTCCCTACAGCCTGGTGACGATCTCTTATGTAATCCGAAACACGGTTATACAGGTTCTTGCGATAATGCGATAACAATTAAGAGTGATCAGTAGTTTGCTATGGGAAACAGTATCAAAAGCTTTAGCCAAATCTAGATACACAACTGATGCTGTTTTTCCATTGTCAATTGATGCACACCAATGATGAAAAGATTTGCCAATATTTGTGAAATAGATTTTTGTACAAAAGCCATGCTGATAAGAGGATATAAAATTATTGGCATCAAGATAAGTAACCAATTTGTTGCAAATCAACCTTTCGAGTACCTTGCTACCAACACATGTTAGGCTAATAGGTCTATAATTAGATGAGTCATAGGTGCTTCCTTTTTTATGAATGGAAATTATATGAGACAACTTTCAAATTTTGGGATTAAGGCCAGATTTCATTGTCCTTATAAATTAAAAATAGTGGAAGACAGTGAAACTGCACATTTTTTATAAATTATTTGCGGAATATTAGAGCGAGACCAGCTGAAATGGACAGTTTAAGTCTATTTAAGGCATCATAAATATCCAGTAGTGTTATTTCAACTTCACCGAGAGAAGTGCAAAAAATTCGATTTACGTTAAAAAAAGAAATATGAGTATGAGTATTACCCTCATCAACAAATACACTGAAAAAATATTGATTAAATATACTTGCAATATCAATATCAGAGGTATAAGTACAAAGTCCTCTTAGAAAGCCCTCTTCCAATTTGCTGCTATTTTTTTTCCCAGGTTATATTTGGCATATTAAGATCGCCAACAATTGCTTAATCTGCACCAAATCTAAATAACAGGTTATAAAGATCCCTAGTGAATTTACTACCATAGCCAGATGGGCGGTATATATTAAAAAGGAAAATGTTTCGATTAATAAGATAAATTTTAATTGTTAGAAATTCAAAAGAGGAATAGAGAAAATCATCAAAAGTTACAAATTTATAATAATCAATAAGGAATTAGCGTGATAAGCCCACCTCCACGATTATTCAAACTATTTGTTGTTTGTACAAGAAAGCCATTGAAGTTTAATTCCCAATTATCAATAGAGTCGTCCAACCATGTTTCATTAATACAAAAAATACTATTTGGGTTATCAGTTAGTAAGAGTTTTAAGTCATAAAGTTATATATATAAAGATAAGTTACTCCCTATTTTATTAACTTGGCAAGTTGTCATAAGCTGCAGTAGATTGATGGGAGAAAATTGGAATAGAAAAATTTCTCGTCGTTGTAAACCATTGACCAGACTGCCTTAGTTCCACTATTTGAAGATTTCTGATAACGTATTTCTTCATATTGAGATTCTGATTCTGATTTCGAATATAACATTCTTTTCATAACTTTTCATTCTTTTCATAACTAGTAATTTATCTAATAATAGTTCTCTTTTCGTTAGATCCTTTCTCAAAAAGCTTCCATGGGGGAGCGCACGTTCTTATTACGCAATATAGACATAACCATGTACTTATCTTCAAGTCGAATCTTAAGTACTCGTGGCCTGTCTGACTTTCTTCCATATCGATGGACTTCCTTAATAATATAGTCAGTTTGAATCCCAGCGGCTGCTACAGTATTCTTTTTTAAGAGTCTATCGACAGTCTCATCATCAGTAGATTTCTCCGGAATATTTATGCCAACTAGACATGGTTCTTTTTCTTTTTTTTCAAAATATTCATCGATAGTTTGCAATATTTATTCAGCTGAGATTATTTGGAGGCTCAAAATTGCTATTCAAATACGAGGCTTTCAAATTATTGATGTCATTCTTAAGTTCCTCGTTGACCTTTGTAAGTATTTCAATAGATCTCGTCAAAATTAGATCTTGTTGCTTATCATATTTCTCAGCAATGGAAGCTAACTGCGTTCTCAGATCCTCGATAGTTAAGGAGCCGACATCATTGGCAGAAGCGACCTTATTAGCTGTAATCTTTTTCGGAGTAATTTGAATAAGTTGTCATGAATTTGTAATATAGTGAAGTGATGTCGAAGTTGAATACCACCAGCGATTTGACTGTTGTGTTAAGTCGAGTCCAATTGAGTGGTGTTAGGTTGGGACAAGTTGTGAACCAAACGAGATACACCAATTTTTATTCTGTAAAAGACACAACGAAGATACAACAATTATTCCGTAAAAACACAACACTGATTTAACACAATAGGGTTCATATCTCATTGATAGTGGGAGTGGTTTATAACAAAAATTCCAAGCATTGTAAGCATAAGATCCGATTAGAAGATTAGCGAATTGGAAAGGCATTTCCCGTACAACAGGAATACAAATATATGAGCTTTAGATAGAAACAAAAAAAACATGGAAATTTGACGGGAAATAATCTAAGGAATGCAAAATGACTCATAACAGAAAATATTTATTTGATTACTTATATGTTTGGAATTTGGTGGGAGTTTTGCGATATCAGAAATCGCGACACTCCCAAAGGGAGTAGAGAGGAAAATTTAGTGTGGAAGTTTGATTGGAGGGCCTTCAGGTGTATACGAAAAGGTATTAAATCTAATAACTGGAACTTGGAAGTTGGGTACGTTTAGATTCCATAGGAAGAACGATAATATTTGTAGGATTTGGTTTTGGTTCTCGTGAAAAACAAAATAAGGATCGTAGGAATACGAGTCTAAATTTAAAAATTAATTATTACTAGAGAGATTGTAACAACACTTATGCAAGCAGTTATTAATCTCCAATATGTTGCTACACTTTCAAGTTCTTCTTGAATTGATTGAATAACTTGGTCGAATTCCCTTCCTACTTGGTTTGTTAGTTCTTCTCTTTATTCGGAAATCTCTTGCCAAAGAGAATCATCCTATTTGGTCGATAAGGTATTGTATTAACTGCATCTTGATTGTGTGCCAGGAGTTCTAATTCTGCATTGATTCTTTCAAGATCAAACTTGTCTATTAGATCTCCTTTAAATTCGATATTTTGGATCATAAATTTCCTGAAGTTGCTATTAATAATTTTCCATTTACTCTTTTAGCTATTATATCATTTCTTTGTAGTATCATTCTGGTGGTGAGAATAGGATAGTTGTAGACAATCCTTCCATTAACAGCAGTATATTATTCTTGTTCTGGCAGCTACTTTGATATATTACTTTGAGTTGCTGAATAAATTCTTGTCTTAATGAATCAAAAAGATATTGAAACCTTACGTTATTTAGTTCGAATGTCTCTTCTGGAGAAGTTTCCACCATAAGTAACTGTTTTGTTATTTCTCAATTTGATTTTTCGTAAGATTTTCATCGTCTTCAGTATCCATATCAAGTTTCCTTTGTTTCCTTTCATTAAATAAGGGTTGGTGAATCTGGAATTTGTCGTTATGATTGTGTTGTCCTCTTTATCGATTATGAATGAGGCTTGTAATTCATTGATTATGATGAAGTGATCTCAGTATCTCATAGTTTCGAATTTTCGAATTTTCCAACTCTTCGATATGGGCAATTATTTACTACATCAGTACTATTCCATAAACCAATACTAGTCTTAGTAATACACTTACCCAATTTCACCATGCAGTGGTCGATATTATCCAAATTAGAAATTAATCCCTCTCCGTCATTTAAGAATATTTCTCCTTCAACTAATACAAAATTCATTGTCGATTAACATTTAACTCCCCACCATCCGTATGAATATTGTACTTCGTTGTTTGTTATCCATTTATTAGGGGAAGATTGGAACAATGTGATTCCATCAATCTGTTTTTGAAGATGCATTAAGCGGCAAAGTTGGAACGAGATTGGTGAACGAGATTGGTAGTTACATAGTCTGAAACCACTGAGAGTGATAGTCTGAGAAGGGCCTTTGTACATATTGTTCTTGTAAAATTATTGCATTTGACAGCTGGTATTCTTACGTGGGCACCTCTGCTTTGTAACGTTTTGATTGATGATTTCCTCACAATTCCATTTCTGTGGAATTAAAAGGTATTCCGGAAGTCCATTTGCAATTGTTCACGACATGTCGAGAATTTTCTCGAAACTATGAATCATTGTTTATAAAAATCAAAAGGTCATTTGGCTTGCTTCTTCCTTTTGAACGCTGTGTGGGAGTGGGTTTTTTTTTTTTCTTTACAATATAGTTTTTTTTAACTCACGTTTTACCTAAACCATTGTCCCTATATTCAATAAAAATAAAAAATTATTATATTGTTGTGGTGTGACAGCCTTACAAACCCCGTTCAGTCTAAACGAAAAAGTCACAACACGACAATCTGTACCATTATTAGTAATATTGTTGTCAATGATAATGTTTTCAAAAAGTTATTGGGTGTGGTCTTACTGGTAATTCCAGTATTTGACGCAGTTCTTTTGGAGCTTCGAGTTCGGCTAGCTATTGGTTCTTCAGAATCGTCCTCTAAAATGTTCTTTGTGTTGCTAAAATCGTTGTTATTAACACTGCTGATTTCCAGTGGGCAAAGCATATTTATAGAATGATCGAGTTGTTTCCCATATGGCAGTTGTATGGTGGCACTTCGTGTCCAACCGTCCAGACCTTTGTTAAGTTTGATTATTCTTGCAAGATTCCATATACCACGAGAGATATTAGGTTCCACCAATAAAATTATTTCGTTTACTTGTGAGAATTTATGCTCTAAGGGAATGTACCTCTTTTTCTAGACGTTCGCTTAAACTTGCGAGATAATCTTCTCTCCATAACTACCAAAAAACATCTAGTGTTTTAAGAGTGCTTATCCAATGCTTGACCAGTTTATTCTTCGTTTTGAATACGTAAGGAGTATATTGTTCTTCCTCGTTTCTATACTTTGCTGGTATATTTAATGATGCTGTAGGTGAAATGAAATCGATGGGACATATTATCCTATAATCCTGTAATCATTAAACCCTACATAAGTTAATGGACGCGTATTCAATATTCCTTCTATTTCCGCAGTTGTTGTCATTTCTCTTTCTATAAGGAGTCTTCTTCTACCTATCGCTCTTCTTAAGGCCATCTTTGTCAGTCCAATGGCCTTTCATAAACCACCCCATGGCGCTCGTGGAATTGTATTCTTCCAAATCATACCTTTTTCGGCTATGAAATTGGCGTTTTCGTCCCTTATTTTTTTGAATACTAATTGAAATTGGCTGGCATTGTCGCTGAGTATCAGCTATACTCTACGAACAACGTAATCTTTTCATAATGCGAGAAATTTTAGCGAATAAATCTTCAACCAGTTCGAGATGAACTGCCCTTGTTGTAAAACATATGAAGAGGGCGATCCATCTTTTGACTACTCCGGTATACGATTTAATCGAGAGGGGACCCAAATAATCTACCTGCTCGATTGATCTTGATCGCCGTACTCGTGATGCTGGTAGGTTTGGCATTGGTGGTAATTTGAAGGGTTTTGCTCTCCATCGCTTGCAAGCCATGCATGAGGATATCGTACATTTTATTGCGGTCCTTCCTTTCGGAATCCAAAATCTACGTCTTATTGCAAATAAGGTGTGCGCAATACCAGCATGGTACAACTTATCATGTTGATGCAAAATGAGGAGTTTAGTTAAATCGCCCTTATTTGGTAAATAAAGGGGATATTTGCTTTCGTTGTCCAGTTCTGAATGTTCTAGTCGACTATTGGGTCTCCACAACTTATCATTTCTATGTTGAAAGAGATTCCAATTCTCTATTTCTTCACTGGTTAGGTTCTGTGATTGTGCCTGTCTGATTAATAACCACTCTGTTAGATTCCTTTGACATATTGCCTCCTGGTACGGACAACGATTTTAGCCAGGGTATAGTCTTTTTACAAGTCCTTTTAATGAATCGAAGAATCCAGGCAGTTACTCGGATCATTTTTATCCATTTACTAAGCGGTGTGCTTCAATAAATTGAATTTTATCTTCTTAATTATGTGTTATAATCTTCGCTAAATTTATCATTACCACATGATTTCGTCCTCTGCATTATAATTGAACTCATCGCTAGGTTATTGTGATGGATCCTTATCTAGCCAGTACCGACCATTCCACCATAATTTACTATAACGAAGCTTGGTTGGTGAAATTCCTCTTGTGGCCGTGTCGGATTTTGATAACTTGGTAAGTATCTTAATTTAAAGTGAGAATTTCGAATTTCTTCAGCTCGTTTTTGCACAAACCGCGGAAGTAATTTTGATTGTTCTAACCCAAAAAAGGGCACATTTTGCGTCTGACCACACCGTAGCATATTTTTCGTGGCACCATAATCGGTTCCAACACGAATTGGCCTGTTCTAACTCCTATTAATATCGATAGCAATTAGAGTTTTGTGATTGATATATCTTTGATTGGTGCAATTCGAGATTTAGCATATAACAAATGGGATTTAGTAATCTTTCTTCGTCAATATATCGAATATAGACGGCAGAACAATAGGCAACTTTAGACGCATCCGTAAATATATGGAATTCCATTGACTCAGATTCTTTGTTATAAATCTCAGTATTTCTTTTACCTGTTTGGGCCATTTTGATATAAGGGTTTTCCATTGTTCTTCGTCGGCGTCGTTTATGGATTGATCCCATACATATTTTCCCTTCCATAAGTTCCATAAGTGCTGGATAAATACTTTAAACCTTACCATGATTGGGATTAACTATGCCAGTGGATCGTATTGTGACGCGATGAATTATAAAATCGTTCTTTTTGTTAATTTTTTGTTTGACCATGGTTTTGGTGTGAATTGCATGGTATCCATGTCATGATTTCATATAAATCCGAAGAAGCTTTCTTTTTTCATTCCGTTTAAATCATCCTCAGGTATTCGTTTGTTGAATTCGTTCATTGACGCTTCTCTAAAGATTTCTTTAGTTTTGTAATATTTATATATCGCTTCTTCTGTGTCATCTGCGGACAAAATGATGTTATAACATATAAGTATACTTTTATATACTTTTTTATTTCTAAGGCCAAACTAGTTGCTGTATTATCTAAATGGTATTTGAATAGTATCTATTAATAATGATATCTGTTTGTAATTGTTCCATGATTGTGTTATGATATACCTGGAGAAGCGATTTGAGTTTCAATTTCATGATTAGATTCTTTAAACGTCCCAGGCATAAACCACAATTGTCACTTAAATTTTGTTTAAAATCCTTCCAAGGCCAGCACACATGATAACGACCATCCTTTTTCGTGAATTTTCGTTCTTTGAAAGCATTTTAAAGTTTCTTCATCATCATTATCATTTGATGACTCTTGAATTCCTATTGATTCTAATCTCCAAAATTTTTCTAGTTCTGAATTAATATTATCCTTAGCGGTACACACCAAATTTTGTAAAGAAATATCATTTTGACAAAGTTTACTTACATCTCCACTACCGGCAATCATGAGGCCAACCTTTGATTGTACCAAAATGTAACCTGAACTCAATTCCTGTACATTCTGAAATTTAATGAACTTAAAGAAATAACTGGCTCCAATCAATACGTCGGGTTTCTCCCAATGATTTCTTAACACGACCTGCTATTCATTGGTTAGATGTTCGACTACATTAACACACACCGAATAACATCGTTTTCCATTGTTTGCACCCTCAGTTGCGTAGAAGCCGTGGGGCAAAGAGTTGGATTCCTCATTCCAAATGGAGTTATTTCCATAGTTTGTTTGTCTGATTCTGATAACTTCTATTGATGCGACAACTTCTGAGAAATAAAGGAAAGTTGTGAACCTATGTCAAATAGTGCTAAAGCCTTCTTTTGTCGTTGGAGCTGAGTTGGATTGAAAACCTTTACTTCCTTGCATAAGAGTAAAGTTTCCTTAGTTGTATTGTTCGAGTAGTTATGACTGTCTTTAAAACAGACAGGGCAATTTTTTAGCAATTTGATGCGATTCCTTCTGCTATTAACAGTTGGATATACGTTACATTCGCTATCCCAATGATCTTCAGTGTAAAATATACTTGGCTTTCTTATACTTATAGTGAGTTGTGACGAGTGTTGATTGCTTCGAAGTGCGTCTGATGAGAGTTTTGGATTGCTACGTAGCATCGACAATGCTGTTTCTCCAAGGCTATATCTCGGTCTTTGTCCTAACTTGTTGAGTTTAGTGTCCGTAAATGTGGAAAGATTCTGACAATTCTTGACTGTTGGGTTACATGAACTATATTCAACAGAAAGTCTCTTGAAATTGACCAAGGCTCCTCTACTTTCTTTTGCATATTTACCCTATTCAAAACCCATAATGGCAACTTATTTTTATTGTAGTTTCGATACTTGAATGCTCCAAGTTCTTTCCGATGGCTTCCAATGGCGTAGTATTCGTTCTAAATTTTCGATCGTGGCTACCCAATCCTTTTCATTCCTTTTGATGGCTTAGAGATGGTTCATTGTATAATATCGTCGTTACTATCGAGGGGTCTCCATATTTGTCCCTAAGCAGCCGTCTAATTACTTCGTAATTTTCAGGTGCTATTTCATAGCCTGATAAAACTTGTAAAGCATTACCTCTCAGACATGAAAACAAATAATTCAATTTTTGTATTTCGGGAATTGTTTGTGAATGGACTGCTGCATTGAAGCTACTCCAGAACTGCCGCCATTGTCTTGGGTAACCACTGAATATAGGTAGGGATAACTGGGGAAGATTGACAGTAAGGTTTGAAGAAGGAATTAATCTTTCCTGATCCTTACTCTTTCTCTTAAATAACTGTTCCAGCTTTTGCTCCGCGTCATCCTTATACCTCATTAATGTTATCAGCGCTTCTTTTCTCTCATGTATTATTCGGAATAGTCCATGTTCACCCTCTGTGACATATTCGTAAGCCTTTTCTTCTCCTTCCCTTTTTTTTGTCGCAGTGATAGTTTGAATATACTTAAGCCATATCGTAGGCATCTTCAAGCTCCTTAATACATGATTGAATATCAGATTCTCTGTCTGCGAGTACTTGTTTTCTTGTTGTTTAGAGAATTACCTGTTGCTCTAATGAAGAATTCGGGTCCGGGGATTCGAATTCGAGAGAGTATCTCGTTAAGAAGAGCAGCTAACCTGGTTTTTGGCAGTTGAATACTGGCGATAATGCTACTTGATATCGTTGCCTCACCTCAGCCACCAATAATTTGTCGTGAATTTATAATATAGTGAAGTGATGTCGAAGTTGAATACCACCAGCGATTTGACTGTTGTGTTAAGTTGAATCGAATTGAGTGGTGTTAGGTTGGGACAATTGTGAACCAAACGAAATACACCAATTTTTACTCCATAAAAGACACAACCAAGATACAACAATTTTTATTCCGTAAAAACACAACACTGATTTAACACAATAGGGTTCATATCTCATTGATAGTGGGAGTGGTTTATATCAAAAATTCCAAGCATTGTAAGCATAAGATCCGATTAGAAGATTAGCGAATTGGAAAGGCATTTCCCGTACAATAGGAATAAAAATATATGAGCTTTAGATAGGAACAAAAAAAACATGGAAATTTGACGGGAAATAATCTAAGGAATGCAAAATGACTCATAGCAGAAAACATTTATTTGATTACTTATATGTTTGGAATTTGGTGGGAGTTTTGCGATATCAGAATTCGCGACATAAGTGTTACAAATAAAAATCTCTTTTATCTTATAAGTACTCGATATAAGACGATAAAAACAATATACTTTTAATAAGAATACCTTTTAGAATATCTAATATATTAAGGCAAATAATGTATTATTCCTTTCATTTTTTTAGGGAAACACAATATACTTAGCAGAAATAATGAATTGTTGAAAGAGAGAAGATCGATACAACCGCTTACGACAATGAAAAAATATGACTATTAACCCTGTTACCTCTAGTTACTCCTTTGCAATTCACAGTAATATTGCGCTGCAAAATTTTATGAGTGGGAGAGAGATAGATGCTGTTAAGAAGTACGTCTGAATCTAAAGTTAACGAGGCAAAAAAGCTCTATCATGGATTTCGACAAAAAAATATAGGGCTTGAGAGCAAGAGGGCAGGCGCAATGAGAAATAAGGATCTTGACCGCGACCGGAGTAATCTTGTTATTAAAAAATCCGAGTGGTGCTGACGGCTTACTCATTCATACTTCTATGGTAGTTTCATAACAAATAAAACTTTTATAACAAAAATTTTTTCCCGAATGGATATAAACTAACAAATTACATAACATAAATTTCATAGCATAGCAAAAAAAAGAAAGTGATAAGAAATTTTTTTGAAGTGATTCAAATTAAATTTCAAAATCAACTCAAAAAGAGCTGCTGAATTGGCTCTCCTTTGGTTTTTCTCTGCTTTTTGATATGCTTTACCAAATTGCATTTTTGCTAAGAATCGCGAGATTATTCGTAGATTTTCATTTTTTACGAAAGTATTTTTTCAAAAGCAATAAACGAATATTTAATAAGCTAGAAACAATTTACACAAAAGGATATATATATATTTACGACGAATATGTTTCAAAAGAAGTTTAGTAGATACAAAAAATACGAAAAGAAATTATATTCATACCAGCAGAGACGGTAGAATCAAAGACTTGAAAAAATGATGGCCAAACGTAAATGAAAATTTATAAGTGAACTTATTTCATTCATTTCTATCATGGTTGTTGCAATTTATGTGAAAGACGTATGAAAATGACGTGAAAATAGCAAAAACCCTTACTGATTAATTGATGCAATATCATCTGAAATACTTTTAAGAAAGGAAAAAACATCAAATGATGGAATAATTTGTTTGTTCTCGTTCTCGCTTCGATTCAAAATCAGTACAAAACATGAGCTTAATTTGCCGAAAGTCTGAAATTAAAACTATAAAAATTATAAATTTTTCGACGAATAATGTGTTCACTAAAAGAAGGCTGTCGAAGCCACAGCTTATCTCCTCGAGCAAGAGATTTGGACTTTATCCTTAATAGAAATGAACTCCCCACTAAAAAACTCGTTAATATTAGAGCCAACTATATTCCTATCTACAAGCAACTTGATCTTTCACCTTGTCCAACCAATGAGTGCTAATCACTTACTCGCTCACATTCAGTAGATGGTTAAAAATAATTGATAACTTATACAAATTCAGTACTTCCAACAAAGGCGATGATGGAGTTGATATATTTACTGCAACAAAACATGATAGCATAAGCAAAACCATGACATCCTTTTGCATATTACCAGCGAACGCTTCTCGAACTCTTTCAATTTCCGCATTATATTTCTTAAGAAATTTTTCACCAAAATCAGTTTCATTGAAAGACTCTCGTATAATCTTTAAATTATTAATATTTTCAAAAATTTATGTAGCTAATGAATCTAATATGAAATTAAATTTTATAATCAAAAACAATATAGTTTTAGCTCATTTGTGCTTGTCATTTAAATATAAGCAAAACATCACATTTTTTTTATGTAGATTTTAATGCGACTTCGAGTTTCGCTTCAGTTAAAGGTGACAGGAACTTTGAAATCGATAAAAAAACTCTTCAATAAATGGCTGTCATTTCGCTACCATAAATGTCGTTAAGTATACACTTACCATCGCCAAAAGAATCGAAGAATCAATATAAGCTTCTGTAACTGAGTCTTGCAAACGAGTGAATAAGGAAGTACCACCTATGAATACTTTGAAAAATATTTTAGCATGGTCGATATCTATTATCGAAACATTGGCTTCAAAAGCATCATCATATGATTTCACAACGTTCCCGATTAAATCTTCGATACTTGATACTTCAGATAAATTTTTTTCCCTGAAAACTTGTTTTTCAAGGAAAGCTTATTGAATACTACCAGTATCGCATAAACTAGAAAAATATTGAAAATATTGAAAAATGTATTAAATATTTTTATTTTAATTTTTTCCGCTTCAAAAATACTAATAACTATTAAGTCATATATTACTAATTGATCAAAAAAATTCGTTTGGATTTCTGGCTGTTAACCTTCTATCGCTAAGTGGTTCTCAAATCTGTCTGAAACGATAATCCAGTAGGGCGATGAACACTCTTGAATGGATTACTGGCTGTTAGCACGATAAGAAATTTTTGCCAAGGAGTCATTTGGATAGGTGGATTTCCATCGCGATCTGGATTTACTCCTATCTAAGATCTGAGATCATTTATGACAGTAAAATAAAATGATGAAATTGTCTTAGAATCGTAAATTTTCAAGCAATATGCACCATTTCATTTCAGCTTCCCCTTAATTAGGTAGAATTCATTTTTGTAGTTTCTCAGTCGGTGAAACTATTTAAGATTTTACTGAGAATCTTGAATCTTGCAAAGAGCGGAATAAGTGAACAAGTTGCAGGTACACCATCTCTGGAGAAGGCAAACCGGTATTCACCAGTGCTAAAGAGAATGAAGGAGCAGCAAGAGTTATTAATGGATTATTGCAAAAAAATTCGGCGGGAACTTTGTTTTGAGACCATTTAGCGAGGTCTAGAGATTTATCAAAAAAAGTACACTTTGGGATATATAAATAGGAAAGAATTTTAGTCCTATAGGCCCAGACTTTACAGTCTGGGACCAGGATCATGAATTTTCCGAAACATATGTGCATACCTATACAAAATCGAAAAATTTGTTGTAATCGTTTATAATTTCAATCTCAAAAAATTTCTTTTTGCATTAACTAATGTTTATTTATTTTATTTAATAGTTTATTTTCCTTATACTTCTATTTACCATCATAAACAATAAATGATATATAAAAAAGGCTTGCTTTTCTTTATATCTGTAAAAAATTCGATAGGATGCTTTTAGGAATTCATATAATCCTTCTCGAGAAAAGCATTTTACTAAAATTCAAATAAACGCCGCTGTGGTCAGCTTAAAAGAGGATTTAAAAATTGATTTCTGCACAATGAGTGAAATGGAGAGCCATCTCATGGGATGGGGAATCTTCTATTAAGAAAGATCCAATATGAAAATTTGCGCTTCAAAAACCTGGCAGTGAATCCAATCTAGTTTATAGACCTTTTTTAGTCTTTAGACTTTAAGTAAAAATTATTGTTTTTTTGAAATTTGATACCTTGCATCATCTCTTTCCTTTCTTTTCTGGTTTCTCTCAGCACGTATCGCCTCTTTTTTCATTCCTACTCGAAGACATTTTTGAAAGCGACAATACTGACAGCAATTTCTGGTTTTCGCAGTTATAATGCAGGTCTTCTCTTTCGTGCATACATAATTGGAATTGCTTTGAACAGACCGTCGAAAAAATCCCTCAAAATGAATTAGTGAGATTCTACCATCACCTTTCTCCCTCATAATATTTTATTTCTTGAAAAATTATGCCAAGATACTCGCTCAATGAAATTCCTTTTTAGCACTTCGCTAAACCCTGTAGTTCTCATTTGAATTAAACCAGCCAACAGTAAATTTTTCTTAAACTCTTTAATATAATCTCAAACTCGTAATTCTTTAAATCATAAGAAAATTTTCTCATAAGCTCTTACGTATTAATATTATTCCTTTACAATTCTTTACAAGCGCCGTTAAAATACCCAAACATAACTTTCTCAGCACTTAAAGCTCTTTATCCTTTTTACTCTTTATTCCTTCTTCTTGGATCTCGTTAAAAATATTTCTCTTAATTTTTATCTGTGGTTCAGATTCTTTTATTTTTTAAAAAATTTATATTTTCGCAAAAAATCGTTTATTGAATTCCGTTGTTTTGCAGTAATCCGAATTTAAATTTCTAAAGTTTACCAACTATAATTTACAGGTATTTTAATCAACGCTTGCGAATACCCGAAAAGCATCGAGGCCACGACCTCGAACCATGTGGCCAAGTCCTATTTTTTTGTCCTTAAAAACGCCATGTCTTCCATTCCCATGGCGCATTATGAGCACAAAATAGGGATTATATGAAGAAAAGTCTAAGGAGTCTAAGTCACAGATTAAAAGAAGAAAATATAATATTGATAATAGACTAAAGAGCATAGCAGTACTGAGGGTATTTTGAGGGTTTGCACGTTTCAATAGCAGATTTTGAACGATATGCAGTAATTCCATATGTCCTATCAAAATCCTTTCCACATCCTAACACCTCTTCGAAGCATCTTGCACTCTTATAAAACACTATATCAAAATTTCCGCATCAAAATTCTCAAATTCCCAGTATATTTCTTTCGAATCCTCATTATCGCGCCATCCTTTGCAATTTTATAATTTGTAATTCTAACCGAGAACTGTGATGAAAAATAAAATAGAGGTGGGTATCAAAAGGTTACAAATTGGGTGTAGTAGTCAATGTGGCAGAAATAAGTTTTTTATGTTTTATAAGTTTTAGGGAAGTAATTGCAATATTTTTCAAATTTTATAGTTTTTCAGAAATATCGCCAATCTTCTATCAAATGATTTTGATAACGTTTCGCCGGTAGTGAAAATTTAGTTTTATTTTTTTGGGTTTTTTGGAAATTTCAATGGCCAAGAAAAAGGCACAACTGGATTTAAAAACATCTCAGAAGACAACTGGTGAGTCTGAAAAGAGTAACATCATGGATTTAAGGAAGTGTTGCTGCAGAACACAATACGATGAGGTTTCAAGCAGAATTAATAAGGATTAAATGATTTTGGTAACATGGATAATATTTACAAATTCTAATATAATACTGCCCAAGAAAGAAAATAGATTAAAATAATATGAATGATTAAGCAAATGGAAAATAGCAAAAGAATACAACGAAACTTAATTCAGCGTTAAGGACAAGAATGAGTTTCATGAATGTTAAGAGGACAAACTCCAGGGAAATTGGCTCAAAGATATTTTTGCGGAAATGTTATTAAACTCATTCTTAGAACAAAAAGAAACAATGAGGGTAAAAGGTAAATTGGAAGAAATTTAAGAGATAATTACCGGAAATTTTCATAAAATATGGCATAGAACATTAAAGTTTTTTTCGACCCAAGCATTAACATAATAAATTATTATATAAGCCATCAAATAATCCATTCTGAATTAAATAAATAAAGGAAAAATAACCTTGCATCCTTCACAGCTTATTGCCCCATAATGAATACCTGTTGACTTATCACCACAAACGGTACAAGCATCAGCAGTGAATTGTTCAACAGTGTTATTACTCCTTGAGGGAATATTATTTGACAATAACGGTGCATTATTCATAGTAGCAACGTGATATTGTTGTTCATATGAATTACCATGGAAAATATTAGCGAACTTTGAGACATTGCTCACTTAAAAAATCAAATTTAGAATGAATCCCATAAAAATTTTCAAAAATCATGTCTCCAATTTTATTAAATAAAATCATTTTATTTTAACAACAATAGAAAGAATATTAAAAGATAATCTAAAAATAAAAGGTAGCTTTAAAAAAGTTTAGAATTCAACGAAAAATTTTGGGGAAAAAGCAAAAAAAAGTTTTACCATAGGTTAAGGAAATTTTATAATTCATAGGTTCATATAAATTTTATATGGATTAATAGATATGAATAGATAAAAAACACTAATGTTAATATAAAATCCCCATATACCACAGAAATCTATTAATATCCCACTCGCCAATGGAGTTAGCCAAGCCGCAAAGATATGGGTTGTTAAAAGGAAATATTTTGAGTTATAAAATTAAAGAAATTTACAGAATGAAGAAATTAAAAATTGCCTTAATACTTATCCAAGATATTTAATTCATTAGCTTATCAGGATTTTTTCTATTTTATGGGTTTCCAATATGTCCGGTGAACGCATTCATGAAATTCTATGATAAATATTATTAAAATCAGTTAAGATAAAGAATTTAAATAATTTTCTAGTCTATTAGGCAATGCATTAAGATGAAGATTTACCTTTACCTAAGAGAATTAAAGACTAAAAATATGAAAATTGAAATACTTGTTCGATCAAAATATAATCAATCCACCCAAAAAAATCAGTTAAAATTATAATAATAACAGTTTAAATTGATACAAACAAATACAACCTTATAAAATCAGATCTTGTTTAATTCGTAAATGAATCAAGATTAATCTAACTTAGATTTATAAGTAACTGAGGGTTAAAGTGGTGTAAAAATATTTCTATTAACCTATAAGGCTTATTATATTTCTATTGCTCTTATTCACCAAGCTTGCATTAACTGGTATAAGTTATATATGAAAAGTAATACCGTTTATAATAATGCATGACAATATATATGGTATCATTAAGTGATAAGTAGCAGTTAACATAGTTGATAAATAAGCCAGAAATTGCGAGAAGTTGCAAAAGGCAATGGAGGACTTGGAATTATAGGACAAATTTTAGACTACCATCACACATTTCGAAGATTAGACAAGCAAGAGCACAAGAAAATTTTTCAAATAGAGTAGATTTCAGAAACAGAAGATTTAAAATCCTAGAAATAAAAAAAATTTTTTAATCATATGAATTAAATATGAAATATGATATATGCAAATTAAAATTCGAGATTCTCATGAATGGACGAAAAATTTCGTTATGTCGTGGAAAAAAATTAAAGAAAAGTAGTATAGAATGTCGCCTATGGATCGGAGAATGGAGCATTTAACATTGAATATTGAATTCAAACGGAAATTTATCTTATTTCACCATATTAATCAAATCAAATTATCCTGAGAAGCAATTAATATACATGAAAAAAGTTTTTTAAAAAATTTTATAGTTATCCACATGAGGAATAAAAGCAAAGTTAGTAATTAACAACATTAAAATACACCGAAAAAAGAAAAGAAGCAATATTGGAGACGGACCAGGCCTAAGATAAAATCTCATAATGCATAACTGCATGGCAATGACCAATTCAATAATTTAAAATCCAATTAAACAATAATAAATTCAAGAGTAATCCACTCATCTGTTGGATAACCTGTTAAGTTGGAGGTATCGAAAGCTGTAGGTCATTTTAAACATAAAATTAATTTTTATGAGGGGCCACAAGCAATAGAATCTACAGACAATGACTAATCACAACGATTAGCTAAAAATTGAGAAGCAATGGATGGATAAACTTTTTTTTTAAGATGAATAAGAATAATACTAGCTTGTCGATAATGAAATATTAAAGGAAATATTGGATTATAGGAGGTGAAACATGTGATTTCTTAGGTCATTCAGATGCTCTCATTGTGCCATTATCTAACCTCAAAATGTCGGCGTATTTCCTTTCTTTTGTTTTACGTTTTATCCACTGCGAAATTATTTATAAAAGTTACTTATGAAGGTCAAAATTATGCGACCATTAAGAAACTTTGTGGAAATTTAAGAAATTATATGCGAAAAGCATTATATGCCAGATTATGTAAAATTTTAAGATTAATGCTAAAATTCGAAATAACATAAATACTTATAAAGAACAATGGAATAAAAAATAAATATTTTTATGATCAAAAAGAATACTTAGATGCGCATTGTAGAAAGGGGCTTGAAACAATCTGTTATCAATGGGACCAATCGAGTATTGTGGCCTTGGCCTATAATAAATATGTTAAATAAATTAAACACACTTGGATTAACAGATCGAACTATTGTGACAATGAATACGAAAAAATTTATATTTTCCACCTATTCCAGGAAAATACTACGACAAGTTTTAGCATTGCAAATATCACAAAACATGCTTGAAATCTTCCTTACTTTAAAAAAACATCTTTATAACACAAAACCTTGACAACGACGGTACAGCAAATGAATCGATATTCATTCCACTCTCGTTAATTCTAGGCGAACTGACGAGACTGTCATTGGATACTAAGGACCCAATACCAGAATCATTGTTGGATGAATTGTTTCGAAGATAAATAATATTTGGCACTGCTGGCGTATGTGATGTGATAAGATTGTTAGAAGGCAAAGGAATCGTATTTGCAGATGGTGATTGATTTAGCAGAGCCAGAGGATTGATAGTGAAAGCACTAGAAAAATTCGGACTTGGGAAAAGAGGAAAATTTTGAAATTGGATATTGTTCATGGCAGGAAACGGATTGTTTGACTGATATATAGACGGACGAGAGAAAGGATAATATGGTCCTGATCGATTTCCCTCTGGTCCAACACAAAGTATATATCCTTGATGCGCCGGAATAGTATAAGTCCATTGATTCAATAACAAATCATTAGGTGGTTGAGCAATAGTTTCATTATTAAGGCCACCATAAGAATTAGCGCGATCTAGTGCCAAATTCTCGATTGTTTCTGGACTTGGACTTTTTACAAGCCTATTCGTGGCATCAATTATGGAAGCGCTCATTTGAGGATTAGAATTACAACAATCTTGTAATTCTTTCAGAGGCGAACGTTCTTGTTCAGATGACATGATTTAATGAAGAAATAAGGAATTTTTTTGAAAATATATAAGCAAACAGGTAAACGACAAAGGTCACCCGATTGAATGAGGTCTTTTAGAGGTTAGCGTTCGTATAATCTGAGGCCGCCATTACATAACAGTGCAGAGAAAACGATGAACGTTAATGCAAACGTTGTTGCTATTATCGTCAATGCCCATTTCTAACCTTTTATAATCAATCGATGAACTTTGACCCATTCTATTTTCATACAATCCATAGTCCAAGATATCTACAGAAATTATAATTTTCATAGGATTTCTCAATTTAGAGCGAAAAGACGAAAATACGAACAATTAGCTAAAATTTAAAAGAAAAAACCCTTAAAACATTAGTGAATAGATATGAAGGATATATGAAATCTCTGCTTTCCCATCTTTGGATATGTTGTAATTATAAAAAAACACTAATTACGCAATTATAGGCAATTGCAATAAAAAGTTCGTTTTCATTCGTTTAAAATAAAAAATTTTGAAAAAATTCTACAAAAGGTGCAACAGGAATTTAAAATCGATCAGAAAAACAATTTAATAAATCCAAAAAATCCCATTTGATCTGATAATTGATTAAATCAGGCGAAGAAGTTATTTAAAAGATATTGGATGAAGATTCTGAAATCTGATTTTCCGATTAATAAACGAACAAGTAATTTTAACAGCAAATATGATCTGACACGATCCATTTACTTACTATCAAGCCGTGAATTTTAGTCTCACTGATTATGTAATAATCTTTATGTCGTTTCATGCACTTGCAAATTAATAAAAAGGAAAGAAGTGGAATAGCTGCAGTTTATTTCTACGCATATATACGAGTAATATTCACAACGAATGGAATAAATGCTTTTAGATTGGAAAACTGAGACCCGACCCTTTCACCATAGAATCACTTGGGGATAGAGATACGGGTAGATCCCCATCACTCGCCGGATTTTTAATAATATGAGAGATTTACTCCAGTCAAAAACAAAATAAAGATAATCAAATTTTAGAAAAAAAGAAATAGAATTTCATTTAAAGATAATCGAAAGAATAAAATTTTAAGAAAAAAAACTTATCTCTGATTCGCAGAAGAAGACTATTTACGTAATAATAATGGCACATAATAATAAATAACAAATAAAATTTACAAAATAGTAGTGGTAAATTGATAATTATAATTGATAAATATCGTTTTATCAATTTATTGACTAATAAGCAGAGCACCTTTTCAGCGCAACTCATAGAAAAAAAATTGCCTGCTTGCCTGCCACGCGGTAATATTTCTAAAAACACTTGATGCGACTGCTTTAGTAGTAATATTGCTCATCGCAGGTATCAATAGAAAAATCGTAAATTGCAAAATGACCCAATATTATTTCGTACGATTGATAAATTTTTTACTCGTATTGAAATCTTAAAAAAATAGATTATATTGCAGCCAACAGGTTTTGAAGTAATTTAGATTTTCCCTAGCACTTCCCACTTGTTTTCTACTCGCTCTGCTGTTTTTTACGAAATTTAGATTAATTTTAAGTGCTAAAGACTTTTTTAAATCATTAGTGGATCTAATCAAATCGAATAAATCGTAGTTGGCGAGTTGTTTTTGCATAGATTATCATGCCAGCATTGTGCTGTTTCGGCATCTGCTAAAGGTAAAAATGATCTTTACTTTCAAAGAAAAAGATTCCTATACATTCCTGATTCATCTGTAAAGAAGCGCTTAATCTTTGGTGATTATATTTCTTCGTTAAATGGTTTATTTCTTATTCCTCGCTGCTTTGTGCCCACAATGAGTAGTAATAGTAGTAAATAGTTTTTTATTAACACATTTACGACAATTTCAAATTTGTAATTCAACACGAAAATATTTTGCACAGCTTTATATATCTCGTAACATTAATAAAAAAATAAATTTAATAAATTTAAAATTGCAAACAATAATTAATTAATTATTATAAAAGGATTAAAATTTTTCTCCAAGCACTAAGCCAAACATTTTAATACCTTTGTAAATGCTTTCAATACTTTCCCAAATGCCCCATACATGCACATTTAAATTGGCTGGTTAGGTTATAAGGAGGAGGAAAAAGGCAAAATGTAACATTGATAAATGGTTCTTTTCCCCTTTATTTTTTAATTTTTTAAGTCTTTGAGTCCTCAGAATCCTTAGAATTTTGTTGGCTTCATCCATGTTTCTACTTTCAAATGGCTTCCTCGTTTGACAGCCAATTGAGCTATGTTAACTAGAAATAGTGATTGTTAGCTGCTTATTTATTCGGACTTTTATTATATAGCAATAACATGACAGATTTCTTTATCTGACATTTCTTATGATAATAGTGCTTTCAATTCGGTAATTTAATAAATCTGCTTTTTTATTTGTTTACAATTTTATGGTTTATAATTTCAATTTAAATATTAATTTTAATTTTTAATACGGTTTAATTCATAAGTTAAAAAGCATTGATGTTATTAATATTGCCACCAATATTTTTGGTGCTACTTTATACTTCGAACCATTCTTAACAAAAATTGTTTCTTTTAGATCATTGGTAGCAATATTAATTGTTTCTTTTAGATCATTTCTTCTTCTAACAGCTCTCACCATTACCAG